CCTAACCTAACCTAACCTAACCTAACCTAACCTAACCTAACCTAACCTAACCTAACCAGCGTCTAATCCTTTCTTGATTGATCCCTTTCTATCGTCGAATCCAGCCAAAATGGCAGGATTCCTTGAAGTCAATTCAACAAGTTGGCCAATTGGAAAATCTAATCCACCTCCTTTCTGAATTTTAGTGTAAAGTGCTTGGAATCCTAAACCAAGCGAAGCAATACCACCCCAGCCATCGAGGAAATCACCTTTATCAATCTTTTTTGTTTCTGCATCAGCTGGTGAATGGTCAGAAGTGATGAGATCAATGTCACCATCTTTGATTGCTTTCCATAATAATTGATTGTTGGCTGAATCACGAACCGGTGGCGCTGCCTTATATTCTACTCTAGCTGATGGTATTTCTTCTGAATTAAAGTATAAATAGTGGAAGCAGGTTTCAACTGTTAATTTCATTCCATCTGCCCTCGCTTGTCGGATCATTGGCAAGGCTTTAGCTGTTGAAAGATGTACAATATGTACATGTATATCTGGGTATTCCTTCATTATCTCTATTAATGTACTAATAGCTTCTAATTCATATTCCTCCGGATGTGTTAAAAGATATGTTGAATATTCTTGTGTGCTTTTTCCTTCAATGTTTTTTTCAATCTTTTCATCAATCTTTTTTGTTTCTTTCTCTGCATGGAATAACATTGTCACATTTTTGCCACGTTTGGCCACATCTGTAAGTTCTTTGAAAGCCATTTTGATATCTTCTGGTGAGACACTACTGAACTCCTAGGAAGCATTGTCAGATCATCCCTTTTTCAAAAAGAACACTCACGTCAACACCACTGTCAATCATAAAACTCTTGAACCCAAATACACCTTCTTGCTCCAGAAGAGCTTCGAGGTGTTCCTCATTACCAGGCACACTACCTGCCCAGAAACCGATATCCGAGTGAATTCTTCCTACAGTTGCATCTTTTTTTGCATCAAGTCCTTCAATTGTTGTAGTTGGTGGAATAGAGTTCAATGGCATATCGATTAAAGCTGTGACACCACCTGATAATGCTGCTTGCGTTGCAGTATCAAATCCTTCCCATTCTTCACGGCCGGGATCATTGATATGAACGTGACTATCGACCAAACCTGGCAAAATAATGTCTTTTTCGTCAACTTTAACAACATCACCAACTTCCTTGTCATTTCTTATCCCTCCGAAGACGTCAAATATTTTTCCAGATTGATCATCGACTTGGATTGTTGCAGGTTGTGGTTCGTATGAGGTTGGTAAAATTGCCTTTTCTGCTAAAATGGTATAGATTTTAGCTTCTACAGAGAAGAGCAAGTTTAATGTTGCGAGACCTGCAAACTTGTTCACTATCTTCATGGTTATTAATCAAGACGAATTTACTGCAAAGATCTTCTTATATGATTCTCTTGAAGAACTCTCGTCACTTCTCTGATTACCTTGGCAATGATGTAATTATCTGATTACCTCGACGTGTTTTCCCATAAAGAACTGTATAAAGCTTCAATTTTTATTGATATTAACAAACTAAGTGCTGACATATTATCTAATTCCGATAAAACTTGTATAGAGTTTGATACACGTGATTAAATGAACATTTGCATACAACAAGTTGATGTAAGACATTGTGAATATAAGACTTCTTTCCCGTAAAGAGCTTTTAAATGATGGAACGTATTTTTTATGCAAGGTATTCGATAGCAAAGGATGTATGAGTATAAAATTACCTATGCCAAGCGGTCATTTGATTTACATGGAATTTATAACTTGTAACTAACGCTATCTTCGGGTATCATAGATGTAAACGCACCATGAGTATGGAAAAAACGAAAACATTTTTATGATAATATTGAAAGTATGATACCAAATACTACCTTACTGATTTTCTTAAACATTTTCATCAGACGATCTAACTACGTCATTCTAAGCTGTGGTCCCAATTCGGAGGACCCGATTCGGAGATTCCAACTCCGAGCTATACTGGGACATTCCTTAAAATACCAGTACAGGAAGCTCGTCCTGCTCTATGAGCATTGTGAACAAAAGTAACCGGAACATCATATCCACAACTTGAGGAACTTATGAGCTTGATAATTCAATCCAATTCGAGTTAACTCACTACCATTCTTTCTACCAATCCCTACTAAATTGTTGAATATACGTAATGAACCTAGTATAGAATCAATAGTGGAAGGAGCCATACGTTTAAAATGCAACCTGAAGGTATTGACAATCCATATACTTCAAGATTTAGTCCTTTTTGAGGCTACACTAAGATAACATATACAAAGTTCACACTGAAGAAATGGTATCTAGCGTTTTGATCATAACTCGCTTTAATTTCTTAGTTCATTAAAGTTTTCACTTTGTTTCCATAATAAAGTGTGTAATCACTGTAAAAAGGAATGACCTGATTTTTTTAAATATGAGCCAAATATATAAAAGGAATTTACCAGCTCAAAGTTACTCATCAATCCTGTTGGACTCAAGTCTGGATAATCAATATTACCTTCGTCTCAGCTAATACCCCTCCAGGATTATACAACATACTGCAACTGAGGTTTGGTAGCAATACATTCTCCCTCGAAGTGAAAAAAATCGCGTATAACGCATGTCTCCATCTTCATGATATATCACTGATTCTATCCAAAACAAAGCTTTTCAATAATGCATAACAAAGATCTTTGCACCATAATCTTCAAGTAGTCTTATGATGGATCCTTTTCTCACATACAATATATAAATAATTTTTTTATATAAGTGCCCATGCTCTATTCATCTTCATCTGAGTCGATCATCCTTCTGCGTTTCGCTACCAATTTAGTTTGAGAAATACCAGCATCTTCGTCATCAAAATGTGGGGATGATTGCGACCTTTGTGTTATAAGCTCTTGATTATCTTGATTATCTTGCTTATCCTGTGTTTCTGGCACAATCTGTATCTCGTGTTCGACTTCCCTAACCTTCCTCCTTCTAGCCACCAATGATAACGATTCATCCGGAACCTCAGAAACCTGTGCAGCCTTGTTAGCACGATCACGCAACTCTTCTTCCTTCTTGAAGAATTCTTGTAAAGATTCCTCATCTGCTTCGAGTTAGTTCACTTCGAAGATTGTCTAGTCAACCTACCCTCGTCACTATCTTCGATAAATTTGGCTGATAGGTAGCTCTGCATTTGCTCTTGACGAGCGGTCCGTTCTACCTGCTCGCCATTTTCGCTTCTTCTGCGTGAACGCTTTTTGCGCTTATTTGCAGATGTCTGAGCAGCATCTGGGAACTCAGGGTCAAATTTCTGTTGTAAACGGTCAGAAAGAAGCTTTAAAACTAATTCACTAACATTGTTATTATCATCATCATCAGACAAGCCAGTTTTTCTGTCGTCCTCCTGCTCAATCGTTCCTTTGCTTCTAGTATGTGAACGTATAGGGAACAGTGCTTCCACGTATAGCATAGGATTCTCTGTTGCAGCTTTGAAGAACTTTTTCAAAATGAACTCGATCAACTTCATCAAGTCTTTGTAAGGTCCTGAGTGATAATTAACTGCTGATTTGACGACTTGCTCTTGCACGATGCGGAAAGTATTAAGTGTAGACACCTGAGTACGTTAACATCTCACAGAAATCATCAAAGCTTCAGACACACTTTGTAGAAAAGCTCCTCTCCTTGAGCTCGCACAGACTGTCTGTACAGCAGATTTACGACATGTTTAAGTTGATCTAAACTGTGGAATTCCAAATGACGCTCTAGATATGAGAGGCACGTCTTAACAATGGTTTCCGTAGCGAACCTCCTTTCATAAGATGAAAACATGAACTTGTGTTCAGCAACTGATGGTGTATCCCGTTGAAATTCGGCTTCTTCCTCAGCGGTTGTCTGCATATTAGGCTCATTCACTGACATGAATTTTAGTATGAGAGATGATAATACATGATCAAACCCACTGTCGTCGGCACCACGGCGTTTCGAGGATTTCCGTTTCCGTACGAACATATATGCTTTGCTTTTGCTGAACTTCTCTAACATACGCAAGAACACGTAAGCTAAATGGACGATCGATTCCAGAAATCTAGTTTATGTGAGTAGTTTCTAATGATTCAGGAGAAACTCACTTTATACTTTGATCTTTGTACCTTCCCATTACCATTACTACAACATCCATCACATCTCCACTATAATAAAGCTTATCTTGGAGAACCTCTGCAATTTCAACGATACCAGGTGCTTGAGTACATCTAACCATCTCATCGACTAGTAACAACTTGAAGGATCATCAATTGGAATGACTGTTGAGAAAAGAAGAAGCTACTTACAATTTGTATGAGACAATTGATAGCACAATGAAGTTCTTTCCATGACGGTGGCTGTTCATTGATTTCAATTCATATAATCCACGCTCAACCGCACTATAACCCACCTTGTCATCAACTGTGAGTGCCATCCTAGCCGAAACATAACCGACCGTCGTTGGGTCCACCATACAGCTGACTGACCCAACTGCCTTCTCAATTTCCGCTTCGGGTATTTTGCTGATGTCCTTGCGACGCCATTTGGTGTTGAAGAATTCTAAGAAGAAGGCTGACAGAGAAAACCATCGTGCCTTATCGGTTTCCCTAATCTTAGGTCTCTCCATTCTGAAGTCTTTTAAGAGGGTTGTAAAGAAGGCTATATAAATGTCAGCTTGAGATATAGCAATTACGCGAACATACTATCATATGAGGTCTCTATAAATGTTTCGGCCAACTCCTTCAGGTGTTTTCTTGCATTATTGCTGAGGTGTACTTCACCAGAGTTGTCCTATAGGTATCTGTTAAGAAATCTTTAGATGAAAACACGCCCACTGACTTGGTCTTTTGCCCTCTTGAAAACTTTTTTCTTGCCTACATCCATACTCTGATCACCCGTTGCAGTGATAGCTGATTGCCTTGACTGAACAAACCGATTACTGCCAGATAGAACACTAACAGTCGTACCAAAACGACTATGTCTTGACGTGTTGCTCCGACTGTTTAGCCTTTTTTGTTTACTCTCCACTTCGAGGAGATTTGAAAGCCCAGCAGATGATGCCTGAACGGATTAGTTAAGATGCTAGTACGTGCATCCATATAGTACTGACCTTAGTTGGATCAAGCGTCAGATCGTCCGCTCTAATACCTCTGAATATGGAATGGAAGATCTCGAGAACTACGACATTATAGTTGATCAATTCTCGTTGATCTGATGACGAAGCAAGAGTATTGAAAAGCGAGAGAATCTCGAACGAATGCATTTGCTCTATCAACTCTGACTGTAAATTTGGATGAGCGTCTGTGTCTTTGATGGCGAGAATGTTACGGAAAGTATGAAGAATGAGTGCGACAACCTGATCATCACGCTGTGTACGCTCGCTAGTGATACTTAAGAGAGAGCAATCATCAATGAACCTAACTTACAGTCTAGATTTTGCTAGACGCGGGAGAAGAACTTCAAGGAAGTGCTGTACTGTCTTGTTTTTAACGATGGCTAGTTTATAAGCCTGTTGGGCTTGAATAAATGAGGTGTACTCGAAGTTGGCCACCTTATGCTCTTCTTCACGATCTACAAGTTCCTTAAACTCTTCCTCGATTGATATTGGCCAAGTCAAACACGAAATTAAATCAGTTGCAGCGAGTGCTATACGATCTCCGGCAGCTCCCCTGTTTACTGAGAGTGCAAGTACTGGTAAAAGATCATTTATGAGCACATTTGACTTGTGCAATATTCTCGCTACAGTGCGATTTGGGTCGTCGTCGTCTTTTCGCCAGAATTTCTTGAGATCTTTCAAACAACCTGAATGATGTGAGACAGAAGAATATTTAGTAATTGTTCACTCACCTAAACACTCATCACCGAGCTTGTATTCTTGTGATAGGCTACCATCAGCGAGCTTCGTTGCTTCGATACCACCAACAGCAGAAATTCTAGATATTATTGGCTCACTATAGAGTTCTCTAAGGTCGATATAACCGCCCTCATCCTCAGAATCTGACATTTCGATCTTGACAGCGCGTTATCAGGATACGCGTAGACGTGAAGTTCTCAATGACGAACATCGATGAGCTAAGGAAAATGAATCTAAGTGAACCACTTGAAATATTTCCATTAGAAGTTTGGGAATTAATTATGTGCTATTTGAGTAGCGTTGATTACGCATGCACTCAGAAAATGTCGCTTCTCAATAGGAATTGGAGAACAATAATGCTTTCGATGCACGAACCTTGGACCAGTGTTTCTATTGATAGAAGGGCTATACGCAACACAGCCTCTCAACCGTTTAATTCCTGGCTCAATTTGATACTTTCTCGAGCTAATACTCCCATTAAACGCGTTGAATGGCTCACTGACAATGCAGATGAGACTATGACAAGCTATTTAGATGCTATACAAGGCGGGAAGTCTCCCTTACATTCTATAAGGTTGAAAGGCTACTATGGTTTGACAAAAAGTCATGCTCTGAAGTTTAGACCCCCACCAACTACAACTCTCTATGTTCACGTAGAAGCATCTAATGCATCAGATTATTTTGATCCAGATGAGGCAATTTTGCGACATACCAATGGATTGGAGAATCTTCACCTCGTCAACACATTCCCGAATCTGCTCCCAATATCATGCAATTTGAGGAGTCTCTCAATGCACTTTACAAATACAGTATTGGATATTGGAGCTGCACAGAACTTTATCGCAGATCAACAAGGCCTGAGATTTTTGAGCATTAGGAATCTTAAGCAAGATGTCCCGGCACATCGACATATCATACTAAATGATTTGGAGCATCTCGAGTTAATCAACTCTGGATCGCTCAAAGATGCCATAGTTGCTCCAAATGCGCGCACGATCATCCTTCAAAATTAATACCAATCAGAGATTTATACCTATTATGTTACTACAATGCATTTCTATAATACAACTCAAAGAGATTTTAGTTCGGATCGCTTTTTCTCTTCAAATACTCTCTTATCAAGTACCTCCTTGCGTTTTACAGCTGCCTCTACGGAAATACCCGCGAAAACTGTAGCTGCACCAGCCCATTGACCTGACGAAAGCTTGTGATTATAAATAAAGACACTAAGAAGTATCGTAAAAAGCTTCCTGGTGAGTGTAATGGTAACTAATGCAAGTGATCCAAAATGTTGGAGTGTTTCAAAAATAAAAAGTTGTCCCAGAGCGCCACAACCTGCATACATTCCGATATCTTTCAAAACCTCTGGATGGGCCTTAACAAAGTGTATCGCGGAGTAGATTTCTGGGGATGTGCTATCAGTCTTTCCGAGAAGGGGTATGGCAGGTAATCCGACTATCATCGCAGTTGAAGTGACCGCACTTGATGCCAAGTTCATCCAAAACATCATTTGTGTACCATTTATTGAATGATTTTGGAATATCGCATCTTGACTGCTATTGATCAGTCCATCGATGATAAGATTCGCAAATAGCAATGACAAGCCGAATGAACTGTCAGTTTGTGTGGACGCTTTTGATGACTTCTTGAGTAACGTGAACATACTAATACCAATAGTTACTAACAAAACGACTGCGTATTTGTAAGGAGCGAATTTTTTCCTATAGATTAAGACATTCATAAGCATAACCTATTCATAGAGATTAAGAAAACACCTTTGAAGCATAAACACCTACTGGAACCAACTTGCATGACTTTGCTAACACCATAGTTGGATAACTTATGTGTTTTAAAGACGTGAAACCTAAAACTTGTGCTATAGCTTGTAACACTGCAACACGTACGATTCCGGTCAACATATATTTTGTTTTACCACCATTAAATGCTAAAAGCTGCTTGATTGATTGTCCCGGCGTCCTACGTACGTTCAAGTAAACAAAAGCAGACAAGGCAGAAGCTAGCGATTGAACTGTGTTGAGGAAAAGCGACGATCTGAAATAGACGTCATCGTTTTCTCCATTGGTATAAGCCGTGGTAGATACTACGCGAGATTAGATCCGCTGGTATGCCAGCACAATACTCACATTTCTCCTGTACGAGAGCCCATAGTAGGAAACAGGCGTATACGCCAGATACACAGGTACTAATAACTATCAGTAATGATCTCTAATGGAAAAAACACGCACGCTAATCTTACTATCGTCATGGACGTGGCGAGAAGACCAACATTCGCTGACATCATCTTAGTTTCTTACTTCGATGAGCAAAAAGTTTGCAGACAAAGATAGCACGCGGAACGTGCGTAACCTATGTATTGCTGGTCACGTTGACCACGGGAAGGTTAGTCATCTCTTCTCGCCAGTGGATCTATCTCATCTCATTTCTAGACAGCATATGCAGATAGTTTATTAGCAGCGAACAACATTATATCTTCTAGAATGGCGGGTAAATTGAGGTTTTTAGATAGTAGGGAGGACGAACAGCAGCGAGGAATCACTATGGAATCTTCTGCAGTCAGTTTGGGCTTTAAGCTACTCCGACAGGGCGAAGACGGACAAGCAAAAGCCGAGGATTATATGATTAACATGATAGATACACCAGGTCACGTTGACTTCTCCTCTGAAGTCTCTACGGCTGCTAGATTGTGTGATGGTGTACTCATTATGGTAGACGTAGTAGAGGGTGTCTGTACACAAACAATTTCTGTATTACAACAAGCATACGCCGATAGATTACGACCAATTCTCGTTATCAATAAAATGGATAGACTTATAACCGAACTGAAATTGGCGCCGTCAGAAGCTTATCATCATTTGGTACAATTAATCGAGGCTGTAAACGCTGTCATAGGTTCTTTTTTCGCCTCTGATAAGCTTGCCGATGATTATAGATGGCGTGAATTGTCGGAACAACAAAGAGGTGCATTCGTGGAACGTGATGATCAAGATCTCTATTTCTCCCCGGAGAAGGGTAATGTCTTATTTGCTTCAGCAGCGGATGGCTGGGCATTCAGAGTGTCAAAGTTTGCACAAATATACGCCGGAAAACTTGGTTGCAAGGAAGATGTCTTGAGAAAGTGCCTATGGGGTGACTTCTACTTTGACCCAAAAACCAAACGTTTAATTGGAAAGAAAGCAGTTGGTAATCGTCCACTCAAACCATTATTTGTTCAGTTCGTACTTGACAATATCTGGGCTGCATATGATGCTATTCATATGAATCACGATATGGAAAAAGTCAATAAAATCATCAATGCTCTAAACATACGTGTTCATCCACGTGAACTCAAAACGAGAGATACGAAAACTCTTCTTTTTGCCATATTTACTGCATGGCTACCTCTCGCTTCAGCAACCTTTTCAGCAGTTGTTGATGTAATTCCACAACCTTCTCAAGCCCAATCATTGAGATTGCCAAAAATGCTCTATCCACTCGAACATCATCCATCATCAATAGCGAAGAACGACGTTGAGAGAGCTATATATGGTAGTATTTCGGATAATGCACCAGTGGTGTCATATGTCAGCAAAATGTTTGCGGTACCAGCTAATGAGCTACCAGAAAATAGACGCAGGGGGTTAACTGCCGAAGAGATGCGTGAACGTGGAAGGGAATCAAGGGAAAAAGCCATGGCGGTATCAGCTGCTTTAGGGGCTACTGGTATGTCTGGTGCTGATGAATTATCATTAGAAGAGGCTGCCAAACGTGAACAAGAAAAGGATACACAAAATGACGAGAAGGGAGAAGGGCAAGAAGAACAAATTGAAGAGTCAATGATTGGTTTTGCACGTATATATAGTGGTAACATCCGTGTAAATGATACTCTTAAGTGTTTGCTTCCAAAGTATAACTCAGAAGTTCCACCAAACAATGCTCACAACCTCAAACATGTTCAAGATATCACAATAAAGAGTCTATACATGATGATGGGTAGGGACTTGGTGCCTGTTTCTGAAGTTCCAGCTGGAAACGTATTTGCAATTGGTGGCTTAGATGGTGTTGTATTACGTAATGCAACTCTTATCACCCCTGATAATGATAACTGCTTCATTAACTTAGCTAGTGTTGTTAATCAAGTAGCGCCGATCGTTAGGGTAGCATTGGAGCCAGGATCAGCTACCGATATGGGTAAGCTTGTGAATGGTATGAAACTTCTCAACCAAGCAGATCCATGCGTCGAGGTCCTTCAGCAAGAAACTGGTGAGCATGTAATTCTGACTGCTGGTGAATTACATTTAGAACGCTGTTTGAAAGATCTTCGCGAGAGATTTGCCAAATGTTCAATCACTCCTTCAAAACCGATCGTACCGTTTAGGGAAACAGCTGTGAAGGGCCAGGAGATGCAACCACCAAAAACGAAAGACGCAGTGCGAGGAACTATCCACGCATCATCATTTAACAACATAGTCACATTTACTGTCCGCTCAGCACCACTTCCAAAGCAGATCACAGATTATTTAATTGCAAATCAATTCTCAATTAAGAGAATGTTAGGTGTCTCCTTAGATAGAAAGCAAGACGATGATGAAATTACCGTAGAAGATAACACAAGTAGCTTAGAAGCTCAAGACACGTACAAACCACCAAATGTAATATGGGAAGAATTAGAAAACCTTTTCAGCAATAGTGGATACGACTGGAAAAATGTTGTAGACAATATCGTTGCATTTGGACCAAAACGTGTTGGAGCCAACATACTTGTTGACAAATGTGCAAACAGAAGTCTCAGAAACAAGACACAGATTGACGATAGATGGCAAAAGATGGTAGACGAGAGTATAGAAAACGGTTTCCAGACTGCAACCAATCAAGGACCACTTTGCGCTGAGCCTATGGTTGGAATGGCTTACTTTTTGGAGAAGGTAGAAATTGAAGACAAGGAAGGATTAGAGTGTGGGTATATTAATTACGTTTATGGGTTCATTCTGATATCTTTTAAGTCAATACGTCTCAAACGACAGGTTCACTTATTTCTAGCTCCAGAGATGCAATTCGTAACAGTATGCTTGATTGGTCACCTCGACTGATGTTGGCAGAATACTCCTGCGAGATTCAAGCTTCAACGGAAGTTTTAGGAAGGGTTTATGCAGTCGTATCAAGAAGAAGAGGTAGAATTATCGCAGAAGAGATGAAAGAGGGTACAACATTCTTCACAGTCAAGTCAAGGTTGCCTGTCGTTGAATCCTTTGGATTTGCTGACGAAATTAGAAAGAGAACATCAGGAGCAGCATCACCACAACTCATCTTCTCTGGATTTGAGATATTCGATATTGATCCGTTCTGGGTACCTTCAACTGAAGAAGAACTTGAAGACTTGGGTGTACTAGCAGAGCGTGAAAATGCTGCAAAGAAATATGTGGACCTTGTACGTGAAAGGAAGGGTATGTTTGTAGAACGGAAAATTGTCGCAGAAGCTGAAAAGCAGCGTACGTTGAAGAAGTAGTTTTTAAATGCATATAAACTTATAGAATTTTTTATTTATTTGAATTAAATTTGAATTAATTTGAAATACACATTCGTCACTTTTCTTATCGTCTCGTCAACTCTTCTCATAAAACAGCGAAGATGTCTTCTGAGAATATCATAACAGAAGCGCTAGAAAATCAATATTTAGATGAAGAAGATAGTGAGGGTAGCTCATTGGAATCAGATGTCGCTGGTGACGACTTGGGCTTTAGGATTGAATCAGATTCCTCTGGATCTGAATACAATCAGGATGAATTTGGAGAAGAAGACAGTGACAGTGAACACGAAAGTGGTCAAGCACAAAAATCATCAGAAATTGAAGTCGACAACGATCCATATCAAGGACAAGATTTCGAGTGAGTGATATACTGAATCCGGTAATAAATCTTAACACTCTATAGCAAGCTAGTAAATGCTTTAAAAGAGAGTGACCACGTTGCAACGGGCAAATCAGCTGCCCAACAATGGGAGAAATCTATAGAAGAGGAAATGATAGACTTCTCTGATATACGCGATGAGTTGAGGGGCGCTTCTGGTGTTGGAAAACGTAGAAAGAAGCTTAAAGATCGTACACAAGTTCTTCCACCTGAGATCAGAGACTTGATAGGTCAAGCTAACGTGCACTACGTTTTAAACGAATTTGATGCTGCTATTGAGAAGATAGAACAAGTACTGACTACTTTCCCTGAAGCTAAATCAGCTTGGACATTAGCAGCATCTATTAAAACGGATATGGGTGAACATGACGCATCCTTGCGTTTAAGAGTTATTGCTGCATTGATCCCGCCCTGTGATAGCGACGTATGGAAGGATCTTGCAGGGGAGTCCAGAAGTCAAGGTGCTACACAACAAGCCGTTTATTGTTTGAGTCAAGCTATAAAATACAACAAATACGATTTTGATGCAATTTGGGATAGGTCAGTCCTTTATAAACAGCTTGGAATATATAGACAATCCATCAATGGGTTCAAAAACCTACTTAAATTCTTCAATCATGATCCGAATGTCTTAAATGAGCTGTGTCCTATACTTTTGGACACAGGTGACTATGTGGAAATCGATAAATTAATGACAAATGCTTGGGAATACTATCAAGAACACTTTCCAGAGCCAGAACCTGATGATACCGGATTGAACATAAATCATTTCAAATATCTCGTAACATCACAACTTATGCTGAGAAGATACCATGACGCTATAGCAGTTATTAAACAATCAACAAGATGGTTACAAGGTCGACATCAAGATACTTTTTGGGATTTACTACCAGATGACAGAGAATTTGACGAGAATAGATTCGAACGTGTTGGTGATCATCGTATTGAATTTGGTATGGGTGTCTTTGAGCTCGACCCCGATATGCGTATCTCCCTTGGTCAGGCAAGACTTGAGCTTGGAGAAAGGGATGAAGCAAAGGTATGTATTTAGTAATTCTAAGACTTTACTAACAGTCCACAGAGGCACTTTTCACATGTACTTAAACTTGACCTTGAAGCAAATGTTGCATTGTACGGTGAAGTTGGTAACTCTTTCATGAAGCATGAAATGTTTGAAGATGCATTAGAGGTATTTAAAGTTATGGAAGATAACGAGAGGGTGAGATCTGATTTGTTTTTAATTCTACCGTGTTGACGATCCTGAAGACGTGCAGTACTCCTGTTTACAGGAATTTGGCTGTTTGTCACAAAGCACTTAACAATCTCGACATGGCAGAGCAGATATTCGAACACGGTGAGTGACATAAATCTCAACATTAGCCTTAAATTAACATAGCATAGTTTGTCAACTCGAACCAGATAATATGGATGTTACAATGCAGCTTGCAGAAACATACGAAGCGCTTGGAAAGCGTGAACAAGCACTGGCTACTATCTCCAAAATTCTATACAGAAGCAAAGAAACACAGAAGTCAAGTTCAGTACGTAGAGGTCAGGTACAAGAAGAAGTACTTGGAAATGCGAACAACAAGGCTTCACTTTTAACCGAAACTTACACAAGGAAAACACCTGGTATGAAGAAGCTTCCCGGTGAAGATCGCAAAACAATGAGAGATATGGCAATGAGAGTCGAAGAAGAACGTGAAGCAGAAATGAAAATTAATTGGGAAAAGATAACACAATTAGACGAAAAACTGGATATGCACAATCGCGAGATCGTTGAGGAATGGCTCAATGCAGCAAGAGAAGTCTTGGAAATCTACAGGGACACAGTACAGCTCTTCCCGAAGAACAAGAACCAAAAGTTCAAAGGTATGATATTGAATCAGAAAGCCAATTCAGGACGCAAACCCAAAGACAAGGACCCTCAAGACCAACTTGATGAAGATGCAAGGAGAATTGCAGTAAGACTAGAAAGAGCACTCGTTGATCAGCAGCATATTCCTAAAATACAAGAAGAAGGAGTGCAATACTTCCGTCATATACATTTCGACGATTGGGTTGACTTAACATTAAAGTACGCAATACTAAATACAAGATACTCAAACTATGAAGAAGCAGATGAGGTACTCAAACATATGAGCTTGTCGAATGCACTTAATACCCCTGAACGACAAAGCGCGCTCAAATTCTGCAGATTGGTTTGTGCATCTATGGCTAGTGATATAGCTACTGTTGTGGAAGTCTCAAGGCAATACATATTCGATGAACAATTTGGTATTGAAGGTCTCCGTATGCTCTGCACATATCTTGGTAGAAGCCACGAAGGTCTAATGGGATTCACAGAAGTCAATCTTCAAAAATTCTTGCTCCGAGAGGTCAAGATGTTTGATGTGATGGCTACTGGTAGTGGATTTAAAATCAGTAATAAGAAACATAGATTGGCCAACACCAATGAAACTGACAACGTTGAAGAAGAGGTGGAGAAAGCCCGAGATAATTTCAGGGAAGCTAATTTACCAATACCTACCGAACAAAATCCTTATTACCTGGGATTCTATGGTCAAATTATGCTAGCTGCAAAGTCAGCACAGACGAGTATATATTATTTACTGCGTGCTTACGAGCTCGAGCCGAATGACTATGTCATTTGTTTATCTTTGACTTGCGCATACTTATATAGAGCGTTCCAGAGACAAGCGGATAATAGGCATCATTTGATAGGACAAGCGGCGGCATTTTTAAATAGATACAGAGACTTGCGTGGAGAGTGTGATGAGGTTGAATACAACTACGGTAGATTCTACCATCAATTGGGATTATTGGGCATCGCAACCAAACATTACGAGAAGGTACTCAAAATCGAGAATGCAAAACACACAAGTGAAGCTGCTTTTAACTTGTGGTTGATATATTATGCTACAAATGCTCGAGGACCTATGAAGTCGATTTCTGATAAATATTTAAGACCTGAAAAATTCAAGAAGAATGATATACTTGTATAATAATGCAGATTGTAATTTACTAATTAAGTCATTGCTGTGACGTGCTATCTGGGCTATCTGTGCTCTCTATGCTTTTGATGTGCTTCTTTGGCCATTCTCCGCGAATTGGACGCATTTTGTCTAAAATACGCTTTGGAGGTTTCGCTGAAAGCAACCAAGGCGGTATTTCCTTACCCTCTCTCCAAAGCTTCCCAGACATTATCCTTGCTTTATCCTGTAAATCTATATGGCTACGTGAAGCGAGAGTTTGATCGATAGTGCCATTCTTGCCATGTCTATCTCGTATATAAGCCCAGGGTGGTTGACCGTTAAGTGTAAAATAATATAGCTGCAGGTAATGCTCTAACCAAAAAGTTTCCTCTAACGTCCAAGGCTTCTTCTTTACGCCTTTCGGACCTTTATTCGTTTTCCTGACAGCGCCAGGAGATGGCTGACCAGCCTGTCTATTCAGTTCTTTAGTATAATTGAGTAATTCATCCAAAATCAAAAAATCCTCTGACATTGAACCTGGATGTTGATATGCAACAAACTCTGTCATGTATTTCATCACAAATCTATCAAATAACATCAATTTTAATGAAAACATACAAGAGATACAACTAAATGATCAATACTTATTTTCCCTATCCCCCTCATCTCTCATCATCTCCTCGCCTATCTACAAGACTACGTTGGCGAAATTTATTAGAGATGAGAGCGAGATTGATAGATGGGGATATAATGCGAATATAAAGGTATCATTAGACAATCGTACGATTGTTGTATCCACGGATAATAGCTATCTCTTGGTTTATCACCTAACCGTCTCCAGCAATAGCGTCTACAAGTACGTCAATCAAATGAGTTTGGTTAATACTTTCAAATCACATCCTAACGTGAAAGAGCATCAATTACGTCTACATAAATGCTATAAGATTGTAGACGATATCTTCTCTTACGAAATTACCTACAATGATATCCTTATCGCAACAAAGAATTATATCAAAATTATCACTGTAAACAAAGGTGTTAATGAAACTGCTTATCAGAATCTAAGTTGGTTGGAATCTCCAGATTCACCAATATGTCATATTAGCTTCTCCCAACACTTCAACTCCTTCATTTTTATCAGCCAGGATGGCCATGCATATTATGCTCACCTTGATAGTGAATGGAAAGGTTGCTGTATAGCTAAACCACCAACGACCGCAGTTGTGTCGTCATTCAATGAACAGTTTTCACTCATTTCAATAGGAACTTCAGATGGAAAAGTACTGAATTTCGCAATACGTCCGAATAACGAAGCACCGATTCAATCTCATACGTTCTCTGAGAATTCAACAATTGGTGCTGTTAAACAATTAAATTGGACACATGATGGATACGCTTTAGCAATAGCCTATGAAAACTCTTGGTCAATCAGATCCATCTATGGTAGGATTTTAGTACCAACTTCGGATGATTTACTGTCTTTTATACCAAATTCTTCGCAAAGAATACAGAAATTTCAAGATAGACACATTTGGGGTTTAAAAAATATATTCTGGGGTACGCAGTCACTAGAAATATACCTTCTTATCAGAAATGCTGATGAATCGCATCAACTTTTTGTTATACCTCTAGCAAAATCTGCAGTAACAACTCAACATTCACCAGATAATACGAGATACGCATTTTTACAAATGTATGATAAGTTATTAGTTTATAGAGGTGCAGACCAATCAGATCTATCAGTTATAAATCCAGAATCTGATGTTTGGGAATCGATAAAAATACCATTAGATTACTTACATACTCAATTCCCTATTAAATACTCTTCGATAAGTTCAAATGGTAAATTTGTTGCAGTAGCTGGGAGAAATGGTTTGGCACACTACTCGACTACATCGAAAAAATGGAAATTGTTTAATAGTGAGGTTGATGAGCAAAGTTTCAGCGTTTCTGGTGGTATGGTATGGTTTAACCATATTTTGATAGCAAGTGTCATTACCGAAACTAATGAATATCAATTACGGTTGTACTCAAGAGATCAAGATTTGTCAACTAGAGTTGTACTTTATATTGAAAATATACCCAGTCGTATCTTACTAACATCCTTATTTGAAAATGCTTTACTAGTTTATACTGCTGACAACACAATTCATCATTATTTAATTACACCAACAAACGACTCTATTACGTTAAACCTTGCGAACATAATAAGTTTCCAAGGTGTTGTCAGTAATCCTACAAGAGTAAGAGGAATGTCATGGATGATACCTCCATCACAACGCAAACTAGGTGATCCGATTGATGATCTTACAGTTGCAACAATAATATTCCTAATTGATGGAAAGCTTGTTTTATTAAGGCCTCGAAGAGTGAGTAATAAATGTAAAGCGATACGTCTACTAAAGTACCCATTAGATCGCTCAAGATCAGGTAAAATATGATATGCAGGTCTTATCGGACGGTATAGAATATTATTGGACGCATTTGAATGGTATTGGAGCTTTAGAAAATAGTTTATGGGGTGTTGACGGACAAGGAATCAGATTATGGCTAGATGCCCTCACACTTACACAATCTGAACGAGAAAAAGCCCGTAATTCTCAAAATTCAAACCTCGAAATTGTCAAAGAGAGTGTTCGTATTGAGTTGGATTTCTATCCTCTATCAGTATTAATGGATAAAGGAATTTTAATTGGTGTTGATCATGAAGCTAGTCTAAGAGGGAATTTACCTTTCATATCATACAAGATACACACTAATGTAGGTTTTAAGTTAGGTGCAAGATACGAACTAACGACGCATTCTGCAGACTCATTTATTCTTACATCATACTATTAGATTCTATTTAATGAGGGGATCACTGAAAGAGGCTGTGATATTCGCCAACAATTATAGTGACCTAGTATATTTCCCACATACTCTTGAAATTCTGTTGCACTCAGTTCTAGAAGAGGAGGCTGATGCGGATGTGTCAAATAATCTATTGCCTTTAGTAATAGAATTTCTAGATCATTGGGATTGCGCGTTACAGGTTGTAGTTGGGTGCGCAAGAAAGACTGAGATGAGTAGATGGTCATATCTATTTGATGTGGTTGGAGCACCAAGAGAGTTATTTGAGAAGTGCCTCAAGGCTCATCAATTGAAAACTGCCAGTAGTTATTTGTTAGTTTTACATCATTTAGAACAACTTGAAGGTACCGATGATGCTTTCAAACTTCTTCATAAAGCCTTAGTTGGTGGTGACTTGATATTATCAAAAGAGATAATCAGGTTTTTACATTCAATAGATCCATCGGGAGTTTATATGCAGAACATTATGGATTTGATCGATAACCTGAAGAATACCTTACCAGAGATCAGTAACAACATACCTGTTAACGGATTAAGTCAACTAGATGAAGAGGACGAATATAATCTGACATTGCAAAGAACATTTTCTGCTAGAAAAAGAGAAGGATTGGGTATTACACTAGAAGAAGAATAGATTTTTAATTGTTATTTTATTTTTAGTGTTCTGATGTATTTATTAATGAATAATGTGGGGCCAGCTTTCGACATTATCTGTCTAAGACTTAACAAAATAATGACAATAGTTTCAGGCTCATATTCGTACTCTCAATTGAAAAAATTGGTTTACGGACCCAATGGTATTGCTCAGTTGCCACAATTAGTGGATCTACTAGGTGGAAAACGTTCAATGATAATTTGTGGGAAGAGTATAAATAACACCAACACACCTAGAAAAGTTAAAGAATTGCTAGGGGATAATGTAATTGAGCATTTCAGTTCGATAAGAGAACATTCACCGATCGATGACGTCAATAAAGCGTTATCTATCGTCGAAGATAAAAACATCGATACATTGATTGCTATCGGTGGTGGTAGTAGCATTGATGCAGCCAAAACTATAGTTCACTTCTATAAATCCACTAGAAATGACGAAAGTGGACTTGAGACTATCGCAATACCAACAACACTTTCTGCCGCAGAGTTTACAATGGTGAGTGAATAATACTGCTAGCACTCTATAGTTGACATGTCGCTAAGTACGCAGGTTATACGTCAAAAGAAGACATGAAAGTTGGTGTAGCGTCCGAGTATATGACACCAAAGGGCGTAATATTGGACGCCGAATTGACTTTAGATACTCCGCAGAGATTATGGCTTAGTAGTGGTATTCGCGCGTTAGATCATGCCGTTGAAACACTTTACAGGTGCGTGTTTAACATTGATGAGACTTGTAACACTTACTTACTTTCAGACCAAATGCCTCATACCATTTGCGTAAAATGGCACTACTAGCACTCAAAGATCTATTTGATTTATTACCAATAACCAAAGCTCACCCTGAGGATGTAAATACACGTCAAAAGTTACAGCTAGCGTCCTTTATGTCTTTGTTCCCTGATAGTATGTCAGTCCAGGATCTTCGTCCATTTGGACCTTCGCATACGATAGGCAGAAAGGTTGGATCGAGTTATGGTATTCCTCACGGTATCACAAGTTGCATAACGCTCTCTTTAATAGTAAGATTGTATCAAGAACACAACAAAGATGAGGAGATTAAAAACAGACTCCAAGAAGCTACTGAAATTACTAAACGAGAGGGTGATTTATCATCACAAATAGATCAACTGATTCGGGAGCTGGAGTTAAGCAGCACGCTTACGAATTATAAGGTACCTTTCGATCATGCTAGTCAAATCGCTGAAAATTCTCTTAAAGGATTGGGTGATGTTGGTTTCACGGAAGTGGACGTATGTAAAACTATTGAAAACATGTATTAAATCTTTTATTTCAAATTAAATCTGATATTACGACTAAGCTATTCTCACATAGACCAACTAAGATACCTTGTGATTTGAAATATGCAACTCCTAGTAGAGAACCTTTCTCATAACCACAGAATTGGAATACTGACTGTGGCGCGGTATCCGATTGATCTGATTCCGTTTGGAAGTAAATAAATGCATTACCTGCACCTTTATGGTTTCCACCTTCAAAGACAATTACTAATTCATTTGATAAATGATGAGTGAATTTCAAATCTCTCTTTGAAGCAATTACGAAAGGAAGAGCAGCAAATGAATCCAAATTTTTGACACTCTTCGTATCGAAAAGGGCACCTGTTAATGTCGTTTCATCTGAAATAATAAATGTACTATCTTGTTTCGGATAAGATGGTAAGGGTGTTGATAATAATCTCTGACAAGTGAAATGTTGCAATTCATCTACATTGCTGAACTTCGTCAATGTGAATAATCTACCTACATCGCTATCGACGTTATCATCCATTTCGCCTTTAGCTAATGAAGGTATATCATCAGAAAGGCCACCTGGGCGAATTTTGGGAGATTGTGTGCCGTCACCTTCTTCTGTGTACTTTTCTAAACTACTGAGAGCACTTTGTAGATGCTGTTCTGATAGCCTTTCGTCGGTAATTTCAAACGGTGGCTTAAAGTGCTCATCAAAAAGACTTATCCATCTAGCCGTCTGATTCTTCTTGCCCAAATCAATTTCAAGCTGTGACAATTGTCGGTTGAGCGTCCAATTACTAGAGTCTATGTCGATTTCGTCATAAAGAGGTAAAGTATCATTACTGAGCGAAGGTATTTTTATTTCTTTAGTTTTTATAATTGGTGCGTAACTTTCTTTGTTTCCAATCTCTGTTAAATGTACTATGATTGATACTGCATCTTGATCTTGAGACCAAGTACATTGATTTTGGGTAGGTTTTGATTTTTCAGTAGTGACGCTCTGGGCAGGCTCTTCTTCAGCTATAAGATCACCACCATCATTATCAACCTTTGTAAATGCAGATGATGATGCTAGACACCACTCATTGGCAACATACTCTACTAATGAAGGGAAATCGTCAGAACGTAATCTCCACATAATACCATGATTGAGTGATTCCGCGGCTCTATCTAAATTGATGGCTATTAAATCAAACTTCGTCGTTTCTCCAACTAGACTCGTTGAGATTACGATCGTGTTTAGTGATTGTATGTATTTGTGAATGTAAAAAGGCAGTAAAGTACCATCGTTTGTTAGCTCTTTCACATCATCATTAATGAATAATCTCCCACTGCCATCAGAAAATGCCCATTTGGTCTCAGACATCGAGACAGCAGATGGCAAATCAAATGACGTAAGGTTTAGTATGCTTGGAATTTTGAATATTTGGTTGAAATGCGGTTTCTATGAGCATCTATGAGCTATACAGACTTTCCATTTTGCATGTAAACCCACCTGATTATCAAAATCTATCGTAATCGCTAACAAGCTGTCATCATTTCTTGTGAAATATAATAACTGACTATCTTTATAATCATTCAATTGTAATTTATTCAAGTAAACACTTTTATTAAATAATTTCAGATTTATCTCGTTTTGTACTCCACCGTGTGGCTTAAATGGTAAACTAAATATATTTGTTTTGTAATCAATTAAATTCAGTTTATAATTGTTGAAATTATTTTTATTTTTTGATTTCTCAATTTCTAAACTCTTCAAATTCATTAGAATCCCAACTGAGGAATGCACCTGAATGTTGTCCAGATAACTTTACAACTGATAAATTTGAGAAAACTTTCGCAGGTTGATCAGGTGATAACAGTTTCTTTTCTGAGTGTAAACTGATAAATTTCTTGTACTCTTCTGATAACATAGCATTGTTACCATTGTCTCTAATGAATTGCTGCATTGAAGTGTCTACAACACCAGGTCTGATCGCTATAGTTGTTATATCCTTCTCTTCATTAGCTAAGGTTCTTGCCAAGCTGTTCATAGCAGCCTTTGATGCGTTATAGGCTGTCCAAGCTGAATATCCGGCTGTAGCTGCACCTGAGCTCACCAAAAGGATATTACCCTTCGAATCTCTCAAGTGTGGTAAAGCCAATTGAATTGTGTGATATAAACTGATAAAGTTGATGTTAATATTGTTCAAAACATCTTCTGGATTGATATCTGATACCTTTCCAATTGGATTGAGGACACCATGATTGAGGATGATAGAATCTAAGACACCATACTTCTTTATACCTTCATCGACGGCTACTTTGGATACACTTCTATCAACTAAGTCGCCTTTTACGATTAATAGCTTGTCGGACTCCAATTCCTTGAGTTCATCGGTTATTGTACGTGAAATTGATATTACGTTGTTATTTTTTGATAATAAATCTCTAACAATCTCTAATCCAATTCCTCTCGAACTACCTGTTACTAAAACTGTTGGCATTCTCGTTATGTTGTTCACCTTACACTTATAACCATGAAATCTGTTAATTGGTTTGATATTGATAATTATTTATAGGCAGTGTAGCTAAATAAGTGGAATACTTCAAGAAGAATTTGCTAAATATTTCTAAAAATTATGCGTACGTGTAGATATTCTAATGTGTTACGTCATTAACTAAGTAAATAGATTATTCGAGTAAAGGGGGAGCTCAAAAATCAGCTCAAATAATTAATTTGAAAACTTAGTCCACCGTGAACCGGAAGAGGCATAGTTTTCCGGCAAAATAAAGAAACAATTTTGCGCTGAAATGATTGGGAAAAAGGGAGGGCTACTAGAACTACCAGAAGATGAATAATATTTAGTTGACTACTCAATAAATGTTTGAAATGACGAAAAATATGCCTTAGAATGCTGTATTTTATGTAGAGTATTGTCTATGAAAATGAAATTTATTGTTTAAACGATACTTAATTTTAACTGCATCCACTGCATCCACTACATTTTCTTACAGCAGAATTATTTTAATGTCGTGCTGGTCTAGCTGGAGGTATCTCGTTACTAATGTCGCAAAATGTCTTGGTGATTTACATCATCCGTTTACTTACGGTTACGCAGAACCACTGCATGTGTGCTTGTGTAGGCAACTGAGAGGTAAACCTCCTAAAGTGGGACTAGTAAAGCTCAAGCGCTTCTGATCGTCAAACTCACTTGAATCGGACGGACGCCGGTCGATGTTAATCATCTTTCTGTCAGTGGGACTCTAGTCATATTTTACCTTCTACAAACAGGCGCTGGATGAAAAGCTGTTTATATACGGTGTATTATCCGCAAATCACATCTATTTGCTCGAGTAACTTAATGTTAAACCTGAAGCAGAAAGTCCTATTAGTGAAAGAGTATCCTGTGTAGTTGGATGAAAAATATCATACTATTTTGCAACTAGTTGAGTGTATTTCCGAGCTCCGTGGATTCCGACTTTCTTGCAGATGCTTTATGGTTGATGGATTTGATTACTGAAACTTTTGAGACTTCGATGCCGTTGGAGCTTGTAGCAGCTAAGTATTCTTTATAACTATCACATAAGTAATCTAAGCATGAAAGCAATATGGGTATTATCAACCATAATCGAAGGCCAAGACAATGAAACAAAGAAAAAATATTTTTACACGAAGATCTACAATCACCTTACTGGTCCTCCAAAAACAAAACAATCTGGAATAATTGGATGGATTTACCTAATTTATGTGGTTGGAGCACCAAAAGAATCATATGAGAGGTGCCTCTGCTTGAATGAAGACTGTCAGTAGTTATCAGTTCTACATTATTTAAAATATGCAGAACGTCACGTACAAATAACCTCAGAATACTCTACCAGAGAGAAGTAGCAGCAAACCTGTTAAGGGATTAAGCCAACTAGATGTAAGAGGATGAATATGATCTGTCATTACAAAGAACAATCACGAGGCTTAGATGGTAAACTGAATATGTGTGTTCTATAATCAGTTATTTAGTCTACAAACGTTCGATGTACTTGTATTTATCAGTTTCTAAAGTCCTCAAATTCATTAGAATCCCAACTGAGGAATGCACCTGAATGCTGTCCAGATAACTTTATAGCTGATAAATTTGAGAAAACTTTCGCAGGTTGGTCAGGCGTTAACATCTTCTTCTCTGAGTATAAATTCATAATGAATTTATAATCCTCTGATAACATAGCATTGTTACCATTGTTTCTAATGGATTGTTGCATTGGAGTGTCTACAACACCAGGTTCGATTGCTATAGTTGTTATATCCTTCTCTTCATTAGCTAAGGTTCTTGCTAAGCTGTTCATAGCAGCCTTTGATGCGCTATAGGCTGTCCAAGCTGAATATCCGGCTGTAGCTGCACCTGAGCTCACCAAAAGGATATTACCCTTCGAATCTCTCAAGTGTGGTAAAGCCAATTGAATTGTGTGATATAAACTGATAAAGTTGGTGTTAATAATGTTCAAAACATCTTCTGGATTGATATCTGATACCTTTCCAATTGGGTTGATTACACCGTGATTAAGAATGATAGAATCTAAGACACCATACTTCTTTATACCTTCATCGACGGCTACTTTGGATACACTTCTATCAACTAAGTCGCCTTTTACGATCAATAGCTTGTCGGACTCCAATTCCTTGAGTTCATCGGTTATTGTACGTGAAATTGATATTACATTGTTATTTTTTGATAATAAATCTCTAACAATCTCTAATCCAATTCCTCTTGAACTACCTGTTACTAAAACTGTTGGCATTTTCGTCACGTTGTTCACCTTACGCTTACAACCAACAATGAAATCTGTTATTTGGTTTGATATCGATAATTGCTTATACGGCAGAAGTGCTAGAATAAACGAGATGATGTCTGAAAAGATCGCGAATTATTTCTTAAAGTTAGGCGTGAGTCTATAGGTTTCAATGTGTTACGTCATCATCTAATTGAACGCTACAGTTGAGTGAAGAGGAAGCTGATAAATTACACAGAGAGTATTATATACGTTATGGTTTGGCTATAAGGGGCTTGGTAGAGAATCATAAAGTTGATCCATTAGATTATGACTACCACTGTGATGCCTCATTACCTCTAGAAGAAGTACTTAAACCTGATTTAAATTTAAGAAAATTGTTGCAAGATATAAATCGCGACGAATATAGGGTTTGGGCTTTAACTAATGCCTATAAAACGCACGCTTATAGAGTTCTCAATTTATTAGGCTTAGAAGATCAATTTGAAAACGTAATTTACTGTGATTACACGAGGCATAATTTCCCTTGCAAACCAGAGAAAGAATTTTATGTTGAAGCGATGGAGAAAGTTGGTTTATTAGATCAACCGGAGAGGAATTACTTCATAGACGACAGCTCAGCTAACGTGAAAACGGCGAAAGAGATGGGGTGGAATGCTGTGTATTATTTAGAGTATAATCAACAATCAATTGAGGGACAAGATGATGAGACAAAGAGAAGATTTTTACATCATGATTTACAACCGGTCGTAGGTGATCTCCAAGAATTAAGGCAAGTTTGGAAAGAGGTATTTAAGTAGTAAATAACTCAGCCTGGGCCAATCTTCGGCAAATCGTTATGTTCAGTTAGACTATCGAGCTTTTTGTTGAATTGATCTACTTTCTCTTTATGACTTAACTTTGCTTCATCTTTTACTTTATATTTGAGCCTCTGTCGCTGCACTTTATCAAATTTCTTCTCAGATTCTGTGCGGGTGTCCACTAATCCGGGAGTGCTGATAGGTGGTGGGCTAGTCGTACTGGTAGAACCGACGATATCTTCTTTTGAAGTAGTCGCACTCTTTGATTTCTTTTTCTTCTTAATTTGAGCATTATCGCCTTTAAATTTCAAGCCTTTTGATGGTTTATAAGAGTAAGCATCCATTTGACTATGACGCCAATGGTGGTTTAGAAAGAAGCGAGAAGAAAAAGAAAAAATATTAAATTCATTCATAAAAATTTAGTGTGCCTCTGGGGTTTTAGCAATGTAATCAATTGCTTGATTGACATTTTGTATAGCGTCGGCTTCAGCGTCAGGGATTTCACTGAAATGTGTTAGAAAATACGATATAAAAGAGTAGACTCACATAGCAAACTCTTCTTCAATTGCCATGACAACTTCAACGGCGTCTAAGCTATCCAAGCCCAAGTCATTTGTGAATGAAGCTGATTCAGTGAGCTAAATAGTTCGTTAGTTGGTGAATAAACTATTAAAAAACCACTTTTAACTAACGTTATCAGCTTTAACCTTGTCGAATGATTTTAAAACATCAAAAATTCTTTGTTGGATGTCGTTCTTTGATAAACCTTGGCTGGCGTAGAATCTAGATGGCAACTTAAAGGCTTGAGTTTGCTTAGCTGCTCTTGAGATTAAGGAAAATTGTGATTTAAGCATTATAATGATGGACGTATGAAATATAGCCGTGGCGTGGGTATCTCTTCAACCGCCATCAACTAGGAAAGAAAAAAAAATGGTTAAACAGCATCTCCATTACAATAAACAAAATAAGCAAATGCTGATGAGAAATCTCGTCAGCCAATTATTCCATAATGAGCAAATTACGACCACTTTACCAAAAGCTAAGGAAGCACAGAAATTCGCTGATAGATTAATTACCAAGGGAAAGAACAACACATCTAAATCTGACTCACTCGCTAATAGCTTTTTAATTGTGGGTTTTTGTACTTTTTTAACAACCGAGAAGACTTACAATATGTAGACTTCTTTAACGCAGGATCCATTTAATAAGTTAAAAAACCAATTAGTAGATAGATACAAAGATAGACAAGGTGGTTATACACGTTTACACCTTCTCGGTAACAGACAGGGCGATAACGCACCAAGGGCAGTCTTAGAATTGGTAGACAATCCACGTGATATAAAGAGGGAAGTTCTTATGAGAACGATAGCAAGAGAATCCCTTCTCAGGAAAACCAGCTGGTCACCAGAGAAATCAAACATCCTCCGTCAACTCACGCAAATAAACTTATCAAAATCATTGAGGTATCTCTCACAAGAAGAAAAAGATACTTTCCACCAAAAAGTTCTAGACATACAGGATAGAATTCTTGCAGAATCGCAACTTGGTCTCAGACGATTCGATTCAGACAGAAAACCACAATCAAATACACTCACATGGCCATCAAAGGGCAAAACGGTCTATGCTGGTGAACGCACATCTGGAATGGCAAAATCTGAAGGTTCTCCAATTAGTTTAAGTAAAGGTGTTTTCAGAAAGAGCCGTAAAGGTCCATCAAATAAGCTTGTATAGACAACAAACATTTCCTTTATTCTAGATTTACAACAATGTGGCGCTCTTTCTATTTGCTTGAGCTTGAATTAATATGTATCTGCTTTACATTACGTACCTTGCGTGATAATTTATTTTGTAGCCAAATAGCTATAGCGAATCTATCGTCAGTTACCATGATAGATGTAGTATACAAAACAGGACAAATAAGTTAAACGTTACCCAGATGCTTCACACATTAGATCATCTAACTATAGTTCAATCATAGTTTTAAGATTACTGTTTTGATTTTAAAGCGTGCAGAGAGATTGTTGACTAAAAATCTTAATTTATTCAAGCACAATATCTACCATCAGGTTGTTTGTTAAAACAGGGTAATTGATGATAATAATATTAGATGATGAACAACAAAATTACTTATTTGTGTCAGATGTTATCAGCTCATTACATGTGTGAGATACAAGGTGCATTTTCAGTTTCTAAAGAAGATTGCAGTAGCAGACAATAAGTCTATAGAAATTGTTCCAATATAAAAGATTGCACTCTTCTTGTCATGAAAATGGTAAATTACTAGTGAAAGTTTTAAACCAAATAAGCGATAATTAAGTTATTATTATGTCTCAATTGAACGATGATCATTTAAATTAAGTATTAGTCCAGTATGATTGCAAGTTCCCGATGATTCAATTAGTGACTCATGTTAATTAATATGCTATCTGGATTCTCGGATAACAAGCGAGGACATATGACAAATCGCATATTTACCATCTCGTAATCTTGACAGTCTGCGGCTCACATATCCAAGTTCAATGAGCAATATAAAGGTCGAAATATGTAAAACTCAAGCCGAAATAGAAGAGGCTTTCAATATTCGCTTGGCTGTCTTCACGAAAGAATACGATCAAGTTGCCAATGAGCTGATAGACGACATGTGAGATAATATTTCAATTAGTAGAGCTATTATTTATGATCTATATAGCCTTGACAATCACGCCATTCAACTTCTCGCCAGAGATGAGGATGGGTCTGCTGTAGGTAGCGTAAGACTTCAACCTTATCCCCAAGATATCGAGAAGTTAGAAGCTAGGGCTCTTAGACCAGCAACAGAGGAGGAAACAGTGAAGCTTTTTGATGGTATTGAAGGTGGTCGCTTCGCCAATTTGGCAGTAAAACCATCAGCTCGTAACAAAGGCGTTGCTGCCACGCTAATCAAGTTTTGTGAGGATTACATAAAGGCACGTGCTAAACCAGGTACCTCTTATATACGCTTCAGATCTCACTATCGGATCCATCCGCTGTATATCGCAAAGTTTGGTTACGCAGTTGACTCGGAGAGGTTCACCACATCATGGAATCAAGATTTGGTGTGGATGTACAAAAAGCTTTAAGGTTCTCTATACTTTTATCTAAATTAAGAGTGTACATCTTGATTTTATAAGGAAAGACAATATTTTGCTAAATATGGTTAAAATTCGCGATCATAATTTTAATTGGATATCATATATCACTTCTTTCTTTTAATCATCATAAGGATATTTCACAAGGTTACCAAAGTTTCTTCCCCTTTAGTAGGTTCCATTCGTATTTGATAAGTTTCAACTCGGATAAGAGTGGAAACCTTCCTGATTTTAAAACAGTGAGAATATAAAAACTTGTGGCATATGTGCATGACATAACTTCGTGATCATTCTGAATTTTTGGCTTGCTCAGAACGCGTATGATATATGCATTGTTGTTATTAGTGCAGCTAGTTCACTGGAGCACCTACTTGAAGTTGCTTTTGACCAGACCATTGAGGGCTATGAGATTTCTAGATTATTCCCTCGTTGATTGATATCATATCGCCCTTTCCGTCGAGAAATTTTTCCTGTCTTTCAAGTGCATTGACGGTAACTGAAAAGACAAATTTAGAAGAATTGACTGTGCAGAATCTATTATAATTCTAATCTCGACTGTCTTGATCTTGGTTCCACTAAATTGAGGCGGAAAGAAGAAACATCCTTGAGCAGTTATATCTCCCAAAGAGGAATGTTAAGAATTATGGATCAAGAGGAAAAATCCTGGTTTCTTAGTGCATATCCAGAAATTGAATATGTTGAAGGGTTTACTAATGAAAAAGGGAATAAGGAACGGCTTTTTATGTATCAGGGTCCCGATTTCAAAGCACCAGTACGCATACTTGATCCTAGTTCAGCTGATAAGAGTACTTAATAATACACAAAAGGAGAGATCAGATAAGAAGACATTTTAGTAACTCGTTTACGATGTTGTAAAAAGGACTAAGGATTATCAATAATTGAGCAGTCCTGAAAGTAGCGTAAAGTCTAGCTAGAATCATTAGAAGCCTTTCAAGCCCTTGAATGTCTGCATATACAAAGTGTATCGCTGAAGAATAGATGTACATTGTTCGTTTTGTCGTGTGTATGAGGAGCTCACTGGATGCGAGTGTTAGGGAAAATAAATCAAAAGTAATACACTCGCAGATTTAATTCGTCTTATAATGTAATAATATGAGAAAAGTCGTTAGTAGAAATGACTTTGGAAACGTAAGTAATTTGTCGTGAAGATTGACACTGAGACACATGCGTACCTTTAGATAAATTACTACCCTTATTTATACTTTTACTACCCTAATCTCAAGCTAAACTTTACTTTTAAAGCTCTTGAAAGACTTTTCTGAAAGTTGTCCCTCGTCAAGCCAGCATAGTAACTCGTTTGGATTGAAGTGCTTAAGTATACTTAGCTATCCGTAGAATTAATGGAAACAATTATGAATACGGTGATGTGTAATATTTAAGACCATCAGTTGTTTAGTTTTTGCCCTAAACAAGGCCTAAAATTGGCGTTAAATTTAACGAGGTGACTTATTGCATAAATATTCATCTATAACAGAATAAAAGATCTATTTTAGTGTTATTTTAAATTTACACTTCAATACTCTAATACACGGTCAGTCGGTGATAGTGGGTAACATAAAACTTTAACATAGAAGACAGTAAGGTTTTTTTTTCATTCAGCTTAAATGGAGGTATATTCTGAGAATGTCGTAATTTCAATAATTATCATATGAACAAAAAGATTCACTTATATACTAAATCAACGTGACCAGGTCTGTATAATAGTGTGATTGTCTTGCTATTTTCGTTAAGTGTGTGCCAATCAACCGTTGGCCTTTCACTAGCGTCAAGATAACATACTTTCAAACCAAGATCTAAAACTCTGCCCAAAGCTGTCATTTGCAAATGATCAGCTTCTTTGCCAAATGCCTATTTTTGTTAATTAGATTTGACATGAGAGTACTACAACTCACCTCAACATATGTTTCGCAGAATTTCTTTATATCTGGCATACCTTCATCATCTAATTGTAGATCACCTTCGTAAGCAAATAAAAAGGGTATAAAATCGTCGGCGTTTTTTCTTATCGTAGCGGAAGTGAGATACCTCATGAAAACGACAATAGAGTTGCTAACTTCTTCGTCATCATTGAGTGTAACTTTAAGATAATCGCCAATAGAGATTGAAGGATCTTTTACGTTATCTAAAATACTAAGGAGTGGTTGGTAGAAATCGAGCATAATATCACTATCAAAACCTAATTCAGACAATAGTGGTATGCCAACATTCTCAAGTCTCTCTTTTGCTGATGTAGCTGCTTGACTATCTTTGCTTACGAGTTCAATGAAAGCGTAAGTTATAGCTCTATAGAAGCAATTACCATCTCCTCTTATTCTTCTGAAGTGGTTATAACCTTCTGTTATCAGGTTGTTAATCTTATTTTTGTATATTTCATTTCCATTCTCGTATTCTTTCAATAAAGCTGGCATTTCCTCTAAAACACCGATTAATGGACTACCTCTGCTTTCTTCCTCTTTTATTTTTTCTGTTAATTCAAGTATTTCTGTATCATTAAGTTCCGTCGATTGAGCTTCTGATGTCATGACTGGATTGTGAGAACAAGTTGATTATCGCATGACATGAAATGTGAAATTTAAAAAATTAAAAAAACTATTACTGCTTCATTATTAATCGAAAAGAAGTCTAAATGACTATGTGGAGCTAGTTCAATTACATTATTATTGTCAATGAAAATCTTCCCACTGATATTATTTAGTATAGATAGTAAGTATGTTGAAAGAGGTTATATAGGTGGTATATAATTAGAATAATGAAGCACGAAGTACCTTGCGATTATACTACCTAACTGGTTTCAGGCATTGGTAGAATATGTTTCAACGTAAACGTTAAGTGGGTGATTTGCTGAAGCTGTCATATCCAGCCTGATGTTGTATTATCTATTAATCTTACAGACTTTTCTTATCGTTTTTATAACACTACATAACGATATACACGCTTTTAAGTCAGCCGTACTTGAGGAGATAGCTATTTAATGAGTTTGTATAGCATTCAATTGTCATAGATTAATTTAGCTTATATCTTTCCATATCATGCTATGTAGACCAAAAGATGGCTGATAAACTAATATACGAAGAGATATATAGTAAATATAGTAGAATACAACTATATATATTGTAATGAATGAGTCATTCACCGTATTTGTCGCTCTCTAACATCTTATCTCTGCTCCGCCATCATGTCAGATCCCCGTATCTCAAGCAAGGAGTGAGAGAATAATAATTTTAAATATATAAATAACTTACTAAATAAATAATAGGGCTTTCGATTTAAACGCTAAAGCCGCCACCAAAGAATACCAAGTTGAACCAAGATTAGGTGCGTATATTTATAACCCATATTAACTTGAATATTAACAATACAAAGATTATAGAACAGTCTCTGCTATCAATGGGTACATATATACTATCATTTTTGCAATAATCTCACTCTTAGCGCAGTCCGCTCGTCATCCTGGATAACGTCAAACTAGGACAGTACAATGAAATCGTACAATTGACACTTCCAGATGGCTCAAAACGTCGTGGTCAAGTATTGGAAGTTTCAGGAAAGAAAGCCGTCGTTCAAGTATTTGAAGGTACATCAGGCGTAGATACCAGGGACACGCACATTGAATTCACTGGTTCATCTATGAAACTGCCTGTTAGTGAGGATATGCTTGGTAGAATATTCAACGGTTCAGGTCAACCTATCGACAACGGTCCAAAGGTATTTGCAGAGGATTATCTCGATATTAATGGTGCGTTAGATTTTATGATGATAATTATCGCTCAATTAGTGTCCTAAGGATCTCCGATTGTATGTAAATGGCAAGTTTACCATAATCTGATACTGAAATACTCTCTTAGAACCCATACTCACGTATTTATCCGGAAGAAATGATCCAAACTGGTATCTCAACCGTGAGTTAATCTTTATTCAGTTGGTGATTATCTCAACAAACCACAGATTGATACCATGAGTGCGTTCATCTACTAGTACGTATGATTACCGACTAACGACACTTCAGACTCAATTGCTCGTGGACAAAAGATACCGATCTTCTCAGCCGCTGGTTTACCACACAATGAGATCGCCGCCCAAATCTGTAGACAGGCAGGTCTCGTAAAGGGACCTTCAAAGGGCATTCACGATGACCACGAGGACAACTTCTCTATCGTTTTCGCTGCTATGGGTGTAAACATGGAAACCGCTAGGTTCTTTAAGCAAGACTTTGAGGAAAATGGCAGTCTTGACAGAGTCACGCTCTTCCTTAACCTTGCAAATGATCCAACGTGGGTTCTAGTCTGAGGATGTTATAAAACTAATACCGTTTCGTAGTATTGAGAGAATTATTACCCCGCGTCTTGCTCTCACCACAGCTGAATACTTTGCCTATCAATGTGAGAAGCACGTCCTCACAATTTTGACAGATATGTCTTCATACGCTGATGCATTAAGAGAAGTTTCAGCTGCTAGAGAAGAAGTACCAGGTCGTAGAGGTTACCCAGGTTTCATGTATACAGATTTAGCTTCCATCTACGAAAGAGCAGGTCGTGTTGAAGGAAGAAATGGTTCAATTACACAAATACCAATTCTTACTATGCCTAACAATGATATTACACACCCAATTCCGGATTTGACTGGATATATCACTGAAGGACAAGTATTCATTGATCAACAATTGAACAACAAGCAAATTTACCCACCAATTAATGTATTACCATCATTGTCTAGATTGATGAAATCAGCAATTGGTGAGAAACTCACACGTAAAGATCATGGAGATGTTTCTAATCAATTGGTGAGTCTAATTGTTATAGTAGTTATGACAGCAACTGAGACGCTTTAGTACGCGAAATACGCTATCGGTAGGGATGCAGCAGCAATGAAAGCAGTCGTTGGTGAAGAATCACTCAGTGGAGAAGATAAATTGGCATTAGACTTTTTGGATAAGTTTGAAAGACAATTCGTTAACCAAGGGCCATATGAAAGCAGAACGATCTTTGAATCATTAGATCTCGCATGGGACCTCCTTCGCACATTCCCTAAGGAGCAATTAAACAGAATATCACCAAAGATTATTAAAGAATTCTATGAGAAGCGCAAGGAGGAAGCAGAGGACGACAACAAGCACAAGGGTGTGGTTGATAGCGTAAAGGATGAAAATTTGATTGAGGTTTAAGTTGATATTGTAACTTTGATTTATAATTCAGTTTTAGATAGAATGAAATGGAGTGTATAGAGTATTAATTTGAAGGTTCATACTTTGGGAGTTCGCCTCTTTCCTCCATTCTAGACTTTGCTTGGTTGAGAGCCCAAGTTTGAATGCTAATTGATAAATTAAAGAATGATATAGTTGTTAATAAGCACACCCACTTTGTGTCTGGTTTGTAATAGTATGCAACACCTGCTCCAGCCATGGCGGCGTAGAAACCAAAGTAATAGATGGGTTCCCAGTTCTCCCACTTTCTCTTCTGGCCATTAGGAAGTGGCTGATAGGGGCGTCAATAGCTGTAGAATATGAGATATTCGCTACAGACCTTCTCAGCGAAGAGATGTCCAGTTGGCTCGTGGAACTGTGGACCACCACCAGCGTATCTCAACTGCTGTGATCTAGAAATTTGTTTTATTTGGCTAGATTTTAATCTTAACATTTTTAGATGATCGTTGTAAAGAGGAGATAGCAGCCTCTCACTTCAACTACGAAATAAATGAGAGCATGAATATCGAAATAGCTAAACAATTCAAGGACTTATTAGAGCCTTTTGACAGGCTCGTTAGTAACTCAGTTGAAGGTTAGTCGCCCATTAGTTTAGTCTATACACTTACACTTCCCCTATATAGCTAGTAATACAAACGACACGTCTTCTTCATCCTCTCCTAGTCGTAAAGAAACCGTAGAGGAGAGACTAGACGCTCTATTTAGGAAGTCAAACCATAACTCTTCCACTCAGTCTCTGGGTCCGCCACCCCAGATCGTCACAACTCGTAGTTCCGCCGGATCTTCCTTCAAAGAAACTACACAGGCCTCAGATAGATCAGCTATCAAAATAAAGACTATCTCCTGGAATATGGCAGACTCTCTAGTTAACGGTGATTTGGAGGTACTATTGGGGCACGTACCCCCATATACACCACCACCGTCAACCACGGATAAATTACCACAGTTAGATCGCGAGGACGCTCATCCTTATCATTTAGTGGTCGTCGCCGGACAGGAATGCCCAACAACAGCAAACATCCTCCCACGCGGTTTTAGTCTTGCTTTACGTGACACTAACCCGAAACGTGAAACTTATAACGAGTCTAGTACGGATTTGTTACAACAATCACAATCTCCAAATTTATCAACAATCTCACAAACCAATAATAACGACCCTTCTTCTATTCAATCCGGCTGGTCTGGTATCTTGGAACAGTGGTTTTGTCATGGAGCAGGCACTTGTCAAAGTCCAAACATACCGCCAACTCCCACTGAACCCATCGTTAATGAATCTCTATTATCGCCTCCTCCAATGGGTGATAGAAAATTAAGCTCAACTTCAGTCGGCAGTTCAACCGGAATGCAACCATCTAGCTCTGCTAACTCTGCAACTTCTCAATCTCAACAAGCCGCCCGTCCGCCGATGATAAAAAGACATCTCTCTAAATCTTCTCGTTTTGAAAAAGATCTATCCAAACAGACGAATTTCAACTCTGGCCCTTATGAATTATTGCTAAAGGAACGTTTAATGGGTATCTACATTGCCGTTTTCGTTTTTAAAGGCTGTAGACATCTTGTTGAAAATTCGTCAACTGCTGTTGTTCCAGCTGGTTTATTGGGTGGCAGACTAGGCAATAAAGGTGCTGTCGGAGCTAGTGTCAAAATAGCAGATACTCGTTTACTTTTCATTAATTCACATTTAGCCGCTCATGAACATAGGTTAGCTGCTAGATTAGAAAACATGCAGAAAATTCAACGAAGTTTGGCCGTCGATACTTTCTTACCACCGGATGATCCACGAAATAACAAAGAAGATGTCACTGAAAGATTCGATTTTACTTGGATTATGGGTGATTTAAATATGAGAGTTGACATCACTCGCAAACACGCTGATTGGTTAATAATGAACAAAGATTATAAAGCAGCTTTAGAATTTGATCAATTGCGAAGTGTAATGAAAGATGGAAAAGGTTTTAATGGTTTCAATGAGGCTGAAATTACTTTCCCGCCTACTTTCAAGTATGACGTCGCTAAACGATCGCGCACATTGCGTAGAAGATCTTGGGATAACCGTTCAATGAATAGGACCTCTACACCGGATATGTCAAGACCATCTTTAGATTCGACTGCTGAATTTGTTGAAATAAATGACGATGATATATCTTCGATCACGTCAACATCAAGGAGTGGAAATTCTTCAAATGTTGCTAAATCACCTTCGATGGCTTCTTCTCATTTAACATCAGACGTTGAAGATGATAGTGAGGGTGAAGATGATGAAGCATTACGTATTGCTGCGATTAATGCTTCACAATTGGAAGAATCAAAGCTTTTTGCAGGTGTAGATGTCGACAAAGCTGTTGATAAAGCTGTCGAGAATGTCAAAGACGCTTTCAGATCTCTCGTAAAACCAATATCGGCAACTTCGAATGATGACAAAATTCGTCATCGGAGAAGCCTTGAATCTAAACGATCAAGTAGTCGACTTAGTGTTGATTTTTCAAGACGAAATGCCAGTGTTTTTAGCGATTTTGACTCAAGGAGAAATAGCTTTGGAGGATCCCATGATCAACAACATTCTGTATCAAAACGTAGGAGTAGTAGTAGCGTCACACAAGAGTCAAACCTTGGTCGCAAACCTCGTAATTTGAGTTTAGACGTAAACAACCTCGGTGTCGCTCAAAATGGCGGCCCACTCAGTGCTGGTGCATCACCATTTAGTCGTAGCTCATTCTCAAGAAAGCTGAAACAAAGTTTGATTAGAAGATCATCACAATCCTCCGGAAGTAAACATGAAGATGATCTGCGGAATTCAGCTATAGATGAGACAGCATCGAATGATCCAGATGAGGATTTAAAGTCGACGTACGATTCATCTCCCAAACAACGCGTACCATCTTGGTGTGATCGTATACTTTGGAGATCGGTAAGTGTTGATTAAGATCTAGGAATAATATTGACAATTTTCAAGACAATAACACCTGACGCGGAAAACCTAGATCGCATGCGCACAAAGAAGTTCTCGAAATTGGGGAACGCAATTTCACATGTCCTCCGTCGTCGGTCTTCTTCCAAAGGTAGCTTGAAAGAAATAGGCAATAGTTTGAGTATAAGCAATATTGCACATCATAATCGAAATAATAGTAATAATAGTAATAGTAATAATCAAACATCACAATCACATGTACAACAATTACCAGTAGCAGAAACGCAAATAATCGAAGATAATGAAGCGCCACGACCAAAACTTCATATGTCACGATCGGTTGAAGAACTGTCCAAAGTCAGTCCAACTACTAAAGTCAGCTTTTTTACATCTTCCCCAATGTCAACTGTAAAAAGTGAAAAGAAGTATCGTGAGAAAGATGATAAGAAGAAATTTTTGGCGAGGTTTAGATCAAATTCACTTGGAAGTCCAAAAGATGATGATATGTTGGATGCAAGTCAAGTACAAAAACATATGAAATCTCGGAAAAGCTTCTCATGGTTGGAGACATCAGCTGGTAGATCATCATCAGATTTATTATCACCAACTGAAGTGATTGGTTCACCTTCAATATCACCAAAGACATTATCAATGACAACGAATTTGAATGAGAGCAGTACAAGCAATAGTGGGAAACCTAAACAAGAAGGGTCTTCACAGGGTAATGATGGAATGCAAGTCTCAAAATGGTTTGTTAACTCGTTCCCATCGTTGTTTGGTAGTAGAAATCCATCTAACCTTCTATTGGATACGGGAATGAATAAAACGAACAGCGATACCTCGACTGCAGCGAACAACCAAACACCTGAAGTTGAATTAGCAAAGCAAAGAGGACAAGTTGATTGTATCAATTATAGCTCATTAACTGATCAGGAGATGAGAAAATTGGAAGGTAGATCAGATCATAGACCGGTTTTAGGATCATTTTTAGCGTGGATCTAGTATATTCTTATTTAGTTTAATATGATTTTTGTATATTAGCAGTAGTATTAGTTATAATGTATAGGATTTAACTAAAGAGTCTTCAAGACGTTGTCTCATGATGCTATCGCCTAAAACAGTGACTGCTCAACTGTTGAGGTTTTATTAGAAAGTCCAATAAAGATATTGTTGTTAAGAAACGTCGGTGATAAAATATTTATTAACATTCCAGATAATTCCATAATTTTATAAATTTCATCCACTTTCAACGATGGATTGAGAAATTCTTTTGAAAAACATCAATGGTCGCAGAGCGGTGAGTATTCTTTTTTAGTTAGTTAGTGATATTAACTATATACAAGTAAATACTACGACCTTCTGGATAGCCAGCCAGATGCCTCACAGGCTGATTTGAAGAAGGTGAGCTGAACCTTCGAGAACATCATTTTTACTAATCAAACAATAGGCTTATCGTAAGAAGTGCGTATAATAGACTCACCTAACATTAATCTAATAACGACTTATAGAGCACTCCGTCTTCACCCAGACAAAGGTGGTGATCCTGACTTGTTCAAGGAGGTAACCCACGCGTGAGTTCTTCCTAACAACTTATTTCAATATCTAACTACTATTCAGCTACGAAGTCCTTTCAGATGAAGACAAGAGACAAATGTATGATCAATACGGTGAAGAAGGTCTCCAAGGTGACGCTGGAATGGGAATGGATCCAGGTGATCTTTTCTCTCAATTGTTCGGTGGTTTCGGTGGTGGTCGTCGTCCTACAGGTCCACGGAAAGGAAAAGACCTCGTTCACAGACTTGGTGTTTCATTGGAAGACATTTACAAGGGCAAGACTACTAAACTTGCACTTAACAAAAACACAATCTGTACCGGCTGTGAAGGTAGAGGTGGTAAAGCAGGCTCTGTTAAGCAATGTACTTCATGTCATGGTAGAGGTATTAAGGTTACTTTGCGTCAACTTGGTCCAATGATGCAACAAGTTCAACAACAATGTGACTCATGTAATGGTCAAGGTGAAGAAATACCTGCAAAGGATCGTTGTAAGACTTGTAACGGAAAGAAGATCACTTCCGGTCGTAAAACTCTTGAAGTTCACATTGATAAGGGTTTGAAGAATGGTGCAACTATCGTATTCAATGGTGAAGCTGACCAAGCACCTGGTATCGTTCCAGGTGATGTCGTTATCGTCGTTGAAGAGAAGCCACACAACATCTTCAAGAGAAAAGGCAACGATTTATTCGCTGAGAAGGAAATTGACTTACTTTCTGCACTTGGTGGTGGTTCATTCACTATTCCACACCTTGACGATCGTTTAGTAAAGGTTACATGGCAACCAGGTGAAGTTATTACACCAGAGTCACTTCGTAAGATTCCAAAGGAAGGTATGCCATCACAAAGATTCCACGAATTGGGTGACCTTTTCGTGCATGTTAAGGTTAAGTTCCCAGAGTCAATAGATCCAACTTTGGTTCCACACCTTGAAAAGGCTTTACCACCAAGAAACTTACCAGAAGAAGACAACGCTATGCACGTTGACGATGTAGCATTCGAGCAACTCTCAGCTGGTCAACAAGCTGAGCAACATCACCGTCCAGACTCAATGGAAGAAGATGATGATGATGACATGCGCGGTGGTGCAGGCCCAGGTGTACAATGCGCACAGCAGTAGACAACATATGTAGAACAAGATTACCCGAGCATTTGTAAAAGCCCTTTCCATAAACTTTTTTTTTCTTTCCGCAATTTCTTATCTTCTGCCCTAACAATCATCATAATGGATGAGAGCTTTCACAGGAGAGTACAAAACTGGAGAGACGATGATATAAGTAATTTCTTAAATGAGCATAATTGCGCTATATATGTACCTCTGTTTAGAGATAATGATATACGGGGGGATAATATACTAGACGTCGATCAAATAGCTTTGAAGGAAATGGGAATACCAAAAGTTGGCGATAGAGTAAAAATTAATGTAGCTATAAATGGTTTAAGGAATAGATGCTTCGATGAGCTCGTACAACTTGACCAAAAGAAATCCCGTTCTCTGGCGCTCTCACGATCAGAAGGTGACAATAGACAACGGGTAGCGACTTCTAAATCATCGCAAACGAGGCCACCACCATTGGTACTTGATCAATTGCAGCCACCTCAACAGCACAAGAACGACATCCCATATCAACCACAAAATAAGAGTGCGAAATCAACACTTGCTGCACTAGGTGTACCAGGACTTAAAAGACCACGTGGGAATTCCAATCCGTCGAATAGAGATCTATACACTTCTAGTCCACTTCCGCAACCATCAAATTCATCACGTAAGAATCTACTCAATATCTCATCTGGCTCCATTAAGCGTCCATCAACGAGCAATGTTGTATCTAGAAAGCAGCTTGCTCTTAACGGTACACGCCCCAATACTGCAAACCCAGCTTTACATCCTTACGCAAAATCTCAAGTATCACCAACTGAATCAATACGTGAAGAGATGTTTGAAAATGGTTACAGGATTGGTGCTGGTCCTTATCAATCACATAATAACTCTAAATTATCATTGACTGATGTTAGGAGAAAATGTGTCAAGTTCATTACAGCAGAAGATGGTTTTACTCGTGTAGTAGACGTATCAGAGTGTGAGAATGCTTCTGATGTACTCGCAAGAGTTCTCAAGAAGTTTGGTAAAATCAATTATCAAGCGAAGAGTCAAAGTGGTGCTATAGAAGACAACGAAAGATCATATTTCGTTTACCAAGGTTGGGGTGTATTTAGATGCGTTGACGGTCAAAGTGAGTATAATTAACTATGATTACTACTTATCAATTAATGTGTTTAAAGTCTATGGATATCCTCTCAGTGAAAGTGAGATTATAGCGGTCTGTCAATCACCTCCAAATGATTCGCAACGTGAACGTGGATTGTACATACAGCGTACAGAGGATTGGCAGCTACCTAAACCAAAATCAAAGAAGAAATTTGAAGCATTTTTCACGGATATGACACCACAGAAGAAGATGTCAAAGCAAGCTCTTCAGAAGCAGTCAGCTGAATCACTACGCATGAAAAAGAAGACAAACAGGGCAAGTATGATGAGTGTCATGTCAGGTTTGGGAGCTGTACCAGAACATGATGAAAAGCCACTTTACGAGTCAGCCGCTCAGCTACCATCCGTCAATCAAGCTGATAGAGTAGCAAATCCACGAGGTAGATTACAGAATTTCCATGGTCAGCGTCCACCATCTGAACTTATCTCTACCCACCTTGCTGATTTCTTCCCAACTGCGGATATAAAGAGTATAAACAAAACTGCTAGGAATTCAAGGATACATAGAAGGGATGGCTCGTCGGTTAGTACATCTAGTAGACCTATATGGGAAAGTGAGCCTATGCCTGAATTACCAATACCACCTTCAAAATTCTTTGATGAGAAGTATAAGATACCACAAAAGGAGCCACCAAAAGATGATATACCACCTGTACCTGCTGAGCAACCTCCAATGCTGCCTCCTGTCAACGTAGAACCATTAGACTGGTCTGAAACAAAGAGTATGGGTTCTTTGAAACCATCATCAATTGCTAGTAAAAAATCAAAAGGTGGTCCAAACGATGACACTTCATCTATTCTCACAATGGATCAAGTCGTACAGGAAGTTGAAAATAGAGTATCAAATGATGATTATAGAGATGTTGTTGAAATAGGAAGCATACATAGTGAGGAGGGTAGTATCCATGATGAAAGTGAGCTTAAAAGGAAAGAAGAACATACTGGACGTGTTTCACCTGCTTACTCGCAATTATCACCAAAACAACAGCCACTAGATCTACGTGCTTCACCAATTTCCCAACACTCACAACGCTCCGATGTTTCACCGTCATCACCCACTTCACAAGCGTCACCAGGATCTAAAAGTAAAGCACTATCAACCCATTCGAATGAAGCTAACGAGTCGCGTTCACCATCACCTCTTGAGCCACCGCCTGAAATCAACATTGGTGATAACTTTTTGCGTAGGCCTTCAGTCGGTCTAGGTCCAGAAGCTGAAGAGAATCAAGTTGATTACGTACCAACAGATGACGAGGATGACAAATATAGTTACAATGAACGCAAACCGATTAAATGGCACAAAGGTGCACTCATCGGAAGTGGATCATTCGGTAGTGTCTACTTAGGTATGAATAAATCAACAGGTCTGCTTATGGCTGTAAAACAAGTTGATTTACCTGCTGGTAATAGCACTGGTGTACATATCGAACCGAGGAAAAAGTCAATGCTTGATGCACTTGAAAGGGAGATTGAACTTCTCAAAGTATTAAAACACAAGAATATTGTGCAATATTTAGGTGAGCGATATATTTATCGAGGAAATTTTAATTATTGACTAAATTTTAATAGATTCTTCGCTTGACGAAGCTTGTTTGAATATTTTCCTTGAGTATGTTCCAGGTGGAAGTGTAGCAGCACTTCTACAAAATTATGGTGCATTTGAGGAAGAATTAGTGAGAAATTTCGTCAAACAAATTCTCACTGGATTAAACTATTTACACACTAAAGGAATAATTCATAGAGATATTAAAGGTGCCAACATTCTGGTTGATAACAAAGGTGGTGTTAAAATATCAGATTTCGGTATTTCAAAGAAGAAAGTGACGGATAATTTGTTCGGAGCTAATAAAGTTGTTAGACAGAGTTTACAAGGTTCTGTATTTTGGATGGCACCTGAAGTAGTAAAGCAAGAACCATATACTCGTAAAGCAGATATCTGGTCATTGGGTTGTCTCATTGTTGAGATGCTTACTGGTGAACATCCTTTCCCAAGCTTAAATCAAATGCAAGCAATTTTCAAAATTGGTAGCTCTGCATCACCTACTATTCCTGATGATATTAGTGATGATGCTAAAGATTTCTTGAAACAAACATTTGAAACTGATAGCGCTGCTAGACCTTCAGCAGCTGTATTAGAAAGAAGCGCCTTTATAACACAAATAACAGCTACAGAAGCAGGTAATAAAGATGCTCTCAAGGAAGCAGTAGCATCTACAGCCGATGTCTCAACTCCAACACATACTCAAGATCTTGAAGTTTTGTAGTATATTCAATACATTTTTATCATCTATTTTATGAATCCCTGGAAAGAAAAATGTATCAACTAAAACAAATGCAAATTATGAAAATTGTCCACTTTAGCTTTTTACTCCTTGTGTTTGTTGCTGTCGCCCTCATCACTATCGATATCACTACCAACATCAAATAATCTCTCAGATTCAATTTGTTCATTTGACCTACGGTCGCTGGTTTCTATGCCTTGTTCTTGTTCTTGGGATAGCGTGTTTGCGCGTAGTTGACTATAATCATGGACGAGCATTTGTCTCCTCCTTCTCCTTATCCAAAGGAAACCACCTACAGCAACACCAATAATGATCAAAAGAAGTGCAAATGATCCACTCTTTTTATGTGAACCTGCCCAACTAACTGAGGAATCTTCTTCACCAAATTCGTTAATATCACCAACGGCACTTTCAAAGTTGTAGTTGTCTGATGATTTTACAGATTTGAGGTCAACTTCCATATATCTTGTAATTAAATCTAACATTGGCTCAGGTGCATCAATCGGAACCATATGTGATGCATTATATACTCTCACATAGGTGAGATTTCTCTCTGCTTGCCATTCACCAACTGGATTACCATGCATCGACCATAATTGTGGTGTATCACCAGAGAATCCTTTACCACCATTCCATTCAAGGTTATCAACGAGATTTTCAATACCTTGATAATTGCATACTATATCTTTGTCACCAGCAAAAAGGAGTACTTTGGTATGTTTGAGTATTTTTGGAAGTAACCTAACTGATGCGGTTGAATGAATTGCAGTTAATTCCCTGCTTACTTTTACGTTACACTCAGTCCATGATTCAGCTCTGGCGCGCGCATTGAACGCTTTTGTTACACTCTCTTTCTGTTTGGTTTTATTAGAAATTTATCATTAAATAATTTGAAGCTTTACTCACCCTCAAATATTCAGTCACGTCGTGTAATTCATTAGGCCAGTTCATTCCACAAGCTGGATATTCGTCACGAAGACGATAGTCGTAAGTGTTTAAACAAGTAGCTTTTCCATTTTCATATTTACGATGAGAGCCAGTTATTTGATCCATTATTAATTCACATTCACTGATATAAATTTGTAAAATTCCAGTCTTCTCTTCACGTGTAAGTGCACTATTGAGCGATTTTTCACACCTTTCTACGAGATCCATCATCTCTTTATCGGCTTTGGTGCCAGGTTGAATCAGACCCTCAGCATGAGCGAATTGAGCATATGCCGGGTATTGTGAAATAGGGTCAATCCAACCATTTCCAATCATTAATCCTTTAAGATTCAATGGTAAATCAGGAGTTTCAATAACTTTGTTTGCAAAGTATGGTACATACTGACCAGCGTATGATTCACCACTTATATAGGTATCGGTATTCTTCAATTCTGGGAATATTTCATAAAAGTTGTTAAGGAAAGTGATAAATTGATCTGCAGCTTGATCTAATTCATGTACGTAACTATCTGTTTGGGCGTAACTGTAACCAGTACCGACTGGTTGATCGATAAAGACGATATTGGCGTATTCATGCCAGCCGTATTCTTTTTCTTTAAGACCCAATTCTCCTTTTTCATTCTTTATGAGGTTAAATGGACCAACTTCCATCATTAATGCGTCAAATGAACTACATCCTGGTCCACCGTTGAACTAAGTAAAATAAGTGAAAAGAAATTAGTGAATATTATAATACCATACCCAAAATATCGTTCTAGTCTTGTCTGTCTTCTGTCTAGCCTCCACTAGAGCGAAATAAAGATGGGAATTAGATTCTGAATCCGTAGTCGAAGGTACATGTCCGCCGTACATTTCAAAGCTTGGATCTCTAGTTCTTTGTAAATTTGGTAGATCATTTATCTTATAATCCTGTTTCTGCCTTGAAAATGGTGGTACTGGTGCTGTTATAAACATCAGATAATGCCAACTAGGGTATAGCTAATAAAACAAACCTCTAGCAACTTTCTTTAAGTCATCATCTTCACTGTATTCCCTTCTCGCTCTAAATTGTTCCTCTGCACGCTTTCGTATGACAGAATCCATCGTCGTTGTCAAGAAGAGAGAAATTTATAAGGATATTTATCTATACAATATCTACTTTAACATATACAATCTTCGATAGTCTCAGCAGCAAAGCCTGTTCATCGTTAGTCTCCATTTTCTTGTCTTCTCTACTACTCACAGCAGCAAAGTGTACCGATAAAGCAGAGACAACAGTTACGTATCGTATCACAACAGCATGTGCAACATCCTATTACTATTATTAGACTGCTAAAATCTGATTATCACACTCACCACCGCAACAACTGGATGTTTTATCAGTATTATGAAAGTATCTCATAGAACCAAACTCACCCGGAACTCTTCTCTTGTGGTGGTTGTGGCGCATATGCCATCTGTGGTGGTGGCGGTGGTTGCTGGTAGTAGCCTCCTTGCTATCAGACGCTTAGCAAGACATCATCATGTTCAAAGTAATACTCACTTGTTGTTGTGGCGGATAATAAGACATACTTCCTATCTAGACGATTGTATTTATAAAACAGGCGACGTATTTATATAGCAACCTTAAATAGATCAGGACTTGGCTTTTGCTGTACCTTACTTGACTTTGGTATGTGCGCAGCGGTGTATAATTATTGATAACTCGCTATAAACTTTCTTATAACAATTATTGCTAACACTTTTACACTTTGTTTCACATTTTCCAACTTTTTTTGCCTTTTGACACATCTCTAACCGGCATAAGTGTGCCCAGACATTTGATCGTGATTTGATCTGTGATTATAATCACAATGAGGTGAATAAATATATTAAGTAGTATAATAAACCTCTACAATTTCTATTTAACGCTTTCCATATCCACCCCTCCAAGTTGATCGGCTAACTCCTGCTTTCGGTCTATCTAAGTTCTTAAACTTTCTATAATCATCTTCGTATCTATTAAAAGGCGGTGGAGAATGTCTACCTTGGTAGTTGCTAATTATCTCTTAGTAAAAATAAGGTTGTCAGATCTACTGCACTCACTCTTGTCGCCGCCGGCCAAGTCTATCTTGAGCACCATCCAAATCATATCTACTGTTACTGCTACTGCTTTTACTATTACTCTCTTCCCTCTTGCGCTCTCTTTTACGCTTATTCGCTCTAGCCTTCTTTGAAAGACCATCACCGACACCATTTATACTAGCAACAAAGTTATCATAATCATCACTATCATCACTACTTTCATCTGCGAGACGTTTCAAATACTCTTTCTCCTTACGTCTTCTTTCAAAGCCAGGTCCACCACGATCAGGTATGCGAGTGTTTGACGGATATCCACTTGATTTTTCTAATTGTTTAGCTCTACGTGATCCATTCGTATCCTTTTTCTTCTTCTTATCGCTAAGGAAAGCTGTTCTGAATGGCCCACTTATTAGATTCTGTTCAGAGAATGCTGATGGTTCGTGTAATGGAATTGGACAACCTCTTCTCATTCCACAATCATCACCCAAATGACCTGAATCTGCACAATTGTAACACCACATTTCTGATCTAGCTTCTTGAATTTCCTTCGATTCAGCTTCATCCGTTACTTCTGACTTAGATTTATTATCGAATTCTTCCGTGTCTACATAGCGATAGATTCTCCAGAGTGTTGGACATGCCTGTTGGGATATATTAGGAAAGTGATGAATAAGTAAACCAAACCGACCCTCATTTGATGATTAGGAGAGCCACATCTACGACAACTAAGTCGTGAGTCTCTCTGTTTTGGGATAGTGCAATTCTGTAGTTTGTTTAGTTTGAGTAGCCAAGCATCGTGTAAACGTACTCTAGCAAAGTGACCGCGACCACCACCTAGGTGATGTTAGATGTAAAGAGAGATCAAGAAGGCTATACTAACAGTTATAACAAACAAGTGAGATTGGACAATCCCTCTCCTTGTGTTCATCGACGGCGCCACAAGTGAGGCACTGAGAGAGTGTGAATGAGTGTATAAATTAGAGTAAATAAGCGTACGATAATATGCGGACAATCTTTAGCTATATGTCCAGTTTGTTTGCAGCTTTTACAGACGGTGTACTCATGTCTATTGACTTCTTCTTGGAAGTACCTAACTGGAGCTACGCCATGTTGATCAATATCAACGAAATCACTATCATTCTCCTCATATTCCTTATCCTGGATAGTACTATTATCGCCTTCACCATTGTTATCTTCTAAAACTCTAACGGTATGAATTTCATTATCCTTCGTTTCCTCATCATTGAGGTTTATATAATGGGGTAAAGTGAGTGGAACTGCATTATTATCAGAGTTATCATTCTCTCTATCGACTTCTAAAGTAGATTGAGCGTTCGCGTCTGGTTCTGTATCAACGAAGAAGAGTTGCTATAGTAGAGAAATGAGGATATGAGCTTGTATTTAGATAAATGCTTACATTATCATCAAATTCTACAGTTCCCTCGTCATTAGCTGGATTTTTATTATCCTTTTTTGAAGATTTTGAAGATTTCGCCATCGAAGTAGATAAGATAGAGCGTATAGAAGTTTGAAGGGTGTGTTGGTCGATGATATACTAGATTAACTCAGAGCATCATTTTCTTAGGCTTTAAAATAACTCTCGATTTAATCAGACAGCTTAGACATTTACATCATTTCTTCGTTAAAAACAACGATGAGTTATCCACAAGAAGGTTTAATTGAAGGGTTCAATGTCGGTGATTTCACCTTCAATTTAATAAGTGGACCAGCTGCCTCTGACGATGATCTTCTCGGGTTTGTACCTAGAATTCCCCACACTGTGGCACCTACTAAATAGACAAACAGCTTCAAGGAGGATTTAGGCTTTGATCCACCGATGCTTCTATTTCCTCATAATGCTATAAAAATTGCGCACAATCTCAGTAATTTCACTTTGGCATTTTACGCTAGGCCTGCGCTGCATCTGATTGACAAAAGTGGCGCGGAAGCTAAAAGAGTCGCTTATGCATTTAATGAGGGCGCACATGCGTAAGTATAACTTGTTCTCTTTCTTTTTCTTAGTTTTGCTCAATTTTTACATCAGACAACTCCCAAAGAAGAGTCACGATTGGACATACACTACAACCTATTCCGGTAACTCAACTAGGAGTTTTAATGGCACACCCTACAGGAGTATAGCTTCTACACCATCACACAGTCACAATCTTGCTGATAACGTCATCAGTCATCATACACTTACGTTTTTTGAGGATGACTTGGGTTCAGCTGGATATACAACTTTAAGAGCTACTTTGATAGTCTACGATGACAGTTTTGAGATCTTGCAAAGGCATTTCTTACGAGTGAACAATATCCTTTTTAGAATTTTCGACTGCACCTTCAGTCATAAGTTTGGTAGTTGGGAGATCAACAAACATTGTAGAGGTTGGGAAGGCCGTTGGAATGAAGTTTTTATGCGCTTACCAACTGATTACCAAAACATTAATGAAACATCAAGCGAATATCAAGATGCAGTTAAGGATGTATTAGTTTTACTCAGTCCATTAGAGAGTATTCGGAGAGCGAAGGAGCTTTCACCATCTAATCAAATGCTTAGATCCACTTCCGGAGATAGTGTCAGCAGCGCTAGTATGAGTAGTCGATCAGGTTCACGAATTGGATTTGCAGCTCGCGTTTTATTAAGTAGGCACAATTCTCATAACTCTACAGCAAGCACTCGGAGACGTCGGAAGCATCCGCCTGGTGCATTATCATTCAGTACCGCAAAAGCGAAATCTAACCCAGGTTCAATGCCTTCTAGTTGTGTTTCACCAATGTCATCAGGATGTTGCTCACCATCAGCGATAAGTGGAGCAGGTACAGGATGGAACGGAGTTGGTAGATGGAGCTACAGAATACATTTGTCTGATATGAATGATGAATTTAGGAGAGAATTACCTTCGCAATTCCCACCGGAAAATACAGATGAAAATTACGAAATGGATGACTGGGAATATGAAAGAAGAAGATCGTTCGCGTACAATAACATGTTTAATGATTTTAGTAGCTGCTCCAGCTCTGATGATGATGGTTACGCCTACGACCAGATGGATGTTGCCCAACAACTGACAAAACGCTTAGAGAGGTTTAGTAGACAATATCCAGAACGTTTAGTGGATAGAGATGATTACGACAATGATGATTTTTAAATGTATGTATATATACTCCTTTGAATGCATGTTGTATGCCTAGGCTAGATGATAGAAATCTCGTGAATCAAGAAATACAAAGTGAGAAAGGGATGCCAATCTATTATAGGAGGCGCTACGTGCAGTAATTAAATTAAGATTGCTTGTTTGACTCGTTGCCATTGATGTTTTCCCACTCGTGAGAGCTGGTGTCTGATGGTGCAGAGGCAGGAGTACCAGAAGGAGCAGAAGTCGAAGGCTTCTGCTGATCCTCGGCTGACTTATCCTCAGTTGCTTGTTCCTCAACGGCGGCTTTCTTGCTTTCTGGTTCTTGTTCCTTAGGTTGCTCCGCTGGCTTTTGTGATTGGGCGTTTGCGACCTGAAGCTGTCAGAGGAGAAGAGATGGACAGATGGACTAACCTCCTGGCTGGTCATTTGCATGACGAGTTGGAAGATGTGAGGTGGTACTGTTCTCTCATAGATCATCAAGAGTTCAACTGGGGATGGGTAGACCTTGAGTGCCTTGAAGAATGCGGTTGCTGCCTTGAGCTCGCTATCTGGGCCTGCTCGCGGATGAGTGTCGGTCGTAGAATTTTACAATAAACGCACCCATAGAAGCCAACACTTCACCGTTGCCGACGTTTTGCATAAAGTAAGCCTCGCCTTGCTCAGCCCCAGTGACGGACCTCTTGAATGCCTCGACCTCGATGTTTGCTTCCAGAACAGCAGCTTTCAAAGCGAGCTGTAAATCTTGGGCAGATTTCTCTGCAGCGGCCTTCTCGACCTTGGTTTGTTTGACTGCAGCCTTTTTCAATGACTTTCTAAACTCAGTATCGTTTCTACGCTTGTAGTCAAAGTACACTGCGTATCCAGCGCTGTATAGTGTTAGAATCGCTATTATTAATAAACAGACTTACAATCCTACAACTGCTGTAGCTGCTGCCAAAGTAAAGTACCTCATCGTTTCTAAACAAGAAGATCTAAAATCAATTTTCCTCGAGAGCGCCAATTGGAAGTCTCTTAAATCGTCGCAACGAGGAAATGTTGACATCAAAATTATTCCAAAGGGGCTTATTAAACACCCAGCGTCGTTTTTACGCTAGCTCTATTAAGCAGCCTGCTACACAAGTCACTTCACTCTCGAATGGTCCGTCTAGTCTATTCAATCCAGCGATTACTAATTCCTTCTGCTCTCAGGCTTGACCGTCGCTACTGAGGAGAACGATACCAAGTCTGCTACCGTAGGTGTCTGGATCGACTCCGGTTCTAGAGGCGAATCAGCAAAAACGAATGGAACTGCTCACTTCTTAGAGCACATGGCATTCAAAGTACGTTATAGCTTTCTCTACAACACCCGTTAACTCCCCTAGGGCACAAACCGCCGCTCTCAGTTCGACCTCGAATTAGAAGTTGAATCATTGGGTGCTCACCTCAACGCCTACACCTCCCGCGAGCAAACCGTTTATTACGCTAAGTCTTTCTCTCAAGACGTTCCAAAGGCCGTAGACGTTCTCTCTGATATTCTTCAAAACTCAAAGCTCGACTCTAAGGCTATCGAGCGTGAAAGAGACGTCATTCTCCGCGAGCAAGAAGAAGTCGACAAGCAAATCGAGGAAGTCGTCTTTGACCACCTCCACGCAGTTGCCTTCCAAGGTTCGTTGGTTTTTTTTATGAAATTTTTCTTACCCGCCCACAGGTGAACCACTCGGTCGTACAATCCTCGGTCCAACTGAAAACATCAAGTCACTCAACCGTGACGACCTTAGCACCTACATCAAGGACAACTACCATGGTGATAAGATGGTCTTAGCCGGTGCAGGTGGTATCGCTCACAGCGAACTCGTAGAGCTCGCAAAGAAGCACTTTGGTAACCTTACTAGCTCACCAAACCCTCTTCCACTCGGCAACAGACCTTCTGCTGAACGCACAAGATTCACTGGTTCAGAAGTTAGAATTAGAGATGACAGCTCACCAACCTGCAACCTCGCTATTGCTGTAGAGGGTGTTAGCTGGTCAAGCCCAGACTACTTCCCAATGCTCGTCATGCAATCGATTTTCGGTAACTGGGATCGTAGCTTAGGTGCTTCACCATTATTGTCTAGCAGATTATCACACATCATTAGCGAAAACAACCTCGCAAACAGCTACATGTCATTCTCAACCTCATACTCAGACACTGGTTTATGGGGTATCTACTTGGTCTCAGAAAATTTGATGTGTTTGGACGACTTAGTACACTTCACTCTCAAGGAATGGCAAAGAATGTCAATCGCACCAACACCTGCAGAAGTTGAGCGCGCAAAGTCACAACTTAAGGCATCATTGTTATTAGGTTTAGATGGTTCAACTGCAGTCGCAGAAGATATCGGTAGACAAATTGTCACAACAGGAAAGCGTCTGACACCTGCAGAAATTGAACAATCAATCGCAGCTGTAACACCTGAGGAAATCCAAAGAGTCGCTAACAAGTACTTATGGGACAAGGACATAGCAATTGCTGCTCACGGTCGCACAGAAGGCTTGCTTGATTACAACAGAATCAGATCAGACATGTCATCCATGTTATACTAAGCTTAATAATGTAGAATAAACTTTTAACTTTTATAAATTTCGATTTATTTGATTTCTATCACTTTGAGACTGACGATCATCTGAGATATAGGAATATAGGGAATAAATATGACAGAATCCCATAATGAAGATATAAATAACGATAATAGTAAAGATATTTCTGCTAAATTAGCCCAATTGGATGAGAAATTACACGTAGAAGAGAAGATAAAGGATGGCGCAGAGAATCTCTTACAGGTTAGAATAGGAGGTCCTTTCAGTGTTATATACTAACAACCCCAGGTCTTTGACACTACAAAATCTGATAACCAAGAAATGCTCAGGAAGCAAGTCGAGGATGCACTCACAAAAGCTAACGACAATATCACGAAGCTTAATAAGGATATCGAATATCTGAAACTTATACCTAATACCCCACGCAAGAAACCACCTACGATACAATCTACATCAATAAACGACTCTGCCCGTCGGCGACGTACACCAGAGACATTTATCGAACCACCCGAGGATCACAAAACTGCATTCAACAATGGAATAGACTTCCTACAGTCTTTGGCTTCACTTAACCACTCCTATTTCGATCCAGAGAGTTTAGCTTCTAGGAGAATAGACCTCATGGCCGGCTTAACCGACGCACTCAAGAGGAACTTCAGATTGCGCTATGAGCTCGATCAGGATGTACTCATACATGCAGTGAAGAGCTGTCTTTCTGACAATGCTGGTGTTCCCGTTCGGACGGTCGCTTACCGTCTTCTTCGTCATGCACTCGTCGATAGATCTTCCGCAGAGCTTTACGAGAGCTACGGCGTTAGGCTCTACCTCATACGTTCACTCGCTCGTGATGCATCTTCACAACTCGAGAAGGAGCAAGCCATTTTCTTTATTAGGGCCTTGATTGATCTAGGCAACCATCGAGGGCTTCTCATAGATCAGTCAATCATCCGGGCTATCATCGCCATTGCTGAGAATGGTGAAGATCCACTTAGATACCTCTGCTTGGAGTTGTTAGCTGAAGTTGCACTCCTGGATATGCCTCTTCTCTCAAAATCACAAGGTCTTAATATTCTTCTATCAGCTCTTAGTGGTTCTTCCCCAGATCTGACACACTTTGCACCCGTTTTGGCATCTCTCTTTTGTTATATCATTGATAACCCACTTACACGACAGTACCTCAAACCTGGCACTGATCTTGAAGTAAGTTTGGCTGCATTTACGGATGTACCCTCTGCGCATTTCAAGGCTTCAAACGCTCGTATCGAGAGATTGAAATGCGCGAGCAGCATTCTAGTCATTCTCCTTAAAAGTTGGACTGGATTGCTATACTTTTGCGTAAATGATAGACGAGCTTTGAAGACATTGATTGATGCTTTACGTGTTCCTTCACAGGAATTACGCGAAGCGCTGCTTGATTTAATATTTGAATTGCTCAATATTAAGACTCCTGCTTGGTATGTTGCTTCCTTGGAAGGAAAAAGACAGACGAGTGGGTAGTATTTTATAATTTAAACCTAAGCTAACGCGGTATAGTGTACAATCGATCAACGGGTCAGCGTAAGACTACCGAACGCGGTCAAGACTCAGATAAACCTGAGAAAATTACTATCATCGATCATTATATTGCACTCCTTCTGGTTGTACTCATTGATAGTGGATTGATCGAGGTGAGTGATGTCTAGTAACTGAATTTCATTCTAAATACACGACAAGGGACTTACGGCTATAGTTGAAGAGAAGAATGAAGTGCTTACTCGAAAGGCAACTCTTCTTTTAGGAGAGTTGCTACGAAAGGGTAATAGAATTCTACCAACTGCTTATGCAGCCAAATTGCAAACTTTACCGCGATTATTTGCTCTTGCTGCAGAATATAGTGGCGATCTACGTCTATCAGCTTGCTCAGCCCTAGCTACAATCGATCATTTTAATAGAGTGCGAAATAGACCTACACCAACACCAGCTAAGGATAGCAGAAAAAGGTGGGTTACTTTCATAGTAAATTCTACAGTCTAACATCTGGCAGATCAAATTCGCTAGATGATCCAATGAGGAGAGGACAACGACAAGTCGAACAAGTAAAAATGCGTATAGGAATGCAGATAGATGACAAAAACTTTCATGCCATGTTGCTGGAATCTCAGGTGTTGGTCACCAAGGATAACGTTAGATGGAATTATGACATAGTAAATGATCTCCTCGAAGGCCCTCTACTTAATCCTCGACGTTTAGAAGAGGCATTTAAGAATACAAAGTTAATTAAGCGCCTTATGTCATTCTATCATCCCTTCAATTTGAGATTCTCGAATACAAAAAAGACGAAGCCGAATATGAGATGGGTGCGACTTGGTTGTCAACTGGTCACAACTTTCCTCACAAGCGAAGAAGGAAGGAGGTATCTGGCTGAAGACAAACTCTTAAGGCAGCTAAGCGATTGCTTTTCACAACTAGATCCATTACATGCTAGTCAAGGAGTTATGGGTGAACCAATATTCTCGCGTAATAGGTTAGAAGATACGCTTTGTATTGGGTATTTTGAAATGATAGGTACGATAAGCAAGACACCCGAAGGAATAGAATTATTAGAGAAACACAAAATATTTACTTCCTTCTACCATCTCAGTGAATTGAGAAGTAGGGAAGATCTAATGAAGGCCATCATTGAAAAGTTAGATTACTCAAATTCTGGACATCCAAGAATTATTCTCTCGAAAGCTCTTACCGCTAGTTATAAACATGTACGACAATTCGCAACTACTCATTTAGGTGAACTTATAATTTCATCTGCAAAATCAAATGAGTGGGCATTAGACCTCCTGATAACACAGCTTTATGATCCTGCTATTGAAATTTGCGAATTGGCGGTTAAATATCTCGAGAAAGTATGTGAATCTACGGAAATACTTGAATTGGTGGTTAGCATGATGCCTAGTTTGGATCACCTTGGCGAAACTGGTCATCCGTTAATGTTACGTTTCTTATCAACGTCTGTTGGATTCAAATACCTCAAACAATTCGACTACATTGATAGAGAAATAGAAGACTGGTTCCATGAAAGAAACGCAAATTACGTCGTTTTGATTGAAGTCTATCTCTCTCATGCGCTTGGGATGAGTGCTTTTGATAATAGCGACGCCAATATTAGTTTCGATGGCACCGTTCCTTCACATTTCTACGGTGAACTCACGAAAACATATGAAGGTTGTGAACTCCTAGCTGAGAAAGGGCATTTCGGAGAGTTTGCAGAATTCATCAGACGACATGGTTTGGAGAATAGAGATGGTGATTTAATTAATAAATTGAAGAGCGTTTTATGGGCAGTTGGTACTATTGGATCAACACCTCATGGTCTTCCTTTCCTTGAAGATGAGAAGATAATTGGAAATATAGTTAGAATAGCTGAACAAAGCGAGTTTATTTCCCTTAAAGGTACTTGTTACTTTGTCCTAGGTTTGATAGCATCCACTGAGGCCGGTATCGCAATCCTTGATGGATATGGTTGGCAATCGACGGTATCTACTCTTGGTCAACCACTTGGTATATGTCTTCCAAAAGATTTAAGTAAATTTGTCGTTATACCCGAATGGGAGCGAACATTAACTCAGGGAGAAATTAGCTCAACATTTGTCTTAGAAGAACCTACTAAGGCTGTAGACAAGGAAATAATTGGAGTTTTATCAGATCTTAGTAATCAACTAGTAGCTGGTGGTGCATCACGCTCTCTAATCAAGCTGAAAATGCAGAATACAACTTTGTTTAGATCTATACCAATGTTTAGCAGAGCACTATACCTTATGGGATCATTCCATTACAGAGCACCAGCTAGGAAAAGCATAATAGACGCCTTCGATATTGAATTTAATGATGTGAATGTCAGAGAGATAATGAAATCAACAGAAGAATTAAAACAAAATGGACGGAATATCAACGTTGATATATCTGCACTTGAATCAGAAGAAGCTAAATGGAGAGAAGAATTAGGGGAGGTTGTTAATGACGAGGTTGACATTCTACTAAAGAAGGCAAAGAATGCAGCTGTATTTGACGAAAAGAATGTTCTAGCGGCGACCTTAGATTCTGATCAAGAAAGTGTTGATATAGGGCGAGCTAAGAATACAAAGGGCGAACGGACCGTTAAGTCAGACCCTGTACGCACAGTCGTCGGTGGATTTGGGAATGAGAATCAAAGTGAAGCCAGTCGGAGTGGTAGATTTAGGATGTAAATTGGTTATGTAATGAAATAATGTTAGTTATGAATAATTCTTTATCTGTCTCAGGCCGACCCACTTTCCTAAAACGCGAAAAATAGTACGCGAAAGAATAAGGATGAGAGGGGAATATATGAGTGTATATATAATAAATAGATAAAAGTTAATAAAAGATATATCGTCGTGTGAAAAGTCGCTATCGAATAAATTTCTGAACGCTCACTTCTTCTAAGAGTTCGACCATCAATTAGTTAAGAGTATAAAAGCTATAAAACTGGCTAGCTTATTATCAAAATGGCCTTCAAATTTCAATGGCCAGACTTCAATGCTGCATTCTTAGCAGATGCTCGTACGACACTAGATAACGCACTAAACAAAGGACCTAAACCGCCTATAATCGCTGATAGGATTATAGTAGAGGATTTAAACATGGGAACCATCGTTAGTTTCATTTAAAAGCGTTAGTCATACGACCAGCTAACAAGCTATAGCCACCTGAATTAGAAATACTTGAAATTGGAGAGTTATCTGTGGACAAGTTTAGAGGTATATTCCGTATGAACTATGCAGGAGACGCTCATATCGTTCTACGCACAAAAGTACAAGTGCGTTATACCCTTTTATCACTTTAATTAGAAATCTAACCCTTTCACAGGCAAATCCATTAACGACAAAAGGTTCAAAACCTGGTTTACTGGGTGGTAGATCTATCTTAGCAGCTCATCAGCCACTCGTAGTACCAATGCACCTCCGATTATCTGCATTGAGATTACGTGCGATTATTGTTTTAGTCGTCAGCAAGCAAAAAGGTATCACTTTAGTATTCAAGAATGATCCTTTAGAGAATTTAGACGTTAATTCTACATTCGATTCTATCGCCGTTATACAAAAATTCATCCAACAACAGATCGAAGGTCAATTAAGGGAAATGTTTAGAGAGGATCTGCCCGGTATTATACATAGGTTATCTCAACAATACTTCGATTCTAGAGAGAAGGCGAAAAAATCATCGTCTTCCGCACCTAGGCGATCTGCGATGTCCGCAAATGGCGAATTAGAAAGCTATCAAACGCTATATGGTTCCAAGTCTGATAGACCAACACGCTCTATGAATATACCAAGAAGAAGTAACAGACTCTCCACTCAATCCCAACCACATTCACCTACATCATCGACTTTCCCCGATCTCGAATTTTATGATCCTACGTATGGTCTCAGACCACATTTAAAGGAAGCCCAAGAAAACCTAGGTGAGACTGCTTTCGGAAAGGTCTGGGAGCGCAGTCGTGGTTTCCTACAACCTTCGGATAAGAACACAGTAGATGATCTTGACGACATAGATTTATTTGATCCACCGATCAATACGGACGCATTCGAAGCTGAAGATGATGATGCTGTTTCTGAAAGTCTACGTCGTTTGCATTTAGATGAAGACGAAGAGCAAGAGGAATTGAATAGTATAGATGATGTCACTGGTTCAACTGCATGGCGGACAAGATCTTCAAGATCTTTGCGTACACCTGCAAGTGATGCAACATCTTACATTAGTAGTAGGACTGCCACTGCTAGACCAGTTTCCACTACGAGCTACAAACATACCCAAATCACAGAAGATACTAGATCATCAATCTCAAATTCACGATCTAATTCCTTCGCTGATACTTCGATTCTTGATGATTCTACTGCACCAACGTCAATCTTGGAAGAAGATAAGGTTGCACCGAAGCCATACAATTTAAGTACATCACCAACAATACAGAAGAGTATAAGGTACACAGATACTGGAAAGATGACTATTATGGCACCTATAAATGAGAACATAAAGGAGTTAGGAAATTTATCTCAAGTTAATTTCACATTATCACCAAATACTAGAGTGTTTGAACGATCAACGGTAAGGAGTTTCCCTCACACCAAGCAGAGGAATAGCAAAGGTATACAAAAAGCCAGACGCAAGAGAGTACACAAGCTTGGTGGAAAGAAAGAAGGAAAGAAAGAAGAAAAAGAAGCAACTAGTTCTTCTACAAGTAACACGGCTAGCACACCGCAAGAAGCAACAACACCTGTTGTTCAAACACCAGCACATGCATTAGATAAAACGAAAAACATCAAATTGGCCTTATGGGCTCGAGAAGCATCATTACAAGCACCAAAACCACCCCCATCTGTAATTGCTAGTACGACCTAGTATCTTTGTAATATTTTAACGAGTATGTACTAATTATCACAACTTTACAACTAAATAAATCGTTTCGCTAAGCGTATTTGTGTGTGTGTGATTATCTATGTATGATGTAAAAATCAGGAGCCATATTCGGGAATATAATTGCCTATCAAGGTAGTTTATCTTTATCACACGATCGCACTATCGTAGATCCAATGGATGATGTTAATTTGTGAAATTTTTCTTTTCATCGAACAAAGATCGCCATATAGTGTAGCAAATAACTAGTCTATTGATCCATTTAAAAGTATTAACGCTCGTTTAAAATAATTCAGGTACTAATCACATCTAGCCAATCGATCGAATCAGATATGATGTATTTTTTTAATTTAAAAGTGCGGAATATTCCCCACTTACTCCTCTTCACTCAACCACGAGAAACTAAACGAAAGAATTATAATGGCACCATCAGCACACGTCGATTCAACAACTCCAGCAGCACAAGACAACATTGCCCAGCTCAAGCAACAAGCTAAGGGACACGTTGACGCTGTTGAGGATTACAATGGCAACTACAAGTTTGCTCCAATTAAGGAGTATGAGACTTCCAGAGCTATGACTACACGTTACTTCAACGATATGTACGAAAGAGCTATCAGTGACGTCTTGATTATTGGCGCTGGTTCTGCAGGTTTATCCTGCGCATTCACAATCGCCACAGAGAGACCAGATTTGAAGGTAACAATTGTGGAATCAGCAGTCGCACCAGGTGGTGGTGCCTGGCTTGGTGGACAACTTTTGTCTGCAATGGTTGTCCGCAAACCAGGTCACAACTTCCTCGACAAAGTTGGTGTTCCATATGAGGATGAAGGTCGTTACGTTGTCGTTAAGCACGCTGCTTTGCTTACTTCAACTTTGCTTGCTAAGACTTTGGCATTACCAAATGTCAAGCTTTTCAACGCTACTGCGGTGGGTATCTAACTGTCTAATGGCATCTTCTAGTTTTTCATTTGCTTCTACATTCGTGCACACGGGTGCCTAGAGTTTTTACGCTCAGGCTGAGAATATACCGTCATCAGCGGGACCAGCGTTATGGCTGCGTCGACGAGTTGCATTGAATTAGAGGTGCCCATCTTTGGGGCTTTTTTGCTGACGCTAGTTGCTTACAGTGCGAAGATCTTGTAAGTCTTAGGATCTTTGCACTATAAGCAAATGAGCTAAAAGAAATTATAGATTGTTAAGAAAGACTTTGAAGGCAAACAACGTGTCACTGGTATAGTATCAAACTGGACTTTGGTCTCACTTAACCACGACACTCAATCCTGGTGTGTATTGTTGTTGCCTTGAAAGTCTTTTCCTTATTAGTTTTAGTATGGATCCAAACACTATCACAGCACCAATCACCATCTCATTCTGTGGTCATGACGGTCCATTCGGTGCTTTCTCTGTCAAGAGACTTGCTTCAGCTGGTTTCGTTGAACTTGGTGACATGAGAGCACTCGATATGAACAAGTCAGAGGACCAAATCGTCAACCAAACTAGAGAAGTCTTCCCTGGTTTGATCGTTGGTGGTATGGAACTCTCAGAATTGGATGGTGCACCACGTTGCGGTGCTTCATTCGGCGGTATGTTCGGTGTAAGTGTTTTAGATTCTATCCAATATTGAATCATCACTAAATCATTTTCTCAGTCTGGTGTAAGAGCCGCATACACCGCTATCGAATCACTCAAGTCAACTGAAATTGTCGAAGGTGAAATCACCGGCAGAGTCGCCGCTTAAGGTGTTTTTCTATTATGATGTATTAAATTTTTGAATGAGTTTATTTGAAAGAATGAATGAAAATTATGCAAGGAATATAAATACAATGTTTGCTACTACTTAAACTTCATTACAGAATAAATGCTAATTAATGTTTGATTTCAATGTTTCTATCTATAACCAACCTGTAAATTTGAAACTATCAAGCTGTCTCTTATCCTCATCACATAAACTCATTATTGATGTCGCATGTGTAATGCTACTAGTAGAATTATTTCTAGATGCAGTGATTGGTGGAAGAGACGCGCGTTGTGCGTATGCTGGTTGCTGTTGTAATGGTTGATAAGCTGTTCGTTGAGGCATATATTTGTTAGAATGTACATAATCAGCAGTAGTCTGACTGTGACTAGATGAAGGTCTTTGTTGTACAGCTGTAGTTGGAATAGTTTGACTGGTGTATGTTGCAGGTGCTGATGTCATTGGTGGTGGGACATTTGCACCTTGAGCTGTGTTAATAGTTGGTGGTACACCAAAATTAGACCTCTTCCTTTGAGAGAAGCTAGGTCTACTTTCAAATATTGACGTGTTCCTTCTTGGACTTGGATAAGGTGAACTTCCTCTCCTAATGGATGACCTACTTGCTAATGTGGCAGCGTATGCACCTGCCTGTATGGCACTAGCGTTATTTGTATTGGGGTGCGAGGCCCTTCTATTGGTTTGTCTCGCCGAAAGTGAGACCTGATTAAAATCAGCCCGTGTCGCAGACACAGGTGGTGTGATCACAGTTCCATGGAAAGGGTCTGTGAATGCTGCATTTGAAAAGCTGTGTGGTGGCGTAGGTGGCGGACTGAACGACCGGTTGCTTGGGTTGACAATATTGATCGGTTCGGGCCTTTTATCTGGAACTGAAGGTGACGTCAAAACTGAAGGTGTTGTGTAGTCTATTTTATCTTTAAACATGGAGAGTTCAGAGTCTTGTGAAGGCCTAATAGCTTTATTGAATGAGTTTGTATAACATACCAAATGAAGTTTTGGGTCAGGAAGACTGTTAGAGAGTGTTTGAGGGAGTGAATACGTTTGCTTCACTAAACTGGAGGCTTTTCTAAATAATCTGTTAGTAAATTAATGAATAACTATGTTCACTCACTCTTCTACTTCAATTTCTTTGTACCATAAGAAGCCACCTTGTACACGAGAAGGTCCCCAACGTTTGCCATCCGTCCATCTTTGCATACCTTGACACTCTTCCCATATGAACACATCACCAGTTTTGATCGAATTCCTCTCCGACGACGTCAGTCGACGTCTATATACTTTGAGCTTATCGGCTTGTACAGCTTTGAGTAAAATTACGGCGTCTAGATTATTGATTATCTGTCCGTTATAGGTTGGCATCGTGGTTACAGTTCAACTTTCTTTATTAATCGAATTCTCGGTTTTAGACTAAAGATTGGCACGCATGTTCCCACACAACTAAAATGACATTATCAAGGAAAATTTTCATCTTCACGCGACATTAATATTACATCAGTTCAGATATACTGTAATCAATAACTAATATTCTTGTAAAAATATACACAGACTTATAATAAAACCCAGAAAGGCAACCTATTCATTCCATTCTTAAACAAAGTTAGTTTAGATCGGCATGTGAATGATACACGGGGCAAATTTTAGTGTGCATTGTTATTAGCTCTATCATAACGTTTGTTTATACCACCAAGCATCGCTTTCAATAAATATTTTGCGTCGAAATCACCGTCGACAATGTCTATAGCTGGCGTTGTGTCGACAATATCTCTACATCCCCCATCCCTGTTATGTATTTCATTATCAAGTTCATGAAGCCATACTGTAGCTTCTGGATCGTCACCAATTTGAATAAATTGTATGCCCACTTGAGATATTGGTGCACGCAATCCATCTAATCTTCTAGCTGCATTTAGAATGACAGTTTCTACATCATCTTCTGCCGTACCATCTGTTACAACAATGATATTCAATGGCCTCATTTTTCCGCCTGAGCTGGTTACTCTCTCATATTCATTCAAATAATCAAGTAGGATTTCTTCCAAACGAGTACCAGTTGGGGTACTTCCACAAGGTTGGACACTATCAAAGAGTGATTTTAAATTGTTTACGTTTTGGACATTCTGAGCTGTTGCTGGATTGTTTAAGAAATAGACATCTATAAAGTTATTAAGGTACGCCAATGGAATTTATAAGACCCACCTATCCCATCTGGATCATAGTTAATAGCGATCTCTAAAAGACCAGCTAATGCAGACAACATGGAGCGCCATAGACCTCCAGCCATGGAGCCACTATCGTCCACCAGGAAGCAAGTGTCAAAACGAGAAAGAAATAGTAGGGGATCTTCTGACCTTCCTTCGAGACCTTTTCTTGCATCATGTAACCAATCACCACCCAGTGAATTACCCCTCGGTGGGGGGTGATCCGGTGGTGCATACCCGCTACTAGTTGGTATACTAGCTACGGGGAATGACGTCTGTGTGGGACTCGTGTATAAATTCTGTTGGGAGTGTTGTTGTTGTTCATATGGTGTGTATGCTGGTGGGGGTATTGATTCGCCTTGAATATCATTAAATGGTTGAACTTCTGGTTCATTATTGTAATAATTATCTCTAGTTGACATTCTCCTAAGATGACGCAAAATTGTCATGGATGTGATTGATTAAGATGTGGCAGTGCAGAAGTGGAGGCATCTTTGTTTAAAATTGCAGATAAATTAGCTGTTATACAGACCATAATCTGAGACTTATACTGAAACTACTACCCGCATTGGGAGACCAGAAAGTGAAACTTGCCCGCGTACCCGGGATGACCGTGGAGAAACATAACTGCCAGACGGTAAAATAACGCGTAAAAGGCGAAACTTACACGTTAGAATAAAATATATAGAGTAAATTTGACCCATTTTACGCGCTATATTTTCTCGCCACACTCTTTTATAATCACATCCAAGAACGCATTGCCGAATTCGTCTAATAAAAAGAAAAATAAGATAATTGATAATCAATCATCGACGAATTAAATCAATTTTCAGTAAATACATCTTTAAATGCAACGGCGACCTCTAAAGGAAATACCAATACGTAAAATAGCAAGTTCGCCTCTATCACGCCAATTAGTACAGCGTACACCCAAACAAGTACAATCTGAAGGCTCGATAGTTTCACCAAGGAGTCCAAATCCTGGTACAACTAGTGTAGACAGCTGGACTATATTCCAGGATGATGATCGCATTGGGAGTGATGTAGATAATCAATCAACAGAGGACAAACTTGACGTAAATTCACCTGAGCAACTCAGTGATGATGGTGAAGAAATAGAAATCGTAGATGAGAATGATAATCCTCCGGTATTTCCTTCGTTTAAGAGCCCAATGCGCAGACCACCGTTGTTACCATACCGATTGAGTTCTACTCCAAGTTTAGTTAGATCTTCTCAATCATATTCATTAGAGCCAGCTTTAGAGGATGAAGAAGATGGTGAGACACCAAAATACAACAACAAGCGTAAAACACCTTTCAATACACCTCAATCTGCTTCAAAGGCTCATGGCAAGCGGATGCTCGAATGCGAGGACGAATTCGACAGCCCAATGTCAAGAATGCTCACAAGCGCGAGCAAGAAGAGAAGATTACTTGATTCATAATACACACGCTGAATCAAAATGTAACATAATGTACTACAAACATGGTGGGTATACTCAAAATGCAGGATAAATAAACTGACAACACAATCACAGCCCTGGATTTCACAACTTACCTTCTCCTTTCGTTTTCAATCTCATTTTATCTGTAATAGGACACTGTATTCTTTCTTTCTATTTACTCAATGAATGTAATAATTATTCTTTATTGCTTGATTTGTCAATGTTACGTTGGTCTAGTATGAGATGCAAAGGTTTGTAAATGTTATCCTTTTGGTAATTTGCGAGCCATTCATCGAGTATTTTTGTCAGTTTTTCGTTGTCTATTTCTAAAGTAAGGCTGAAAAAAGTGTGAGAAAGAGTTTCACGGTGATATAATAACGCTTACAATCCACGGGCACTACATGCGTCACTTAGTTCACCTTCAGATAAGAAAGACGTCGCTTTAAGTTTCTCGACTTCTTGTCTCAATATACAGGCGTCGTCTTCGGAGATGTGAGACAAATAGTTGCGCAATCTGTTATGACGCATGCTGGCAGTACCGAATGTCGACAAATCGAATATTCTGGTCCATTTAGTTGAAATATATTAAAAGAAGCATATGAACCCACCTAAGAAGGATACGTACATCTTGAGGTTCAATCGGAGCATCATTTTCTGATAAGCTACTCAACAATTGTCGCCGACTAGCCTGATTGTAGGAGTGACGATAAAATTCTAATGCGTTACTCCGCCTGTTCTCGATTGCCTTCCTTATTGAAACCTTCTGAGAAGGAAGAACGACGGTGGAAGGTAAAACCTGGGGAGCGAGATATGCGATGAGAGGAATGATTTCCTCTAATAAAACGAATAAGACAGCGAATGGAACAAGCTTTTTTATGTCCTTTTTGTGAGTTGTCAAAAGTTGAAACTCTCTATGACTGAGTGGACCATCTTTCAATTGAATTTGCTTGACGACATCCCTATTAAACCAAATCTGTTTTATTCCCCTCCAATAGAAAACAACTAGGGTTTTACCTTTATGCCACCATCGACGAGGAAAAGAAGCATCTGGGTTTGCTGGTGGTAGAACGTGTTTATCTAGTTCTTGTGCTTCTGTGAGCTTATTCTTTTGTGAAGTAGAATAAAAGCTAATATTCTGTCTATAAATGGGCAGCTGTCGAAGTGGTATACACCGCCTTGTCAAATACATGGTAGTAGTTCAAAAACAAGTTATAATCATTTTATATAGAGTCTGCTAATCAATTAATAAGATAGATTATAGCGCGTATAGTTAAATTTATCAGTAAACTCACAAAAATCAATTACATCAGCTACCGTTCTTATCCAACGACTGACTCCTTAGAAGAAGACGACGATGACGAAAGCATTACAATTAGCTAGAGCATTAGTTCCAGAGTTGTCGCCTTCTTTACATAAAGGACAAGCTGGTATGTACCTTCGGGCTGTCTGGAGAAGCTAACGAAATAAAACAGGAAGGCTAGGTGTCGTAGGTGGCAGCAAGGATTACACTGGTGCACCATTCTTCTCTGCTATGGCAGCTATGAGGATTGGTGTTGATCTTGCTCATATAATCTGTGAACCAAAAGCTGGTGATGTTATCAAAACCTATGCACCTGACTTGATAGTACATAGAGTATTAGATCAAAATGCGTGAGTTGTTCCTCATCTCCAAACGCATATCTCAAATCCTTCACAGTCCAATTGAAGAAATACACCAAAGTGTCGATGACGTCGTATCGAGACTACACGTACTCGTCGTTGGCCCTGGATTAGGAAGGGATGATCACATGCAAGCATGCGCTGGAGCAGCTATATCAATCGCTAAAAAGCGTGACATCGGTCTCGTTATTGACGCGGATGGCCTCTGGTTTGTTAATAACAACATTGACGCTATAAAAGGATATAAGAAAGCAATTTTGACACCAAATGTTATGGAAATGAAGCGTCTTTGTGAAAAGTTGGTAAGTAACAATTGTCAATTTTCTATGTCATCATTTCTAATAAAGAAAGTCTATCAATCCAGATGAGGTGAAAGAGGAAGACATAGCAAGCAAAGTTTCAGAGTTACTCGGCGGTGTCACTGTATTAGAGAAAGGAGGAGTTGATAGGATAACAAACGGCTCGAAAACACTTACCGTTGACGCAAGTGGAAGCCTGAAGAGATGCGGTGGACAAGGAGATATACTGAGTGGTGCTGCAGGTACACTCCTCGCATGGGGAAGTGTCTACGCGAAAGGTATAGGAAGGTGCGTCAATTTTTCTCTTTCTAAACAAAAACTAAAGGGGAAATAGCGACAAAGATATAAAAGTTCCACATGAGGATATTCCACTATATGCAGCATATGGTGCCTCCACATTTACGAGAGAATGTAGTCGACTGACGTTTGAAGAAAAGGGAAGAAGTATGATAACCCAGGATATGCTTAAGAATGTTAGTAAATCCTACGAAGAAATACTGTCACCTTCAAAAAACTTGTAATTTACCTCTTTATTCGATACTGTCATAATGTCAAGCCGTGTGCCTCTAAACCCGTTAATACTTTGTGGTCCGTCCGGTAGCGGTAAATCAACACTTTTGGGAAAGTTATTCAAGGAATTTCCTAACGATTTCGGTTTCTCAATTAGTCGTAAGATCATTTAACTACACACAACAACAATCCTCACAGAAATCAGATACTACACGCCAACCACGGGAGGGTGAAATATTAGGAAAGAGCTATCATTTCGTTAATCGTGATGTATTTCAAAAGCTCATACAAGCAGGCTCTTTCATCGAGTACGCAACTTTCTCAAACAACTACTATGGTACATCCGCCAAAGCGGTAGCAGAAGTTGGCTTACAAAATAGAAGGTGTATTTTAGATATCGATGCGCAAGGTGTTAAAATTATAAAAGATAAGCATCAAAATCTTCAACCAACCTTTGTCTTCCTTTCTCCACCATCCATTGACAGTTTAGCACGTCGTTTAGTTAAACGTGGTTCAGAAACAGAAGAAAGCTTGAGAAGTAGATTAGATGCAGCTAAAGGTGAGATGGAGTACGCACAAACAGGTGCATTTGATTACGTTATCGTAAACGACGACATCGAACAAGCTTACGAAAAGTTAAGAAAAGTAGCCCTCGGTGAAGGCACGGAGAGTGACATATTACCTGATAACAGAATTGCTTAAAAAGTTCATAAAATTTTACAAATTTACTATTAAAATGGTCTATATCCAGTCTGTTGTGGCATTAAACCTGTTTGTTGTGGCATCATTAAACCTGTAATAATAATTAGCAAAAGTTTCCTAAAAATAATCACAACTCACCAGTTTGCTGTACTCTCAAGGCATCGTATCTCTCACTAGCCGCTGGTTGGGGTGTAGTATTACCAGATGGACTATCAAATTGACCAGCTCGCATATTAGCAAATACCGAGCTTGGATTGTATTGATTTGATGGACTTGATACTGGAGGACTGAATGACTGCTGTGCCATTGTCTTTGGTTGCATTTGCTGACTGAATCCTTGCATCGACGTATGTTGAGGTTGCAATGGCTGTTGTTGTTGGAATGCTGGTGGGGAAATTGGCGATGGACTCATACCCATAAATCCTGTAGGCTGAGCTTGTAAAGGCATTCCAGTTTGTTGTGGTTGTATACCAGGGGATGAGCTCGTTGGTACAAAATTGAGACCAGTCTGTGTGGGTATTAATGGCTGCAAAAGACTTTGATTTTGAGGTACAGGGGCCAATGGACCCTTCTTTATACCCTGCTGCAAGCCCGTTAGCATTGGTTGGACGGGTTGGGCTTGCTGTTGCTGTAGCATTTGCAGTTGCTGTTGGAGCTTCTCCTGCTGTTCACGCAACTGAGCCAACTCCTTCGCTTGAGCCTCCTGCTGAGCCTTCTGCGCTGCCTCGTTCTGAGCCTGCTTATTGGCTGCAATCTTGGACATAATACTGTCCATCGAATTTGGATTTTGGGTTGGCTGAGGCTGTTGTGGCTGTTGTTGCTGTTGTGATGGCGTTGGTGTCGTCACTTCAGACGCAACAGGTGTGACTGCTGCAGCTGATTGCTGGACAGGCGAAGGCGTGTCTCCCAAGCTCGGTATTTTCGTTGGATTGTTATCCTTAACAGTCCAAGCATCATCGTCAAATCCACTAGTAAGTGGTGTAGTCGAAGAAGAACGCTTGTTGGGCATAGCGTCGACGGGTATAGATGAACTAGTATCTAGCAAGTTTACCTCATTAGATGGTGATTTTGCTAGTGACTCTCGAGCATTATTCAGACTGTCACCGTCTATAAGGTCATTTGTAGGTGATTTTGGTGTTGGTCTACCCCTTCGTGTATTCTTCAAAGTTCCACCAGGACCGCTAGTAAAGAGGTTAGGAGCTGGTGTTGCTTCTTGTTCCAACTGGCGAGCATAGGCTTCATCCCTGGCGATTTGCTCTGCTTTTGAGGGATCTTCATGACCTGAGGCACCCTTTCGAGCAGCTATGGCTTTATTGACACGTAGAATATCTCCCTCCTTAAGTCCAAGAGTGCGCAAAGTGGTCGTATCGATATCAAGTAAAACACTCTCGTCCATTCTATCCTTCTCAAAATTCCTAGCATAACGTTGACACTCATCTATACCACAACCAGCATGGAGGAAGAAATCGAACCAATCAAAGTTACTCTTAGGTGTGTTGTTCGTGCGTCTCACGCTGGCTCTTGCACTCTCTTGGATATTATCACCATCGATGAAACTGAGATCTGCTTTGGACATCTTCTCACGAGGTACCTCTATCGTTACGCCGTTTACTTTTAGTAAACGCAATTTACCTGAACGCATACCAAGGAACTCAGCGTCTACTTTAAATTGACCCGTTTTGTCATGCCATAAACGAACATTTTTAGGGTTAGGTTTTTGCCTAGATTGCGATCTAGGTGGTTGCTTCATCTCCTGTTGTTCTTCTTTCGTTGGAGCAGTCTCGATGGCGAGTGTGCTGGTTTCATTACGTTTGCGGGTTTCTGCTATAACTCTATCCTTTGCTTCCTCCTCAAGTTTCTTCTGGTGAGCCATTTGATCTACACCTGTGCGACTTTCAAGTTCTTGAGCTATCGCTGTTTTTTGCGTTGTCTCTTCTACTCCTGCAGTTGGTGTATCTTTGATATCTTCCTGTATGACCCGCAAATAGGACGCTGGAATAACACCTTCTAGACCAGTGTCTGGGAGTTTACAAGTCCACCAGTCAATGCTGGATATTCTGTCAATTACGACTAGTTGGTCGCCTTCCTTGACAGTCAACTCATCGTCACTTTCTGCCTTGAAGTCGTATGAGGCCAGAGCGAGTGCGAGTTTGGTGGTTGGTCCATCTTGTTCTGCACCCTCTTCAGATGAATAATTAGGAGCTTCGATTGGTGATGGAGGTGTCTCCTTAAAGTGAACACCTTTCTTCTTTAGTGAGGTCTTGCCATCGTCACTCTCACTATCGCTGTCATTAATACTGAGATCTTTAACAGCATCTTGAACATCGAGTTTGTTGTTGACGAGGTTAGAAGAGTAGATAATCTTTTGGTTTACTTCTTGAAGTATCTTGCGACTTGAAGCGTGGAATTCCAACTCTTCTACGTTTTTAAAGTAGATGAAGAGGTGTCTCTTTTCAACATTGAAAGTGACGAGGTCAGACATTGAGAACTGTCTGACTGGATTCTTGTCACTATCTGAGGAGAAGAAAAGAGAGCCATTTCCTACACCGAGTGTACCCTTCTTCTTCTTCTTCTTTGAATCGATAAGGCTGAGCTGCCAGGTTTGTATAATGTCTTGTTGGACAGAAGGCTGTTGTACTTTCTGTTGTGGTACTTTCGATGGATGTGTTGGCGGTGGAGCGAAAGACGCAGGTTGGTCTACAGGTTCTTCTGCGGTAGGTTGAGTTTGGTCGTCTCCGTCAAGATCGACGGTATAATTCGCTGGTATATATCCTAACCCCGCATTACGGTTATGTTGTAATGCTGCGAGAAACCAATCAGCGTCTGATTCGTAGATATCCAATAAATCATTCTCGCTTATAGTTAATTCATCGTCAGATTGTGCTTGGTAGTCGTAGCTCGCTTTTACTTTATGCGTTGGCTGTATCTAAATAGAGACATTAGGAGTGTATAGCTAGTAGGGAGCGCAGACTAACGATCTCAATATAATTGCTTGGAACCAAACCCTCTAAGTTTGATTTCGATTTGCAGTTCCACCACCTGTAGCCAAAGTTAGCTCTATCTATAGAGGAGCTTATAGGACCGACTCTGGATCGTCGTCTGATAGAACAAAGAGTACGTCGTCTTCGCTCAGATTGAGCTCATCCTCTGCGCTCGCTTTATAATCGTAGAGCGCTCTCGCTAGATTTTTAATCATCGAGGTCACGATTTGAGATTTCTTTATTAAGGACAACCAAGTATGAAGGAAGAAAAGGAGAAAACTCCGCCAAATAATATTACTGGTCCTCCAACACCCGCACAGAATATACTGCATTCGACTCCCGCTGCTTTTGGAACGGCTGGTACCGTTGGTCAAGGTGCAGGTGGTTTCGGTAGTCAGCTTTATCAGTCGCCTTACGTCGACTCACAGCAATCCGTTATCGGCTCACCTGTCACACCCGCTCCCCTACCAAAGAAAGCCACTCTGAAGACTCCTCAACCGAGAATCTACTCGGCTGTTTACTCAGGTGTAGGCGTATACGAAGCTATGATTAGAGGCATTGCGGTCATGAGAAGGCGTGCAGATGGCTACATGAACGCAACTCAGATCCTAAAAGTTGCAGGCGTAGATAAAGGAAGACGCACAAAAATATTAGAAAGAGAAATTCTCGCTGGTTTACATGAGAAGATACAAGGTGGCTATGGTAAATACCAAGGCACTTGGATACCTTTCGAGAGAGGTAGAGAACTCGCTCTTCAATACGGCTGTGATCACCTTCTAGCTCCTATTTTTGACTTCAACCCATCAGTTATGCAACCAAGCGCTGGTAGATCAGCTAAATCTCCCTCAAAGAAACGTCAAAATAGTATCGTTTTATCACCTACCCAAGAACGTCATCAGAGCTCAATTATCGCACTTAACACTGCAAGAGCATCTGGTATTTACGTAGGTGGCGCAGATGACCCAAACGATGACGGTCTCAGTAAGAAGGAAAAATCTCCAGTTAAAAAGAGTAAATACGATGAAGTTCCTGTGAATGTCAGTAAAAGACCATATGTACCACCTCCGGGTACAAACGCTCACATTTTAACACGTACTCAACAATCATTAACCGCTTTATTCCAACAACCTACAACGAATTCAGATTTCATACCAGAAGCAGTAGCGATTTTAGATACAACAAGTGGTGCACTCCATCCAGACTTAGCGATTGATGAATTAGGACACACTGCTTTGCATTGGGCAGCTTCACTTGGACGTATTAGCAACGTTCAACAACTTATCAAAAAAGGTGCAGACATGAAGAGGGGTAACATAGAAGGTGAAACTCCTTTAGAAAGATCTGTATTAGTTAATGACAATTATGACAAAAAGACATTTGCATATTTACTTCAAGAGTTAGGTTCAAGTATAAGAGTTGTTGATAGAACCGGTCGGTCGATTTTACACCACATTGCACTCATCGCTGCTGTTAATGGTCGGTCAATGTCCGCTAAATATTACATGGAAAATGTTCTGGAGTATATTGCAAGGTATGAAAATGGTGAATTTAAATCACTCGTTGATTTGCAAGATGAGCATGGAGATACTGCTCTTAATATTAGTGCTAGAGTTGGTAATCGCAATCTAGTCAAAATGTTAGTAGATGCCGGAGCAAACAAAACAGTTGTAAATAAATTGGGACTCAAAGCATCAGATTTTGGTGTAGAGCATGAAGTAAGTGTCAGTTAATACTTTTCAAGAAAAGCCTTTGATAACTTTGACAGACATTAAACTCAGTCACTGGAGATGAAATGCTCTCTAATCTTCAACCACCACCTCCATTAAATGTCGACAGTAGTGCGAGCGTTTTGGAGAATATTCACAACCTCTTGAATGGTATAACGCAGCAATATACTGATGAAACCAGTGGCAAGAATGCGCTGTTGTTTGAAATTCAAGCTGAATTGAAACAACACTCTCATGAACTAGCTGACGTGAGAAAGGAAATTCAATATTGGCAAAATAAAGCCACACAAATGGCAGAAGTGGATCAAAAGATAAAAAATATAAATGAAGCGATTGAAAATGAAAAAGTGCAAACATGGTCACTATTAGGTGAAGCAAATGCAGACAAAATGGAAGGAATTGAAACGTCATCAAGTTCAAATACTTCAGAAATAAAAATACCAACAGGAGATAACGAAGAGAGTCTAAAACAATTACGCAAATTATCAAAATGGTTAGAAGGTACACAAAAACTTACAGAAGAACGTGTTGCTTCAATAGATGGATTATCTGCATCAAAAGAAGTTAAATACAAGTCTATAGTTAGTGTATGTACAGGTGTACCAGTTAATGAAGTTGAAGGAATGCTCGCACAACTTCTAGAAGCCATGGAAAGTGATGCTAACGCAGATTTGAATAAAGTACAAGAGTTTCTAGCAAGAGAGTGTTAAATTAGTCCTTCTTAAATGTAAATAAATGTTTTTATGTATCAGTAATTAATTATTTATTCATTTTTATCCTCTTCTTTCTTCACCTTTACCGCGTTTTGTACCTGATGGACGACGTGGGCCACCCCATGGACCTGAGCCGAGGTTTCTTGCTCTAATTTGGCGACTAACATACCATTCCCAGGCTAATTTCATAACGTCACCGTCAGCAGAGTAAGGAGAAGGAATTTCAGAGTAACCAGGTCTTGCAGTTGGATGACGAAGATAGATGAATGAGCAAGTTTGGAATGATGGTTCTATATATGCAGGGATAAATAAATGAGGAGCTGCGTATGGAGGAAGATTGAATGGAAGTGGATGTTGTGATTTCTGAGATTGGTTTTGTTCAGCTGAAACTTCTGAGACTTCTGAGACTTCTGGAACTTCCTCTGGTTTTTCTGATTGAACTTCTTCTGCAGACTCTTCAGTCTTCTCTATTGGCTTCTCTTGTGGCTTCTGAAGTGTGCTAACGATCAGTGGATTGACTTCAACCAAATCACCTGGATCTAATCTTGTATTTGGATCAATGTGCCTATAGCCATTCAACTTTACGTGTCCTTGTATAACGAATCTTCTTGCTTCGTAAATCGAAGAAGCTAAGCAGCATCTAAAAACTAAATGATCAATGCGTCTCTCTAACTCTGTAAACATGAGTGAAGTAACAGGAGTAGGTGTTGTAGTATCCGGAGCTGCTAGCTTTTTTGACCATTTCGCGAGACCAGATTTGTTAGTAGATTTTGATGAATTGATTATAGGTAATTGTTGTGGTAAAAACCATTTTCTGAATATATTCTCTTGTATATAATCACCGTGGTAGGCTCTAACTAACTTTTTTGCTAAGAATCTCTGCTGGAATAGAGTTTTTGATGTTTTATTGAATGTAGTTTCTAGTAATTTGAAGGAATAACTTCTATTGTAGAGATTATAAAGATTGCTAGGACTCCAGGACATCCTAGGCAACGCCGCGGATTGCTTGAATATATTTCTCAGCTTTGGCATCTCTGATGGTGGTATGCACACTACAATCAAGTTGGGAGATGGCAGCTACATCAATAGAAATTTATTATCGAGAGATTTTTTAAATTTATTATTCAACGACGAATCTAAAGTATTCTACGGTACAACTTTCTTTGATCTCTATCTAAGAGATGTGATATCTTCAACGAAATGCACAAAGTCTACGAGAGATAAGTTAATAGCCGATAAAGAATACGCTAAGGAGCTAACAAAGCTCTTGTTTCTCATTAATGTCAATCGTATCAATACAACTTTGGGTTTCTATCACGAAATGAAAACAGCTCTGAGAGTATACAACTCTATACCTTCCATGAGGAATTACAACCATCAATTCGGAGATAGTCCTAGATTGAAGACTCTTTTAAAATCTATTGATTACAAGTCAAACGTGAGCAATCTCGTCGATCTACAACTCAACAAGCAGAATGACGGCAATCCACCAACTAGTCTCGTCAATTTCTTATTCATTCTCATGCAATCAGCTGAAGTAGTTAACAGGAATAACCTCCCTAGTGGTATCGCCTTACATGACCTCATTTGGCCTTCGAACATCCCCTCTAAACAGAAAGCACAAGCATTTTTATGGTTAGTTTACAATTATTACGTAAAAAATTCGGACGATTTCACTCCATCAAATCCCTTTAATGATGAATTCAGTCTGAATAACCCAGGCAAATCACCTACTCTAGAGAGAGTACCTGAAGCTCAACTCTCAAATGAGAATGTAGACACACCAGAAGAAATAGAATGGGGTTTGTATATGCAAAAACAGCGGCAAATATTCCTTTCTCAACTCAATGAATCACAAGGAGACAATAGTGATATTGAAGATGTTGATACCAATGTGAACAAGAAAAATTTGTTCACAACAACCGTGATTGAGAACCTATCAAAACCTTATGACAACTACAATAAAGACTCAGAGAGTTATGAAGACATACAACAAAAGCTTAAAATCCTTGAATGGATTGGTGGTAAACAAATGTAAAAATATAATGTGAAAATATAAAGAATACAAAGAATTGGACAGTTTTATTAACATTAACGCTGAATATATTCATTACTTTGTCTATCTCCTCCGATTGAAGCAGTTGTATGCATTTGCATTTGCATTTGCACTTGCTGTTGTTGTTGCTTCTGATGATATGATGGAAAATAAGAAGAAGAACTATCGTAATAATAATTTGGTATTGGTATTGGTGGACTGTGTAATGCTAATGATTGGAATGTATTCATAACTGGTGAAAAAGTATTAGGCGTAGCGGGTATAACTGGCGAAGAGGAACTAGTTGACCAATTTGTCATCCAATCAGATGCTGAACTCGTATTACGTGGTCTACCTGATTGTATCTCTCCAGAATGTTGATTCATGTCTTCAAATTCAGTTTGATAACAATGCTGTGGACTGAAACCATATGGTGAGACGTAGGCGCTAGTAGCAGGATTATAAGTTGAAACTGTAGATCGCCTCTTTGAAACTAATTCCCTATTTGTGGTTAAACTATCCATTAGATTATTCAAAGATTTTCTCTTTATTTGATGAGACCCTATCGAGTTCTCCACATAATCTCCTAAATTGGTCTCGAACAAAGGGTATAACTGTTGTTCGATATTGAACTGTCTAGCTAATATTATAGCCCTTTCAAATGGTATCCAGACGCCTTTCAAAGTTATTGTACCTGTCTTAACGACTTGCCTTGATTTCTCGTTTTTTAGTATACCATCTCTTTTACCTCTTGTGATTTTAGTGATATTAAGAAGTTTGGTTCCATTTATCTGATCATTGTCTTGACGTCTGGCAACGTAATTACCATTATCAACTTCCACTTGCCAAACTCTTGTCTTATTTTCTTCCCACCAGAGTTCTTGGACTTTGTTTGTCATTAATTGTTATTACACTTGATGGTATGTCTGAGAGATTAAATTAACGAGGTACTACTTCAGTTGTGCCGAGGTTAATCACATATTCATGAGCACCCCAGAATATAATAATTCTGATAATAAAATAGCTCAAATTTTTATGGAGGTTAAATTAAATAAAGTTTTGTTACAATAACATCATCTTAACATTGCATTGCAGTTTTTTGAATTCCCTTGTGATGTGAAGTTTTTCGCATACATAATTCACATATTCACATTAAGACGGTCACAAAAATTTTTGCCGAGATATGTCACCACATAGGATATTCATTCTGATTAACTCAAATTCTTTTCCTCATCAGCACACCTCCGGTACTTTTCAAGATAGGGGGTCACCAATATAAGCTTTTTAATTTATCGCATATATAAAAGCACCTAGAGTGTCTAGAACGTTTCAAAAAAAATTGAACCAGTAAATCACGTGATAATATACTCCAATAGGGTTTACTATAATGTGTCTTAAATATCTTCAATTTAAATTTAATCAATGGCCATCTGATTTTTTAAATAATCTATCCGACGCGTTAATAAACTTAAGTGCTCCCCTTAAATGTCAAAGCGGTGTACCGATGTATATGTAATGCTATGTTATGCTTATTTTAAAATCGCATCGGTTTTTCTCAAATTTTCTCATGGATCAACTGTCACGCCAAATGGCCACTTTTGCGGCAATCTGAGAACAATAAAAAGTCTATAAAAATTGTTTGGTTATACAGTAGAACTATCACAATTTGTGAAACAAGATAGATGTTTACACCAAGTGCATCCATCGCTTGGGTCACTATATCGTTTGATTAGTATGCTCATATAAAACGAAAGTCAACTCACTCGGTATAAAAGTTCTTTGCTAGTACTATAAACAACACTATGCTTCCCGCTAATGCTGCTAATCTGAGTATAATTGTTACGATACGATGCTTCTTTGTTGGACTTATAACAGGTATGAAAAAGACTGAGAGAAGTAAACCTTGTAACCATCCACCAATGTGAGCGAAATTGTCCAAGTTTGGTATATATCCTATGAAGAACATTACGATAAGTTCTATAATGTGTATAGTGAGCAGTAATCCTGGTCTTCTTTCCAATTTCCAATGGAATAGTAGATCAACTAAGCTAACGGCTATTAAACCTAATATTGCACCAGATGCACCAACTGATGGTGTTGTTACTTGGGCAAAATTTCCACCTAAAATGTTACCGAAGATACCAGCTGCACCGAATACGATAATAAAAGCTAAACTGCCGAGAACCCTCTCTGCATAAGCGCCTAAAACGAGTAAAGCGAAGAGATTTATACATAAGTGAAGAATACCGGAATGCAAAAAAATTGGTAATACGAATCTAAATGATTGTGATGGCTCCTCTGTTGAAGACATGCCAAATCCACAAAGTTCATAAAGAGGCATAGTCTCTGAAGTTGGATTGTCTGGGTCTCTGAAAGAAGGTAATTGAACGCTGAGATTTGTTTCAGTCATACAAGGTCTAAATCTGGCACCTTGATGAATTAAATTGGCTGCTGTAGGACCACCCATAGGGTTTGCGCTACCGCTAGCAAAAACACTGCCTGTTTCATTCTTATTGTTTGCAATCTGGAAAGCAGTGATGATAATGATTGCTATACCGATAATTATTGACAGAATTGGCCATTTTTGCCTATGTATACCACGTCGCCTATCTTCAATCTGTTGTTCAATTGATCGTCGATAGTGAAACCAAGGTAAAACCCCGAGCAAACCAAGTGTTTTACGATGTTTGCTATGACTCAACCAATCTCCCGACAACCTATTCGTTGGGTTATTGAAGAAATAGCTCGTTGGACCAGCCTCTGCTGGGTGCTTGTAAGGATCGTTGTCTTCGTAATCAAAAGGTGCAGCACGCGTTCCAGGCGCGTAAGGACTAGGGTCACGCGTGTATTCCGGCAGAGCAGGTGGTGGAGTTCTGCTCTCATTTATTGGTACCGCAAAGTATGGGTGAGGCGTGTGCGTACTTTGTGAGTAGGCGCTAGGACTAACTGACCTGAAGGGGTCGACCGGTGGTGGTGTGCTGTAGTTTGTATGTACGTTACTGACGCTATCATTAGGATGGAGGGTATCTGGGGTCATCAGACGGACTGGAGAAGTTGGTATCGGCGTCGTGACTTCCTCAAACGTTGGCTGCTACTCGCTTATTAGTATTCAGTACCTATAGTCCGCATAATTGACGTACTCTATTGTGCCCAGCTGTATATGCCGACATTATTAAAACCGACAGAGTTTTTTATTCCTCGCTGTTTATAACGAACTTTGTAGCGGCTGCGTACAGGAAAAGCATAGCACGAAAAAAAACATAGCTATGGAAAAGATTTACTACATTTTCATACTCGTTTTAACGACTATATCTGCATTAAGTTATTGGTTAAATGGTGAGTACAAGTCTGTGCGTATGCTATCGGAGACGCCTAAACCCGTGAGCAGATGATAGGGAGCACTGTTATGAACTATTGACGGCTACTACTATAAAAAATAATAATCAACTAAGTTGTAAAGGTTGCATTACTGCTGTGCACTCGCCTGGAATGGTTAGCAACTGTATAACCAACCAAACAGTAGTTTTTATTGGAGACAGTACATCTAGGCAGATATACAACGAAATAGTACATAGTCTAGGCTTCATTGACCCACATGAAGAGCTCAAGCACGCTGACAAAAACAGTGTAGACGAAGACCGGGGTTTGTCTATACACTTTAAGTGGGATCCATATCTGAACGCTACGGATTTCAGTCTGCTTGACAATGACACCTTCCTTGTTCTTGGGACTGGACTGTGGTATTTGCGCTACGCAAATATACAGTCATGGTCTCAGACGATGGACAAACTATTTGATATGGAACTACCGGAAAACACACTTCTAATGCCAGTTCTACATCCAGAAATGGACAAGTTATCAGCTGAACGGGCTGAGACGATAACAGACGAGGATGTTGATGCCATGAACAACGATTTACAAGTGAGGTGGACAACAAGTCCATCAAATAACACGATAAATATTCCATTTTCCATCAATGAAATAATGAGCGCATCACCAAATGAAACGACGGATGGCCTTCATTATTCAAGAAAGGTAATACAACAGACGACGCAGTTGTTGTACAATTACTGGTGCAATGATATTGTACCATCAAACAATGTCACTTGTTGTAGACCATATCCTACTCCACGACCACTACAGCTTGCATTCATCTTTGCAGCTATCGTTGGTTCTTTCAGCAAGCTTATTCTAAGTGTTGCCTTTAATAAGCATCCAAAGTATAGTGCTTATAGTAAACACGTAGACAACGTCGCGATATTTTCTGCATCTTTACTATTCGCTTATGTAGCGGATCGCTCACACTTTTTCGCTAAATCTACTAAAGATTTTAGTAGTACAATGGTCTTGTTGTTATTCAGCGTGATTGGAGCTATAGGGTGGTATAGCTGGAAACGAAATGATGATGATACAACAAAAACAATCGGTGTCTTAAACAGACCACAAACGGATGAAATGAAAGGTTGGATGCAGTTAATGATACTCATTTATCATTACTACGGTGGATCAAAAATACCACAATTTTATATCCCCATTAGAATATTGGTTGCATCTTATTTGGTGTTACTTGGATATGGAAATGGTAGATACTTTCTTAACAATCGGCCAACGTTGTCACGGTATATTTGTACAATGACGCGATACAATCTCCTCACTCTTGCTTTATGTTGGATACTCAATGGATCTTATATCAATTATTACTTCGTTCCAATTATTAGCATATGGTTTACCTTAATTTGGTTAACTTTTTCAATAAATGCTGAAGTGAATTCAAATTTGAAATTACTCATAATAAAGTTGGCAATATCATTGATAATTGCCATTTCTTTACTTAATATACCCCAATTAAGTGCGATTATACCCTTTGAATATAAATTTAGATTAAATCTGGACATTCTTGCGCCATTTTTTGGTGTTTTACTATCAATTGTCGCTAATGAGCAAGTAGAATTCGTTAACAAAATCACTACACTAATCTCAGGCGCAACATTATTAAGTTTAGCACTATTTGTTGGCGTAATAACACCAATAAAATTCAGTTACAATCAATATCATCCTTTCATTTCACCTTTCTTCGTGATTTCATTGATCATATTAAGAAACTCTTCAGAATGGCTTCGAAAACATCATTCAGTTTATTTGGCACAAATTGGAAGATGTAGTCTGGAATTATTCGTTTTGCAATTCCATTTACTACTGGCTGGTGACAGTAAAGGATCATTATTGATACTAGCGAACGCATCTAAATCACTCAATTTGATCATAACGCTAAGCATTTTCATACCACTATCATTTAAGATTAATCAAGTTACAAACTATTTGGTTGATTTATTAAACACTTACATTACACCAACATCAGTTCTTCCCCTAACTAAATCACCAAATCCAATCGTGCAAATATCAAAACAATCAAATTATCGCCTGTATTTCAAAATCTCAATCGTGATAACATCAATAATGTTTGTAAACTTCTTTTATTAAAATACTTTAAAAATCGAAATATCGGTATAATTTTACAATTCTCATTTATTGAAATGCCTGAATCTGCCTTGTGATAGAAACTATCTTATATAGAATGGAAAGATTAAAAGAAATGCCATGATGTGTATTGATTGGAGTGTCTGTTTATGCAATGTTGGATAAATTTATATATTAATCATCTGCTAGCTATTATCATCGCTATGACCATGTTGATGAGTTTTAATTGATTTTATCCAACTATCTTTAAGTACTTCATCAATTAAACACCTATCTTTAGGATTTGGTGCTAGCATTTTTAGTATAAGTTGATGAGATTCTGTTGGGAACTCCTTTATTGGGTGTAATTCAGTTAATCTTGGAGGTCTCTTCCAAGATTGCTCATATTGTGAGAATGTTGGATCTGCAAGTCTTGCAACTCTCCAAGGTAATTCTTGATTTGTCATACAGTAGAAAACGATAGCTGCTGACCAAACGTCAACCAATCTTGCATCATACTCTTTTTGCTCGAATAGTTCAGGCGCGATATATGGTTCTGACCCACATAAACCTTTACTCATGTGAGTTTTCTTCTCCCAGCACATTCTGAATACGTCTGAAACACCAAAGTCTGTAATCTATACTTGGGTAAGATTGTGTGTACATAAGTACTACTACTACTTACCTTTATTGAACCTCTACCATCTAATAACAGGTTTTCAGGTTTGATATCCCTATGAGCCACACCCATAGAGTGCAAATAGTTTATACCTAGTAGTATCTGTTTAAAAAACGCGATGGATAACTTTTCGCCAAGTTGGCCTTTCTTTATAGCTGCGTATAAATCACCACCAGGACAATACTCCATAACTTCACACCAATGGCTATTCTCATCTTTGACCAAATCGACGGTTTCAATGATATTGTTGTGATGAAGTGTAGAAGAAATGCAGAATTCTGAAGTCAGCTTCTTGACGTATTCCTTTTCGGTTTCATTTTTGCGTCTTTTTCTAAATTCTTTTACAGCGAATAACTTCTCATCTGATCTATCCCAACGGTGTGCTAATCTAACTACTGCAGTGGCACCTCTACCAATTGCGACTTTATCACATACACCATATTTCTTATTTAACGAAGTATTAGAATTGTGATCATCTTTATCTTTATTATTATGAGAGCTAGCGGATGATTTCCTATTCAATGGCGCTGGTAGTAAGTCTAATAACGCATGGGTAAGTTTACCGCCGCTATCAGAGTGAGTTTCGCTATTTGATCTTTTAGGCTGCTCTCTAGAACCCTTCTGGGATTGCTGTCTAGATGGTGGACGTGAGGCAAGTTGTGAATGCTCAGAAGTCGTTGGTGATTGGCTCTGCTCTTTCTTCTCAAACAGTTTTATGAACTTCGAGGGCTTTTTATCTGGCTGAGGCTGAGAAGCCATCAACTCCTAATAGATTTCCTTAGTTGGTCGTTCTACTACAGGAGTCTTGGATGCGAGCTATAAATAAATTTAAAAATTTATGATACATTTCTAATGACTTATATACTAAAAAAGTATTATATTTAGTTTAAATTGGTTTATAATGCATTTTAAACTCACCTGGAAAACTTTCGTTACATCTGGCATTCCCGTTTCCGCCCTGAGTAAATCATCATGTATATCCTTCAAGCATGCATTTGAATAATGATTCCATCTATTCAGTCGTTAGATTACTCTTTAGTTTTCTTATTGCCACCCACGTGCTAACATCTCCATATAACAATGCAGGTGCTTTAACAATCTGCTTACCCGTGGCCTTATCACAACGTTTACACTTAAAAGTATCGTGCATATGACTATCAGTACCAGGGTAATGCTTAAATAATTCTCGTAGTAAATCCTTAGAGAAGTGCCGATCTGCATCTTCGGCTTCATCGACAACACATGCCGATAAACTTTGCTTGTACGCTTGTCTCATCAGTACTTGCTCTTCTAATGTCCCAGTGCCTATAAATCTATAGACAAAACATTCCTTTTTCTGTCCGTCACGCCATACTCTAGCCAATGCTTGTTGATCTGCAGCTGGATTCCAATCTAATGATGTCAATTAACGCTAACAGCTTTAAAGTATTATTTACCAGGATCAAACAGTATTAGTCGATTAGCGCCTATCAAATTCAAACCACATCCACCAGCTTTGGAGGAAAGCAGGAAAATGAATTCTCTAGACTCCGGATCATTGAATCTATCAACCAATTTTCCACGCTTTTTGACTGCCATTGTTCCATCTAGACGCATAAAACCCCATCTGGATACAATCAACTAAACACTAACTGCCTATATTGTTACTCACCTCAGAGCAGCAAAGAGCTTTTCGAGAAGATCAAGCGTTTGAGTGTAATTACTAACAAGAACAATCTTGTCGTCAGAATTCTTGCGCATACGTTCAATAAATCTAGGTAAATTGTAAGATCTCTATGTTCACAAACTGAATCAACACACCTCATCAAGACCATCATTTTACCACTCCATGCGGGATTAGCTGGACGCTTTTTATCGAGTCGTTCTGCGATATTCTCCTCAGGTAGGAGAACCTTCGATCCAGGTATATCATCCTTCGGACTAATTAAGTTTGGATGGTTGCAAAGTTTTTTCAGTATACCAATAGCCTTGAGTGGTTGAGAGGCCTTGCCTTTCAGTAAAGCTTGCGTTTCGGGTGATTCAATGAAAAACTTATACAGATCCAACTGTAATGGTGATAATGCTGTAAAAACAACATGTTCATATTTAACTGGTAAGAATTTTGAAAGGATATCATTCGTACGACGTATAATGAATTTGCTAACTGCCATATTGAGTTCTTTTAGCTTCTCTTCACTCATCTGTTTCTCCTTATCTGTTGCTAACGCGTCACGACCCCTGAGAATAATATTTTCAAAATTCTTCCGGAACTCATTCTTGTTACCCAGATAATCAGGGTTAGCAAAGTTGAGTAAAGAGAAATACTCAGATAGATCGTTCTGAATAGGTGTACCTGATAGAATAACTCTCCGTTTGCAATGTATTTCCGTCAATGCCTTGAATGTCATTGATTCTTAATTGAGGTTAACAAACATAACACTTAATTCTAAAGCTCACCTGAATTCTTCATTCGGTGACCTTCATCGAGCATCATCAATCCAACTTGTGCTCTACCGATAACTTCTGTAAGATTTCGCAATGTTTCATAAGAAACAATCATGACTACTTTGTTAGACGACAATCTGATATATTAAAATACCTACCCGGTTGAGTCACACTTCTTCCTGATGCAGCACACCACTGTTTGACATCACTGATTAACTGTTCCTTTGTACCTTTGTGGTCGACTGCCATGCACCCCACAGCTCCAGTACCAAGCCATTTTGTAAACTCGTTCGCCCAATTGGGGACTAGCGAGCTTGGACATACTATAATACACTTTTCGACTGTTGGTTTGCCTGGTATTGGTGACTGTTTGAGTAGCGTCCAAAGGAGTGCGATGCATTGTAGCTATACGCGTAATTAGAATGTGCTATATTCCAGAAGATTACACGTACTGTTTTACCTGCACATTTTGTGAGCTAATCGAGTCTATGAGATCAGAGTACCCACCTAAACCCATCTCATCTGCCATGATACAACCTTGAGCATCTGGTGCTGTTAAACCTGTTGTACATCTATATAAGAACTGAAATTTTTGTTAAACGAGACAATAACACGATCAGATAGGTGCCCACCTTGACACCTTCAACTTGGTGAGGTCGTAGGACTTTAGAGAGAATAGGATCTATGACGACAGGAACTTTCTTCACATCCTTTTCAAGCTCTTCTCGTGATTTTATACCCAGAATGTCCTTAACTGATCTATTTCGTCTATCAACTGGTGGTTTTGGTATTGCTGGTTCTTCCTTTTTCTCCTCAATATCGTCAATTGTAGGATCGTAAAGGACGATAGCATGTTCAGCCATTGGATCATGCAACGGTCTGGGTGGAATTGGGGGTTGTATACGCGTCCCTAATGCCATCCCAGATAAGGGTATGATAACTTGTCTTCCTGTAGCTTTATCTTTCATTGGAGGTATTTTAAAACCCTGGCCGAGAACACTACTAGCAGGCTTAACTTCGTAGACTGGATATAAGGTCTTTAAATCGAAACCTAATTCTCTATTGACACCGCTATCTTCGTGATAATCATCATCAACTTTACCGCGTTTTCTATTTTCCTTTGATTCTTCCTCTTTGTAGGACACTCTCTTCTTAGCCACCCTCGTTGGAGCTGCTGCTCTGAGTTTGTCGGATGATAAAGTAGGAACTTTGAACGGTTTTGCGAGAATAGAAGATGGTGGTGCTAAAGCAGAAGTACTACCAGAAGATGAAGTGGATGATGACGGCTCTGCTGTCTTTGCGCGATACATCCCTACTCTGTTGTTTGTGTAATGTTGATTGCAGATGATAAAGGAAGTATAAGGCGATATTAGAATTAATAGAAGTCATAAAGTCTAGATTATTGAGGGGAGAAACGAGGGATAATATATTAATATGTATTGATTATTTATCTTTATATTCGCTGATATTATTTCTGACATCGTGCAGAGACATATGGTCATATATATCAAGACAGAAGTGTATCATTATGGATTCACATTGCATAGCTGTTTATTAAATGCTAGCATTCTTCATTATCTATACCATTTGCCACAGCGCTCGCAATAGCCACCGGGATAAGAAACACCAGCTGATAAGACAAAATAACGCGTAAATTTGCGAATTTAGTGTGCTTTTAAAGTTAAATTAAGTGTTTTTAATATAATAAATAGATTTTTCACGTGCAATTTCAGATTAATTCGACTCATAAGGTCAAAAGTTTAGTATAGGTACGTACTGTAATATCAACCAATAGTGATAGATTGTAAACAATCGACATAAAGTAAACTAATTGTCAAGTATTACTATTAAACCATGGCTCTCCGTAACACCGTACAGAAGATCACAAAGTGGTGCTCAACTGACAACAAAGATTATATGATTATAATTTGATACTAGAAATGAATATTTATACAACCATCTGAATGGTACCATTGCTAGATGTCCCTCGACTACTTAGATATATCAATCAACATGACGATCCGGAAGTAGAGCAGAAGTTAGACGTCTCTAATGAAAGATTTAGATCGTTGCATGAGTATTACTGCACCATCAAAGCAATATTCGCCTAGATCAAGCCAGCTCTTTATTATCTCTGTGGCTTATGAGATTAGCTCCGAGGGAGGGAATGAATACTCACTTCTAGCATCCTTATTAGCCATTCTATTGATAGCTAGTCTTTAGTTTTGTTAGACAAAACGCCAATAGGAAGCTAATCAACTCACGTCAAACCTGTCGATCTTTTTACTCCTGCTAAAGCAATTGATATCAATACAGCGTCAAATGCATAATGCGTCAGTTCTATAAAAGTTACTAAAGTGTTATATAATACAATAAAACTAACTTCCTAATCCAAACATCTTGGATGTTCAACTTCAAGAAACAGACAGTCAATCAACACAGTTCAAAATTACTATGAATGTGAAAATCTTGATATAACAAAGTTGTAAGTAAAATAGTAGAGCCTAAATAATGTTGAATGTTTGATAAGTTTATTATTGAATTGTTGATAGAGATTTCTTATTTGGATTGTTCATGTATTTAATACCATGCTTGTCTAGATCCAGAAGGTCCTGCTTGTGGTGGTTGTTGTTGACCTGACTCTGCGTGGCGTGTGGATGATCTTAATACTCTGTCAGATTGCTTAACTTGAGCTTGGGCGTTTGCACCAGGTGTCTGACCACCAGTGGCGGCTTGTGTACCTTCCTCAGGTGCTTGTTTACGTCTGTCATCATATCTTTGCTGAACAGACCAATCAAAGACGTAATCATACTGGAAACCTTGCCTGATGAAAAGATCCCTGAACAACCTCCTCAAGTATGAGTAATCTGGCTTGTCATCAAACCGTAATGAACGGGTGTAATTCAAATAAATTGCAAACTCATGAGGGAAACCACGACATAAAATTTCAGTGGATGAAACCATCTTCTTCTCCATAATTCTATCATACTTCTGCTTTTTAGTTGTAGCCTTCAAACCCTGCCAAGGTAATTGACCGCGGAGGAAGTACATGAAGACGTAACCCAAAGATTCTAAATCATCACGTCTCGATTGTTCGACACCCAAGTGAGTATTGATGGATGTGTAACGTGCGGTACCCGTCAGGTTCTTATTCTCACGGTATGGGATGTGCAGGTGTGTCTTTGGGTCTCTGTACTTTTTAGCTAAACCGAAATCGATGATGTTCACTTGGTTTCCTCTTTTAGCGATACCCATAAGGAAGTTATCAGGTTTGATGTCACGGTGGATGAAGTTGCGCTTAAGGGATGTTAGGAGTGTAGAGATATAGTAATAAACTCACGCTGTGAATGTATTCAATGCGAGATATTAATTGGTCAGCGAGGAGGAGGACTGTTTTGAGACTGAAGCGACGGTTGCAGAAGTTGAATAAATCTTCAAGCGACGGACCAAGGAGGTCGATAACCTGTGAGTCGTTAGAAAAGACGCTGTGTGTGGATGTGACGCACCATGGCGTTGTAGTCGCACTCCCTGCCGAACCAGCGTACGAAGGGTACACCGACACCGCCTGCGAGTGTTTTGTATACTTTAGCCTGTCGAGTGTAAGGAAAGGGTGCTTCAAATTTTAGCTCTTCTCACCTCATATTCGAGTTGTGGGTGCTTGGCTTTGATGGACTCTAACTTAATAGCGACCTCTTCACCGGAGATAATATTTACGCCGAGGTAGATATCACCTGGGGGGAATTAGATGATGTATACGGGGCAGCTGATATCCCACCAAATGAACCAGAACCTATTTTCTTTCCGATTCTGTATTTACCGCCCACGCGGAGATCCATACTTAAAATGTTGCTATCCAGTTTGAATGTAAAACCTTTGATCGTTAGTTAATTTCTCTATTTATTCCCTATTTATTCACACTCACCCTCCAAACTAGTTTTCTGAAGGGATCTAGTGAGAGTTGCGCATCCTGTCATTGATCCACTACAGTCTAATTGATTTTTTATTTTATTTTAATAAAATAAAAATAAATTACGCGTTATTACAATATACCATACCGTAATCAGTCGACAAAAATTATTCCTATGCAATCTAAGCTCCTCGATCTAGTCGAATCCTCTTCAAAGCTGAATCTCCTAGATACCGCTCACTTCTACGCTAGTCTTTTATATTCAATCAGCAAATCTACAATCAGCGTATACAGCTATGCTTTCACTTTATACAACACTAATCGCCTCGTCGAATCCTACGATCTACTTATCGACAACTACTCTGAAATTGAATACGATATTAAATCCTGGCTATTGTTGTCCGACGTATGCGAGAAGCTCAACCTCCACTCAGACGCTATGAGGGCTTCAAAGCAAGCACACGATCTATTGCACCTCAACAAACTCATCCCTACTGGTATACTCACAACTGGAAGCACTTCATCACCTGCTGCTACTGCCTGCAGATTGGGAAGGATAGCAAAAACGACGAACAACCACAAGTCCGCTATCGAGTACTTTAATCAAGCCTTATCTTTAGATCACTCCATTTGGGAAGCCTTTGAAGCTTTATGTGCATTAGGTGCGCTCTTTCCATCTTCTTTCTTCTCTTTAATAACATATCAAAGGTGCAGATCCTAACCCAGCGATCCTCTCCACCGGCGATGGTGACACCCAACAAGCTCCACAACAAACTAACATTCCACCGCCACCAATGGCTCAGCGGCAGCCTTCAAACTTCACTGAAGTTGGCTTGTTCACCCCGGATATGGCACCCAGACCCGTTCCAAAGATGCGCCCCCCTGCTCTAACGATGGAAACACCGACACAACCAATGTATGTGCTTTCCATGTCAGTGTTCTCCTATTAACCACCTCTAGTGGCCATAATAATACGTTCACAGATGACGAAAGTTTCGCACTCCCTCCTTCAGTTTTACCAAAGCGCCCACGCGTTAATCAGCCTAAACAAGGATTGTTGCAATCAAGTTTGAAACCAATCACTAAGAAGGTGAGCAAGCGATCTTTCCTTGTGAAAAAAATCTCATGAAACTAGGCCATGAAACAGACACCAGATGCACTTGCACAGGCCAGACGAAGTAATAGATTGGCAACGTTCACATCCAAAGTTGGTATATCGAAAGTGCGTACAAAGTTACACTTCTTTCTTCTGATTAATTGTAAAATTATAGAACCCAGTACGCGATAAGCGAAAAAAACCATCGCCCTTGGCTACTAAAATGTCGAGATCGAATGGTGCATCCAATCAGAGTAATGATGATCAGAATGGTGCATCTTCGAGTGAAGTTTCCGAACAACTTAATGAACTCGTACGCACACTTGGTAAAGCTCGGGCAGCTCTCGGTTCATATAGATGTCAAGAAGCTATTGAAACTTTAAATGGTCTTCTAGGTCCTGAACTTGGTCAAGGAGCTGTAGGTGCTCATGTTGGTGGTGGTATTGCTCGCACACCTTCCGCACTTTGTTGGCTTGGCCAAGCCTACTTTGAATCAGCTGATTACATAAAAGCTGAACGAGCATTCGCTGCAGCAAGAGCGCTCTCGCCGCATAGAAGTGAAGATATGGATATCTATTCAACTGTTTTGTGGCATCTTAATAAACCAACTTCACTTGCATTTCTCGCTCACGATATGGTAAAAGTTGATAAAAAATCTTACCAATCTTGGGTCGCACTTGGTAATGCACTTTCATTATCAAATGAACATTCAGATGCCCTTATCGCATTCACTAAAGCTTCTTCAGTTTCTCCTCTTTCCGCATACAGTAATGTACTCGCAGGTCACGAATGCATAGCTAAAGAAGAATGGGATAATGCGGCTCAATGGTTCCAAACTGCGATTCGTATAAACAGGAGAATGTACAATGCTTGGTATGGTCTTGGAGTAGTCTATCTTAATCAAGGCAAAACAGCGTTATCGGAATATCACTTTAAGAAAGCTACAGAAATTAATCCATCAAATGTTGTCTTGCTCTGCAGTCTTGGTTCTGCTATCGAAAAAGGTAATACTGATAGAGAGAGAATCGAACTTCTCGAAAGTGCCTACCAATCCTACAACAAAGCTTGCATCCTTCAAGAAAATAGCGCTTTGGCGAGATATAAACGTGCTAATGTTCTCTTCCTAATGAACCAATTCCAAGTTAGTGCGATATCATTATAATCTTATCAACTAACACACTCATAGCGTGCTCTACCTGATCTTTTATTCCTTAAAGATGCTGCACCCGATGAGGTCAATGTGCACCTCCTTCTTGGTCGCGTATACAGACAACTCGGCAATGCTGCCGGTGCAGCTAAGCATTTTGCAATAGCACAAGATATAGAACCTAAATCAGCTTTGATAGTTGGAGAAATAATTGAAAGCCAATACAGTAATTAATTAATCAAGATCATTATCTGCATACCTGCATAATTTAATCCAAAATTTGTTCTATTTATTGTTACATTTTAATTCTTATGATAGCAAAAATTCCCATAATCCATTTGTATCCTTGTAATCATGATGCACAACACTAACTAACCAGTAATTATCGTGGACATTCTTCATCAGCTGTTGTGATGCACTCTTCGGACTATAGAGCATTGACCATTCGAGCCAAATTTCGAATGCTTCTTCCTGTAGAAATTGGATTAGAAAATTACTTCGATGGTATTCTTTACTAACCCTCCAAGCATTAAAGGATACATCTTCGATGATGGTAGTCTGTACAACCTCTTGTCCTGGGAAAATACCCCAAGTGACGGCATTAATGGTATCTTCGTAGAAATTGGTCTTCATTTCTCCCTTTAGAGGTAGTTAGTAACGTAGAAAGTTATATTTTAAACCTCACCTTCGCATTACCTGCGTAGTAACCCCCATCTTTCCAACCATCTAATCTTTTACACAATCCCTCAAGTTCATGCTCAGGAACCCAGAATTCAACGAACGCTTTTTGGAAAATCCATCCATTCTTTGGACCAAAACCGAATATTTGATCAGAAGATTCAACGGCGTCAACTGCAGGTTGAGAACCAACAGTCCACCAACCTTTCTCAGCTAATCTAAACAAATAATCCTTTATAGAATTAGATTCAGGATCTAAATTCTCTTCAAACCATGGTAAACTTGCTACTTGACCGTTGATATATTTCTTAAAGATTTCGTTAATGTCTGAAACTTCAACTGGGTATCCCCATTGTTTGAGAGCATTTTGTGATGAAAGTTTGAGTGAGGCACCCCAACCATCTAGTTCACCATAAGCTGGTGATCTTATATCACCATAACGACCGTTAGGGAATTCATCCCAAAGACTGTTACCACCTGAGGATGTCTTATTCGATGAAGGTAAACCGGAATCTTCTGAAGGAGGGTGATGTTTGAGGGCATGTAAGGCTCTGACAGCTGCTTCATGAGCAGTTATGCTGAGTGGTGGTGGTCCATCGGCTGTATGGCCATGGGAGATACCATTCTTGGGTGGTGTTAATGAATATAAACGATGAATAACTCATCACATACCTCTGCTACCAATCTGTTACCAAGGCGAGCAGGTTCTACGGCACCTGTCGTCGTATTGTGTGTCAAACCATTTGGTTCAAGGCTGGAAGCGTCAAGTCCACTAGACCAGTCCAAGTTTGCTAAGATTCTTCTCACACTCTTTTCCAAATTCAGAGTACAGAAATGAGCAGCAGAAATAGCGAGATTGCCATATTTTTCTTTCTGACTGTTAGTTTTATCGATTAGTTGACGAACCATCGAGGTTGAGAGTTCGACACCATAATCCTTGACAAGAGCATCATCGTTCTTGGATGATGTTAATGATAAATGTAATCTAAAACGTTAAAACCCACCTTTATTGGTTCCAAATGATCAGATATCACTGATGGAATATGTGCGCCGCAGAGGTTAGCTAATCTACGAAGACTAGGTACATTCTGTATAGGCATAATACCAGGAATGATAGGAATCTTAATACCAATATCGAGACATTTATCTAACCAATTGAGGTAAGCATCTGAGTCATAAAAGAGTTGAGTGATAACGAAATCAGCGCCTAAATCCTGTTTTAATTTGAGGTATTTTAAATCTTGTGCTGCATCTGATGAATCTTTATGAGATTCTGGGTAAGCTCCTACACCAATGCAGAAGTTATCAGCATAATTATCCCTAATAAACTTGACAAGATCTGAAGAATGACTAAGGTTTTTGTCACTCTCAACCCAATACTCATGTCCACGTGGTGGATCACCTCTCAATGCGAGAATGTTATCGATACCGAGTTCTTTGGCTTTATCGAGTGCCCAACTGAGGCGTGACTTTTCCATATTCGTGCAAGTGAGGTGTAAAAGTACATCTAAACCTAAATCACGTGCTACTGCTGCCAACTCGAGTGACCGCTCGTCTGTACTACCACCTGCACCCCAAGTTACAGAGACGAAGCCAGGTTTGAGAAGTGATAATCTCTGCAAACGACTCTTGAGGTTAACGAAACCCTAGATTTCATAAGATAAATGATATGCCGAATAGAGAAGATAAGAATCCCACCTGGTCAGTCTTCGGAGGAAAGCTGAATAAGTTAGTAAATAATATTCTAGACAGTATCGACTAACAATTCTAAACTAAAGAAAGGTGTTTTATTATCTTTTGATTCGTTTATTTTCTCAACTATTTTCATCCTCGAAGTTGCTTGTTAAGAAGTTACAGCGATGAAAGTGAGAATTGGTCTATCAAACAAACGAGCTTACGTCTGGAATGTACATGATATCGCTAAATTGAGAGTCGACTATCATATATGTGGTACTTTAGTTGGTACTTTACCAGGTATACAACAGCAGAATGTATTCCTCGGACCACCTTTATTGTTACTCCCTGAAGAAGCCTATTTATTAGTTGATCAAGGTATTGCTGAGTTCGTTGATCTCAATAATGCTAGGTTACCCACAGAATCTGAGATTAGTGACTATCATAATGGAAAATTGTCAGAGATTCAGACAGAAGCACAAGAATTGAAAGCTAGAACTCAGAAACAACCACAGTTGTCAGAAGCAGACATACAAAAGCGTGAACAGAAGAGACAAGAGAGAGCAGCAGCAAAAGCAAAAGCAGGTATTGTCATTGACTCAGATAGCGCATTCAGTTCTGCACCACCTACACCAATCGATAAAGAAGAGTCAAGGTTACCAAATAGCTACACATTAACAATTCCAGCAACATCCCCATTCACATTCGATGATAACAACGTCATTTATTCAGATTTAGAGAGTGCAAGATCAGCAAATGTTTGGACATACCCACACAATCAACTAGAGTTAAATAAATGTAGAGTCTTCAAGGATCTTTGGGATAGAGGTATGTTCATGGGTGATGGCTTGCGTTTTGGTGGTCATTTTCTCGTCTACCCTGGTGATCCATTGAGATATCATAGTCACTACACAGTCACTGTTTTAGAAGATACTTCATCAGTTATAAAACCATTAGACATCGTAGCCCTAGGAAGATTAGGAACGACAGTCAAGAAAGTCCACTTGCTAACATCATACAACAACAAAACTGAAAAGGTAGATTATATCTCGTTAGAATGGGCCGGTTTCGGTACATAAATTTATATAGAATGTAAAACTAATAGATTACGACAAATTAGATAATATACTAACGAATTCCTTTGGTGAGCTAATATCTGTACCACCGTACGTCACCTTCTTTTGCGTTTGCTGTGGTCTTGTTGCCCACTCTACTAAGTTTGCATGTTCAACAAGTGAAGCACCACCAACTACGAAAACCAATGCTTCATCATAACTTTGTTTGTGTCCACCTTGTTGTCTTGGCTTTTGACCGTAAGTCGACCTTGATTGCTTTGGATCAAAGTACAAGTAGTCGTCTACATCCTGGCTTGCTTGGGTCGAGCAGTTGTAAGGATCCATGAGGGCTTCCGTCAGTCTTGTGATAGCCAATTCCTCTATCATTAATAATTAGCTTGTTTGTGTGTGAAACCTACAAACTCACTCTTTGCTGGAAGGAAGTTCTTCACACCCGAAAGGATGTTGTCGAAACCGACACCACCCTCACGCAATCTGTCTGTTAACTAGTGGAGGAATTAGATCTTGCAAGGCCACAATAAAAAAAAAGCCTACTCTATTACTGATAGAACTGAATCCTTTGAATAGGTCACTACCGCCTGCGTTTGGCGTAGGTGCAACAGTCGATGCGGCAGCAGTAAGTGATGTCATTCTGCTAACTTGACGGGCTCTGTATGTTGTCATTAAAAGGTACACTTCTAGCACTCGATACCCACTGTTTTATGTAAGAGAATGGTTTCAAATCGATACCTTTTTCACTCAAATACTTCTCCAATTCTGCAACATCAGCTGAATTAGGTGAAGCAACTGATAAGTACCAGATGATGACCAATCTAAGCATATCTTCAGGAGTAGCGCCTTCAACTTCCTTCAATACTTCCAATATCTGATTTTTTGATTGCTTAGAAGCTACTTCCTCAGTTTGGAAAAGCGTATCAAGACCTCTTGTCTTGATTGCAGTCAAGAGCGATGTTGCAATATTCATATGGGAGTCCAAGATTGTCTTTCTAGCTGTGAGTTCAGGGAGGGCAGTGATTGCATTTTTAAGATTAGCGGCATTTGACGAGAAGTCACTTATAAATAAATTAGAATAGTTATCTTCAGTATGAGAACACTCACACTTGATTGATATCTTTGACGTCAGATACGCCGGTAGACCTTGTAATCTCAGTAGCATCACTCTTGTACTTGGTCAATTCGGCGTCTATCTCTTCAGCAACCTGTGGGAATGGATTAGGCGCGTTCTTAGACCAGAAGAAATCCTTGTGGTCAAGATCGTAAGACTTTTTCGACAACTTTCCATTCTCTGGTGTTTCAACTTTAACTCTGTTGAGTTTAAGGTCAAGTACGTCGCCTATCAAAGCCTGATATGTCCAACTATGCGAGAACATAGGGATCAAGTCCAAAGTCCTATCGAACAAGATCAGGAGTGGCCTTTGAAGACTCTTATCATCACTAAAAAGACTAGAATTGCGTGTAGAGAGTAAATGATGACGAAGTCTCTCGTCTAATTTCCTAGCTACCATTTCTGACGCGTTGCCTCTAGGACATCTAATGATAGGCACGCTGCCAATCGTACCAAGTACGCTAAACAATCCTTGTGATATTCTATCCACCTCAGCCTCAATAAGGTCCTCAGTTGATGATGGATTATTAAGTATCTCGAATGAAGAAGACGAGCTGGCTGATAATGGTAGAAGAGAGAACAACGTAGGTGACATAACAACGTAATCTAAATATTGATCGTAAACTTGCTTGATGAGCTCTTCTCTTCCTGTTTGTGCAATTGAGCTGGCGAATTCTTCGAGGAGTTGTTTGGGTATATTGGACGTAAAGTTAATATAAAATGATTCGTATAGTGAATTTCTAACATCCTTTTGATCGTATTAGTTATTGTTCTCATACTGCGGTTATAACCCACATTTGAGATACGCTTGATGTTGTCAGAAGTTGGTTCTACGAAATAGATAGCTGGAACATCATTTATTTGTGGTCTATCGGTATGTAGGAAACTGATATGCTTTAACGTAGTCTATTAATAGGCTCATATACTCACGCATGAAGTGTAACACCTTGTTCTCTAAGATCCTGTACTTTCACGGCTGTACTGAGGACGTCTTTAGAGACGTTATCTAAAATTAATATCTTCCAAGTTAAATCTTCAGTCTTCTTCGTATTAAAATTCAGTAAATTCTCGATATTATTCCTTTGACTATCACGCAAAGTAGAGGTCATGATGGTAGTAAATCAAGAGAGCAATAGATGAATTACAAAATAACTAAAATGCAGTCTGTTTATGCTAAAGTCTCATACCCCGTGTATGCAGCAGATTGTTCTGGTATCTGGTAGAGGTTACTGTAGTTGTAATTGTATGTTTGATCATGTAATCTCCATTCAGCTTGTCTGAAGTATGGATTGAATTGATTCAATGGGTGCTTCAAATCGTATTGTTCCTTTGATGATTCGATTTCGATGGATCCAACGATATCGTAACTAAAATCAGTTATTAGACGTCATTTGTCTTTCTATCACAACTCTAACTCACCTTCTCTGATCGTTGACCTTGAATTTTAGTGATCCTTTTACTACCTCACCTGCATTAACAGCGAGTGGTTCTTTGAAGAGCAATCTAGTTGCTTGCCAATGTGTACGAGGAGCCGTTGGTCCTGTCGACAAGTAAAGATCTACACCACCAGCCTTAGGTGATTTGAAGTGTAAATCAAACCATCCTGCGATACCATGCATCTGCCAAATAGTTAGATACGCTTGCGTATAAAGAATCTACTCACCAAAGAAGTACGCGTTATCTGCCAAGTAAATGGTATGGTAAAAGCGTATAAATCATCCATAGAGCATGTGTAAAAGTCAATGGCGTGATTGTTAGTTGTGTTCGCAATGAGTTGATTTGGAGGGAACATTCCAACAACAGGTTGACCTGTTTTGGGTTAATTTACCTATTTATCAGGAAATCTATACCCACTAAAAGCTTCTTCATTTGCAGCTTCTTGCAAGACACTTAAATCGACACCAAGGAAGTTTGTTTGTTGGAAAAATCCACTCTTTTGCGCTGTTTCAGCGTATAAAGCTTCATCTGTGAAGGGCGCGAGCTCAATTGTACCTTGGATCATTTAGTGATAATAGAAGCTACATCTAGTCACCCACCTGATGAAGGGAACATAGAGCCGCCAGGCTTGAGGAATCTATCACGAGCTTCAATGAAGGACTCAATCATACGTTCGTGTATAAGTAATACACCTGAGAATGTTAGGCCAAGCAACGAGCGTAATGGATTCCCTACCGATTGGTTCACTTTGATGAATGTGAGACAAGATTTCAGATCGACGATAACACCTACCTAACAATGGTGTCTACCTTGTTGGGTATTAAAGTGCTTGCTTGAGCATCCTCAATCTTTGCTGTGTTATTTTAAGACGATGTTTGATAAAGCATTATAAGACAAACCATTGACGACCTTCAATTTGTTCTTCAAGAAAGCATTTTTACCACCCTTGTTAGCCTCGTCTACGATCTTCTATTTGTTAGGAACATCAAATCTCAAGAAAGAATCCCACTAATTGCAATTTTGACGCCATATCGGATGCTTCACATGCGTAGACTGTTTTCGCACCAGCTTGTGCACTGAAGAAGGAGAGAATACCAGAACCTAGGAAATACACTTAGATAGAACCATAAATTGAGTGTTTAGCATACCTGCTCCTACATCCAGTACATCCTTGCCCATGAATGAACCTGCTGAGTTACCGAGGATACCTTGAGTGTGTTGTTGAGAAATGCACAGCAGAATATCCAATACCCACTTTGCTGGTATACACCAGTACGTGAAGAATCCTGTAGTTGGTAAGACAGACTATCTCAGATGATGTGAGCATACCATGAGCATATTAGCTTGATTTACGAGTGCAGCGTCTAGTTGTGTGTTAATATTAGTAATGTTTTATAGTAATTACTCACAATACGCAAAGTATCTGAGAATACATCCTTAGAACGTAATTTGAATGACTAATTCAACAACTAACGGCGTATCCTTCCCATGATCTACACAGGAACATCAGATGAGCTATTATCAATTAAAATATATCCACCATCTCCCATTCTAACTATATATCTCTTCGTTGTTCTCTTCAACGATGGGCGATAACGAAAAGAGGTTGTTATATAAGCACAAAATATCACACGAGCTGTCAGAATTGAACCCTGAATATTCAGCTTATCAATATTCTCAATTCAAGCTTGGACTGGGCGAAGCTGGTCTATCGCTACCAAAGGCACATGCAGAACTCTATCCCAGCTGTCCGAAATGCGGCAGCATGAGACGTTCAACAGCTACGCAACGACGTTCAAAAAAGCTCGTGAAAATCAGTAAGAAAGAAGACAAAGACGTCATTAAAAATTACATTGTTGCAGTTTGTAGAACATGCGAATATAGCTACAGACTACCAGGATCGACGCTGGGGAGTATACGTGATTACGAGGATAGACGAAAGAAACACATACAGGATTTGACTTATGATCCGACTGCGATATTAGAGGAAATGAGTTCAGGAAGTTCAGCACAGTCAAGTAGAGCACCGTCACCGATGCCCGTCGCTGAAAACCCATCTAAGCGTAAGAAGAAGACAAAGCAACCGTCTAGTCTGCAAGAACTCTTACAAAGGAATAAAATGCGCGAAATGGACAAATCTATGTCTAAAGTCAACAATAATAGCAAAAACAACGCGCCTAGTTCAGGATTAGGTGCTTTCTTATCTTCCTACGACTAATTTGCCTTTCTCAGGATATCTAAAAATAATCAATTTTATTGTATTAGTAGCATCATATATACCTTTCGTTCAAACGCTGGGAAAGCTCGGGGTCATAAACTTCATCTTCGCCTATTTGGTTGCCTAGTGTGAGCCAGCCATCGCGACCATTGTGTCGTCTGCCAAATAGTTCAACTTTCCTACCAACAGGGCAACATCTCTCAATCATTCCATACAGCTCGTCTGGTTTGCGACTAGTTTCTCTCACTAATTTGGTTGTTAGATGATATTTCAAACGGTATAGTATATAATACCTTCACTGACTATCACATCAGTGTCCAGCCCTCGATTAAGCCATTCAGGCCACTGAATATCGCTAGCATCTGGATCAGAGACTTTCATACCGACAAGACAGTGTTCTTTCGTGTGGTTGAGCCAGTGACCAGTTCTGCCTGTTCTAATTAAACGTTGAAGCTGGTTGATTTTTACCCAGGCTATCTCTTCTACCTTAGCCGTATGTTAGCTTGCAAATCAGGGGAAGTCAAAATCTTACCCTTTTGAATCTATTGGATGCTGTTAAATGGAATTGTCACGTCAAGGTAAATCAATCACCTACCCCCATATAGACAGACACTCTCTGCCCAAATCCATAGCTCTTCCAGTAACCCAAAGGAATATCAAAGTACCCTCTTCAGATAATGTTGACATTGGCATTTTTCGCATTTCATCGTCCGTTAGCTTGGGTATGTATAAGCCTCGATATTGAGATAGAACGTGAAAGCACTCACAGTTCCATACGGTAAGCTCATGTGTATATCCCAAGGTGGATCAGCGACGATAATCTGAAATTTACCCAAGGTATTGTAATCGAAAGATCTTAGATCGCAGTTTATATATTGAGCTGGATAACGTTTACTACCTAAGATTGTATCAAGTTCCTGTCTCAAACCATCACCGCGACACTTTTTTCGTCTCTTGGTTTGATAGTCAGCCTGCTCGATTGCCGATTCGGATGGTGATTCGAGTTGGAAGTGTAAGTATTTACAAGTTCTATCCAATCTCGGACTATTCAGCTTTGCAGGTTGGAAAGCATTGCTGAGTGTCGGCGGAGCATTGTTGTAAAATGGATAGCATGTGTTTAGATAAGAGCAATGACCGAGTGCGTGATCACTGTATGGTCTTATAATTGGTTGAAAGTGAACCTATGAATTATAAGAAGAATGCTTATTAATAATATTATAACTCACCTTCTGGCAATCTTCTGTACACTCGGTTCTGGTTGTATTTGAGCAAATTTTGACGTAATCGTCTTCTGGTACAACCGATCTCGTATAAGAGTCGTAGAGTGTATCCTTATTGTTTATATAGCTCGTCGTCGGTAAGTCAATACCTAATTCAATTAATTTGCTCGATACTTTATCCAGATCGTTGAATGTTAAACCTAAATCTGGGTAATTGAATATCAAACGTCTTAATAACTGATTAATATTATAGCCACTGGTGTTGTCTAGAATATTCATAATAGCTGATTCCATTCTCGTTGATTGGAAGTGATGATAAAATGGACTATGAATTAAGAGATGAATAATATTTTCTCAAATAAACTCTAATGATAAACTAATATAAAGTATTTATCTCTTAATAATTGCTGATTATTTTGTAATTGCGGATGAATGACAGATCATCAAATGAACAAGAGATCTAAGTCTATATGATGAGACTGAAGAGAGTGAAATATTTAATAAATAATAAACAGATAAACGCTATTTTCTTAAAAATCGTTTATATCGCCATAGAACACTTCTTGCTTCTTAACGATGACTATCCTGTCTGCTGCAATCTGTACAAAATCTGGAACACGTAGGTTTATTGGACAATTTATAAATCAACTAATAAACTTATAGCTTTGATCTCACGTCAATACAAGCAATTGACGAGAACTAGAGTTGAAGGGTTACTCAATACATTCCCAAAGTTGATCCCAACAAACAGTCAAAATACCACGGTCGAAACTGAGGCTATAAGATTCTTATATCAACCAATCAATGACCTTTATCTCGTTTTGATCACCAACAAAGGTTCTAACATTCTACAAGATATTGAGACTTTAAACTTATTTAACAGAATTACTATTGACATAATCAAACAATTTGATCAAGAGATTATTTTGAATCACGCGTTTGATTTATTAATTGCATGGGATGAGATTATTGAATTAGGATATAGAGATAATAACAACTTCAATCAAATAAAATTGTTGTTAGAAATGGATTCACATGAGGAGAAAATACAAGAGATTATCGCCAAGAACAAAGAAATGGAAGCTAAGGAGGAATTGAAGAGAAGAGCAAGGCAGTTAGAACTTCAACGTAGGGAAGCAGCAAGAGTTGGCCAATCTACTGGTTTATCTATGGGTAAATATTCATCATCCTCTGAAATCAATATGTCATCTACGCCTTCAATTGAGCAAACGTCTCCTATCCAACAACAACAACCAAGTCAATCACGATCACAATCTCATTCATTCAAAGGTACTGGTATGAAATTAGGTGGAAAGAAAAAGAATACATTAGACGTCACTGACTGATTGATATGTATATATATATATACCTAAAATTACACTGCTTAACATACACAACTATCTTTATTTTTAGTCAAATTTTCATCGTCAACTCTGATTGAATTAGACTGTGTTGACTTATTGTTCAACTTGTCTTTGGCTTGTTGAATTGGCAACAACTGACCAATTTTCAAGAAGAGTTCGTTTATACCTGCCCCGGATTTGGCTGAACAGGTGGCGTGATAAGAGACATCCAATTCTTCACACAGTTTCTCGACATCAGAGTTTGCAACCTGCTTGGTGTTATCAGGTATATCAGATTTGTTACCTGCTAAGATGATAATTGTGTTACTGTCTGCTTGTCTTTTGAGTTCCTCGATCCATTTGACTGCCCTGTCGAGACTGTCCTTGGAACCGACAGAGTAGACAACCAAAGCAGCGTGGGCGTACCTATAATACATTGGTGCCAGTGACTTATACCTCTCCTGACCGGCAGTATCCCTTACAATGAATGAGATAACAGGGGGAGTGAGAACAAAAACCTACCAGATTTCAAACTTAATAAGATCTTCAGCTATTTTCATCTGTTGTGTTAAGAAAGCAGCGCCTATAGTCGACTCTCTATCCTCTGCGAACTGCTGCTTCACGAAACGTAGCACGCTGTACTGGATGAGATAGGTATAGACTATAAGATAGCACCCACATAGAGGACTTTCCTACGGCTGACTCTCCCAATAACACAAGCTTAAAATTGAGTGGCTTTTGCATATCAACTTGGCGATTAGAGTGTTGAAATCTAACATCCATCATCGAAATTTAAAAAATAAAAAATATTTTATGACGGCCACAGCGACAGCTAATAAAGCTTATCATCCTCTACCAATCAATCCAGCTGCTCACGTTCAATCAAATTCACAGTCTGAATCTGAGCGCTTACAACGTCAGAAACCCTGTCGTACTTTATTCGTTAGAAATATTTCATACAATGCAGACCCTTTAAGCGTACGAACGCCTTTTGAATCTTACGGTGAATTGGCAGATTTCTTCGATTTGATTGAAAAACGTGGTATGTGCTTTATCACCTATTTTGATCTCAGATCAGCAGAGAACGCTTTCAACGCTATGCAGGGATCTCAGATTCAGTCGAGACCCCTTGATGTACATTACTCCCTCCCAAAAGCCGACGAGACTCAACAACCCTGTGAAAGGGGTAAGCACCAAGTGAGTTGTCCCTTCTTATGAGATCATATTTCATTAACTCTCCAGGGCACTCTCTCTGCATGGTTAGAATCCGCTAGTGAGCCTATAAATGATAGCGAATTTTACAATCTTCTCTCTGAATTTGGTGAAATAAAAGAGATTAGACCCTATGATGATAGAGACGATAGCAGATATGTTGAGTTTTTTGATAGTAGAGCTGCAATTTCTGCTTTTGATAACTTGAATGGCTCTGATTTTCAATCCGGGAAATTAAACCTTTACTTTGAATGGGATTGCCCAATGCTAGCTGCACCAAGTAGGTCTGGTGGTTACGCCAACCTGATTGCTCCTGAGCAGGATATTGATAAGCCGGCGAGAGATTTTAGTAACAATGCCGATGCCAACGCCAAGAATCCTTTGCAGAAGAGAAGGCGCGGCGGTAGACGTCAGCAGCGAAATGAGAAACGCTCGAAATGGCACAAAGATAGAGATCCTAGAGGTAATGATGCTCCATTGGGAGAAAATAGTGAGAGTAACATTCGTAATGCATATTCAAATCGTGAGTGTGGACTGCCGTTTGTTTTTTTACTAACAAGCCCACCCAAGGCGTAAACAACCATTATCAACAACCTTATGGAGGATACAAAGCTCCAGCATCGACATCGACCCCGTATGCTTATGGATCACAGCACAACACTGATCAGACGGCTAGATTAGCGGATGCACAACGAGTGCAAGCCTTATTGAGTAGCTTGAACCCAAATACGCTGAATATGGCTGCGGCAGCAACGCCGACGCCTGCTCCTGCTCCAATTCCAGTACCACCGCCAACTGCTCCGATGATGGCAGCTCCGATGATGCCTCAGCCGGTCCCAACACCATATTTCGCGAGTCGGTCGCCGCCAACGCAGCAGCCACAAAGTAGTCTTCCCGCCAACGTTATGAGTTTGCTTCAAGCAGCTAGCAGTAATGTGAACAACTCGAGTGGATATCCGTCAGGCTATCAAGCGATGCCTTCGTATAACAGCTATCAACCTATGCCTTCAGTACCCTCATTACCTTCAATGCCACCACCACCGCCAGCTCAACCAACACTTCCAGCAGCGAGAGATCCTCGAGTAGCACAGCAACAGACAGCACCAGTGCCAGCTCCTGCACCTTCTGCATCACCCCAGGACGCACCGAATCCACAATCCGTTCAAGCTTTGCTATCAATGTTAAATAACCAATAGATTGTACGAATAATTTAATTAGTTTACATAATTAGTAGTGGATATATTAATGCTTGTCTCTATGGCAACTGTTTTGGAAGTTAGATAAGCTGAGTATGTGTTGACACGACTTACTTCATGCATATATTCTCCCAGTCGAAATTCCAATATCGACAACTTGAGCACTGCCAATCGTAATCAGCCTCGTTGCTAAGCTCAGATAACTAATTTACTGTTAAGTAAGGCAATTGAAAGAATGCAAGACATACAAGCGCGTGTATGGCAAATATCATGAAATTTCATTTAAAAGAGTGTATCTTAAATATTTATTTTTATTACTAAGTATTTAATCAGTCTAAATTAACGGCCACATCAAACATACCGAATTCGGTTAACTGGATTGCGGACATTACTAGAAATTCTCAGACAGCTGTCTACTATAAAAGGAATTATAATTTATCTTTTCACTTTACCATCATTAGTTAACTGTTAAAGAAATGAAATTATCTGCAATTTTCGTAGGACTCGCTATCACTGTTGGTGTATCAGCAGCATTTGATAGATCACAACTCAAGTGCGGTGAAGAGGGTTTCCCAACTGAATACACACTCTTCAAGAACAATCTCCAAAATTTCACACCAGAAGAGCAAGCTAAAGCACAAAAGCACTGGGACGCTGCTTATGGATGTGAAGCAAAGAACGCTGAATTGGATGCAGCTGGTTTGTAAAACTAAACGACCAGCTTATTTCTTGTGAGTCATTATTTCTATATCATCACCTCCACTAAATAGATAGACACTCTAATTGGATAATTGGATAACTCATAAAGGACTCTTTTGCTTCTTTTCTATTGTTACTTTTAATATGATACTTAATTTATTATTCATTATGTGCTTTATCTTATACAAAAATTTGAATCAAAAAGAGAAATATTAAAACTGTTCCAGAGAAGTATAAATAATTACTAAACATACGAAGAGATATAAATAGTGCTAAACATATGACGCTGATTTTCTCTTGTCAAAATGCTGATAAGGGTCTAAATTCTTCATCTGGCTTGATGGTCTGAATGCTGTCGAATTTCTGAAATCTACGACATGTGGCTGCATCATTTGGGGCGGTATCATTGGGCTCATCATAGGTTGACCTGGGTAGTATGCCATCATTGGAGGGAATACATTAGGCGCCGGAATACCATGAGCTTGAGATGGAAATGGATGGACTGGTTGGTTAAAGGTCACTCTCTTTGTTGCTGGCGTTTTATGCTCCGAAGAACTTGTGCTGGATTTGTTCGTCCTGTTGCCAGAAATGTTCTCTAAAGATATAGTTCGAGGTACCGGTGATGCAATATTACCTCTGAAACTAGGTAGATCAAGTTGTTCTGAGATCTTTGCGTATGCTTCGAGGATGTGCATCGCGTTATTGCCTGTGTTACCGATTGAACTATTTTGATAACATAATCCAAGGGCGTCAAGTAGTGACCTTAATGGGAAGATTCCCATTGTAGCATACATCATCTGATGTAGTTTCCCAATGTCAATGATTAATACATTCGAAGGGATGGCCAGCTTCAAATTCTTAAGTTTATCGTGGATACCATAACCGAGAATGACAAGGTCGTTGGCCTCTGAGCTTGTTTCGGGGCTTGAGAGTGAGCTTATGAGTGAATCTAAGATAACATTCACTGATATCTTCTGTATTGTCTTGGTGTCACCAAAAACAAACGGCTTCACACCTCCTTCGATACGAAGTCCGCGGACTTTGTAATGGGCTCTGCGGTAGTTATCAACAGGTATTGGTGGCCAATGTACATCATCCCTTGAAGTAAGGTACCCAGCTCTACAGACTGCATAGCCGAATTCGATGATATTTGCTGGAACGTTCTCCCAGAAGTCTGCATCCAATGCGAGAAATGTATGCTTCCTGGATAGCCATAACTTTGAACACTCTCTTGGTGAACCTCTGCGTACTCTCGTGCGCTGAATAGATGCAACGTGGCTGCTAAAACTGTGATAAAGGTATCTGAAACAGAATTAACGATATTTCTCAGTACGTATCAATGTAGTACCTACGCATAATTTGAATAGTCTTTTATATACTTCACCTCGGTCGGCTTGAAATCAGGATGCGGACAGACGGAGGAACAGTACCTAGGTATTCTGATTTTATCGGTTTGGAATCTTTTTGACAGTAATTTGAAGTAATTTTTCGCAACTTTCTCTTCGATGCATACATGTCCGTTAAGGTTCTTATCAATTACGACGAAGGCGGGCCATCCCGGTAACCAGCCATTCTGGATGTTGAATGCGATAGTCTGTTTTGGTTGAACTTCTAAGAAACTCTTTAAAAAGCTCTCAAATGACTTGAAAATATCTGCGTATGTCTTCTCGAATAAAAGGTCATAGTATTCTTCAAACTGGTGGAGTGTTGTTAAGTATAGTTCCTTTAGATCAATTTGCTGCATTGTAGTTTTCTCTTAAGGAATTTTCATTCAATTTGTTGCCCAATTTAGCCAAAAATTAACGTTGTACGAATTAACGTGACTTTTAATGTCTAGAAAGGGATAAAATTGATATAATTAATTAAATGACTATATATATATACATAATAACCGGGTGCTATTATATTCTATTTCTTATCAAAAGCGTCCTCACTTGCTTATATAGGTTTATATCTCGTGTGATAATTTAAGCCCTGGCTGATAAGACATGCGGTGTAACGTGCCATATATTTTCCAACCATAAATTCTCGCATATATACCATACTTGTTAAGTCAATTGCTTAAAATATCAAAAACTCCACATTCCATTTCCTGTTTTGGGAAACTAGGCAAGACATAATTGTGTTAATTTAGCAAAAGTTCCGTATATCCAATTAAAGTAAACAAAAAGAAGAAAATTAGAAAGAAATATTAAAAAGAATTTCAAGACATTGTCCAATAAGTTTACATTCCACGAGCTTCGAGTGACTTTCTCATCTTTGATTGGAAGTCGACGACATTTTCTGGTGCGAGAATGGTGTAGTGAGCACCCTTTGCATCAATAAAGACTGGTTCGGTTCTTGTGAAATCCTTCCATGGTGTGAGCTTCTTCTCGTACCATTCTTGACGAGTCTTGGCTACTGCAGCTAATGGATCAGCAATGAAAACGTTGATGTTTGAGACAGTTCCCTTTGGTTCGTAGCCTCTAGCCAAAGCTTGGAGGTTCTCAGCGATTGATCCCCAGTTGAGAAGCTTAGAAGCTGTTAATTCCAACTCTTGGAGACGCGCTGGTGGAGCAATTGAGATAATGTGCTCGACGACTTGCTCTGGAGTGTACTTGTGCATCTCTGGTGAGATTTCGTGGGCGTAATCTTCGGTCATCAAACCAAGGAAGTAAGACAAGTTGAGAACGACCTGGAAAGTAATGTTAGATGCTATCTTTATCCATAAACATTTAAGCTTACCTCAACTCTGTCAAGTTGTTGCATACGCTCCTTAATGTGTGGTGGAAGGTTGAAGCAACCGAACCAACCGATTTCCTTGCCCTTAGCTTCAAGCTTCTTACAGATTTCGAAACCAAGACAAGCACCGTATGAGTAACCAGCGATACAGTATGGACCATCTGGGTTGGTTTTCTCGATACCCTCCATGTACTTATCGGTAAGTGTGTTCATGTCAGTGAATGGAGTTTCACCTGGGTTGAAACCTCTGGCACGGAGAGCATACACTGGTCTGTCAGTGATGTACTTTGCGAGGTTCAAGAAGACCAAAACTTCACCAACACCTGGGTGGATCAAGAATAATGGTGGCTTTGAACCCTTGAGTTGAAGTGGTACGATAGGATCGTATAATTCATCAGCATCATCTGGAACTTCACCAAATTGAGTACGTAAGTATCTGTCCAAGTATGGTGCCAAAGTTGCTGGTGTTGGGTTACGAAGGACAGTGATGAGTGGTAATTCCTCAGTCAAGCCCAAATACTTTTCGAGTGTGTTCTTGTATCTGACCAATTCGAGTGATGAACCACCGAATGTAAAGAAGTTGTCATGACGACCAATGAATTTGTAGTCGAGGTTGAGAGTCTCAGCCATTGCAGCAACAGCTTTACGTTCAAGATCACTTTCTGGTGGAACCAATTGCTCACGGCGAAGTTCTTCCAATGCGAGTCTTTGCTCGGCTTCGTACTTGACGAATGCACCTGCATCATATGCCTTGAGGACCTTGTTGCGTGAAATTTTACCTAATGATGATTTACCACCGAATGCCTCAGTTGGAAGCGCGAGAATACGATATGGACGGTGAGCACAATACATGACAACTCTGTCAGCGATGGCCTCGACGACTTCCTTCAATCCATTAACATCCTTTGCGACGTCAAATGAAGGAGCAAAGAAGATGACAATGTCCTCAGTTGCTGAGTCTTCTGGGCGGTATGGAACAGCAGCGACCCATGATGGCATCAAACCAGGAATACCGGCATTCTCGAGCATGTACTCAATTTCGGAACTGAAGTACTTAACACCATTGGTGATGATAGAATCCTTGTCACGACCAGCCAAGACACATCCTGAGCTAGACATGTAGGCTCTATCACCAGTTCTTGACCATCCATCTGGTGTGAAATTCTCACGTGTTGCCTTCTCGTTGCGGTAATATTGACGGAAAACAACAGGGCCTGAGATTTGCAATTCACCAATTTGACCTTCTGGAACTGGCTTCAAAGATTCTGGGTCGACAATTCTCATGTCGATGCCGTTCATTGGCATACCAACAGCTGCATATGCTCTAGTTGAGCGAATTTCCTCAGCTGGGAATGTCTTGTTGAAAATTGAACCAGCGCATGTTTCAGTTTGTCCAAATCCAGGTACGATCAAGTCTCTTGCTGCGCCCATTGGTGCGAAAACTTGCTCAATTAAGGTAGTGCACATTTTAGTTGATGTGGCTTCACCACCGGAAGTGATTCTTCTGAGTGATGATAAATCATACTTTGAGCGCAAATCCGGGTTGTGCTTAAGCTCTCTGTTGAACGAATCGAGGAGTGCAGCCAAGAAGAAATTTGGTGAAAAGTTGAAGTTGATGCGTTGATCATTGATAATTTGAAGGAAATCGAGTGGATTAGTGAGTAAAGCGGCACCTGGTACATGGTATTGGTCTGCACCCAAGTACATTGATGTAAGGTGACATTCCGTGAGGTTAGCTACGTGATCAAAGTTGATCCACTATTACTTAGTTAGATTTATAACCTGATATAATGAGGACTTACGTTAAGGAATTTCGTCTCGGAGGTGAGACCCAACGCGTTTGATTTACCTCTAACGGCAGCTTGGATAGCTTCGTGACGCATTTCAACGGCCTTTGCATTTCCTGTTGAACCAGAAGTTAACATCAAACATGCCAATTCCTTTGTTGAGTTGATGTCTGATTCTTGCAAAACCTTTCCGCTGGCTTTGGCGAGGATCTCTTCTGGTGAGTAGATTTCTGAGTTGTCCCTGATACATTCCAAGTGGGCATGTAACTCAGATGAAGCGATGATGCGTGGGTTGAGGAGGGTCTTCAAGTGAGTCAAGTGAGCTTCAACTTGCTTTGGATCGTTCGTAAGTGGAGTAAGGATAGTTGGTACGAGTCCAATGAGAACTGCTGCCCAGTAGTGAAGCGCATATTGTTCGTGGGATGACATCTATAGAAGTGTTATCAAATGCTAATCAAAGATATAAAAGTTACTGACGTATAAGAGGACAATATCATTGTACTTGAATCCGGCACTTTTGTAACCAGCTGCGATGGTTAAAGCTTGAGAGTAGAGACTTGCGTATGAAAGGAAAGTTGGTTTGGTGTTTGCTGCTCCCGGATACAGGTAAAGACCGCGAGTGTGATTATCAGCTTGTGCTTTGAGGATGTTGACGATGCTTGACATTATTATTATTAGTTGAAATTAATTGTAGTTGTTAATAGTACGAAAGAAACAGCAAGTAAGTTTATATATAGTATTTTGCGGAATGAGATATCTCGGCGTGTTTACCGTTCTGTGTCAAATATGTAGCAGGCGGATTGAGCACGGAATGTAAGTTACTATAAAAGGAAATTGATGTCCGGGTATGAATATCAATCAGGACGGTCTTCGTGCCTTTCCTTTTTTATACATAACTTGATTTGATCGTTTTGTGCTGCTTAAAGTGAATTTTTTCGTTCGATCTCCCACAGCCGCCATAATTTAAGCTTGCTGTGTGACGCGTAACGACAAAGTCAGACATGATTCTCAAACATCTAGATTCTTTCGTAACGGGTATTAATTCGCAATCCTTTACTGAACGACTGTCCCCAATCACATATTACAGATATGTTATGACATATCACATTACAAGCATGTAGAAAATGTATGCGTTCCTTCCGCATATTCTTTTCCGTCCTCACAAAGTATGGTATTTTCAGTGTGTTACGCGTTATCACATACTAGTATCACGTATGGCACGACTGCACTAGATTACTTGTCTATGGTGATCTCAGACAGGCCTAGGTATTTCTCAATATTCTGGCTACTTTCGTCACCCACTTTACTAATTTCGGCACACAATTAATAAGGTTCGTCCCTGTATTTCCTTAAATGGAAGTATGCCCATCCTCCACTATTAATATCGAAAAAGGCAGTCCCTGGCATACATCATTATTTTTGATAAGCTTTTTATATTTTTTTTATGGTTACATCGCATTTAGATAAAATCGCCTCCACTAAATATTGAGCTAAAAGTGTCCTCCACATTGAGATTCACACTAGTGATTCTGATCATACTATATTAACCAGACTATTACAGCACTAAGTGTCGTATAAAGTTTTTAAAAATGCATGTATTCTCTATTATGCGGCAGACTTCCACCATCTCACCACACCTGAGTCCCCACTACTAACAAACCCAGAGCCAGACTGACCACTAACGCCTAATGGTCTCCAACTGAGTGACCAAACCTCCTCCTCTTGGGCAATCTTTGCGACAGAGGCCCTTTGACCGACGTCGAACAATCTGATGGAATGATCAGTTGAACCACTAGCGAGCAACTTGGAATCCGGTGCTGCAGAGATAGCCGTCACTGAACTATCGTGAACATTTGATAGAGAGAATACAGCACCTGACGATGTGGAAGCGCGTAAATCGACAGCTGAGATCAACTTGTCATCACTGGAAGTGTACAGTATGGATGAGTCCGGAGAGAATGATATAGAGCGGATTGGTTTCGAATGTGCGCTATGTACTCTCACGAGTGAGCCAGAAGATGCGTCAAATACATAACTCTGTCCTGATTGTGCACCTGCGACGAGCCAGCGACCGTCTGGACTGAATTCTAATGACATTATAAATGCAGGTCTACCCATTTCATATGTACCCAAATAAGAGCCAAATTCAGGATCGTCGTCTGTCTCATGGAGGTTGTTTGCACTATGGACATTCAAATGAGAGTCCAACTTTGCAGGAGACGTGACATAGTGACCTAATGTGATAGGGTGTATAGCAGTTTTCCATATCCCAGGGTGTGATGTAGAAGCAGCCACTTTTTGCTCCGATAATGATATAAGTGACGTTGTACCGTCCATGCTGCTAGTGAGGGCCAACTGCTGGCATTCTGGATGAGGCGTCGTTGTTAATGAAGTCAGAGAGAGTGCTGCTATGTCTATTGTTGCTCTATGTTCTCCATCGTTCCTTTTAGAAGTTAAAAAAGTTGGAGTGTAGAAGTTGAACGAACCAGATACGCAAAGTGCCATCATTTGAGGCTGACAATACGCCCTGTGGTGTCCACCGTGTATTAAATATAGCGTCGTCTGCTAATTGTCAGAATTGGAGATATAGTGCTGTCAACTCACTGTGCTGGCCAGCCGATTGTGAGCTGTCTGCGTAAGAAATAAACTGGGTAGACTGAAAAAGGATAAGAGGAGAATATTTTCATTATTTTACACCTACCATATTGGCTGAAGTGATACAAGCTCTTTATTAGCGAAGGTCATGGTATCATCGAATTCTTTTACCGTAGGAAAGCTGGGTGAGTCTATAAATGTGCTATAAGAGTATGATCTAATGAAATATACAGATGCTGGAATGGTTCGTCTCTTCACTCACTCTTCTCGCAGTCTAACAGCACATAGGCAATCCTGATAGGCGAAAGAGCCTCTTTGATAGAATTTCCGTCTGTATTACTCCCAGCCGGTATTACTACTGGTTCTATAGTAAATATCGCTGTAAATAGGAACCAACAAGCTGAGAAGGAACACGCTCAGGCGTTCTGGGATCTTCAAAAGACAATTTTGGACACCTACGGCATTGATTCACCTAAGCAGCCAGCTATACGCGTTAGAAACACAACTCAAACATCTGTCACTATCGAATGGGACGAGCTTGAACTCGCTACGTCTAACTTGCGCTCTTTGGATTTATACAGGAATGGTCAAAGGTTGAGCGCTATCAGCAATCCAGATAACAAGACATACAAAATGTCAGGTCTCTCACTGAATACGGAGTATAGCTTCCAGCTAATAATGAGAACAACGGCAGGTGTATATCCATCTGAGACTATCAAAGTTAAAACACACACTATAAATGATACAACTGGTATTAGAGTAGCAATTGGTGCTATCACAGATGAGAAACTACTCGATTCAGCCAAGTCTGCAATCGAAGAAATGGGTGCTCAATATCAGGACAAAGTTACGATCGATACTACTCACTTTGTCTGCTCAAAACCAGGTCCTTATAATTTATCAGAATACCAAAAAGCAGTACAGCATTCTATACCAATAGTACAACCACAGTGGTTGTTGGCATGTCATGCTGAAAAGAAGTTAGTTGTATTATTTTTACGCCTATCGCGCTAATTTAAAACCCCCTTTAGGATGGTGAATATCAGTTCATTCTATCTTGGTGGCCCAATGCCAAACGTCAAGTTTGAAAGTAGATCTTCGAATAACGTAACGGATGCCACACCTGAGGTAAATGGCGCTGAGGCTGGACCAAGCGAGCAACCTGATAAACCAGAGCAACCAGAGCAACCAGTTGAAAAACAAGATCCAGCAACACAGGAAGCCCTCAATGATCCAGAAGGCGGACCTATAGATGGTATACCCCCAGCAGTTGAGGATGACGAGGAGACGAAACAAACCAAAAATGCTGTCAGGAAGGAAATAGAAGAAGCTGAAAGACAAGCTACAGATGCAGCATATGGACACGAAGATGAGGATGTCGCTGGTCGAGAAGGACGTGATGATATGCGGACGTTCAGCTTCCCAAGAGTGACGGCAGTACCTGAAGAAGAGCAAAGACCATCTTCAACACCACCAGATATACGTATCATTAACGAAGATGGACAAGAGCAAATTATGGCTGAAGGTCTAGCAGATTACGATTATGGAGACGGAGAAGAAATAGATCTCAACGACGACGATGAAGAGAGTGTTGATAGTAGCCAAGAATAACGTGTTTTGTAAAAGAAAAAAACTTCAATTAAATGCCTGTATTCGTAATATTATTACAACAATTAATTTGTGAAAGATAGAAGAGAAATTGCTTAGTGTACATTACCAATGAATTGGTAAATAAGTGTGTGAACTAATCCTGACAATACTTGTGGTTCGTGAGTGTATGCCTGCATAAGAGAAGCTGTTCCAAACATGACGAGAAGTTCAGGACCGAGCGGGATATGTGGTAGCCATTTTTTGCGTCTTGCAGTCGTCCAAGCGCTTTCCATTGCCTTTGGAAGAACATACATAGCGAGTTCCGATCGTCTTTTCTTCTCTTCGACAGCAAGACTGGCGCAAGTTAAGAAACCACCGACCCATAAAGATTCCTTCGATATCAAGAAGTTTGACAACCAGGACGGTAAGTTATCCTTATGGAGTCTGTATAAAGCATGCTTGGAACTAAACCAGCTATGGTATATGACGACAAAAGTAGCCAAAAATGCTGATGATCTGAAGCTAGATAATGTAGTGCGTAAAACTGCTTCTCCAGGGTCTTCACTGAACTGCTTTCTCTTTAATGTCAAAGCTGGTATGAAATGCAGTGAGGCATAGACAGGTAAAATGTCGAGAAAGATCATATAGAATCTTTCGATTGCCATTGGTAGGATACCTTCAACCCATGGATTCAAAACAGCGGGTGGGATATATGGTAATAATCTGTTTTCTCCATTTTGAAGATCTTGAAGCAATTTAAGCAAACGAAGTTTGTTCTTTGGTGTCGGCTTCTATTGGTTATCAATAATTTGATTATGGAATCAGACATTGACTGACCCTTTGTGCTAGTGATGTCAAAAGACTTTGGGAGTTATAAGTGCCCGTCCTGACGAGCTGTCTGTGCATAGGGATAGCCTCAGGTGGTACTTTCGAAGCTTGTTGAATCCTACATTGCTATCAGATAAAACTTTGCAAATATGTCAAATTTACCAATCGTTATATGCCTTGGGTATAGTGTCAGGAGACATAATCCAGGCATACATGATCTGTCCACAAGCTAATCCAAAAATGACAAACTCTCCATACGGTATACTAATCCAATTTCTCGCTTTGCATGATCTGTACATACCATGAAGCCCGCTATAAAGAATTAATAATGAATAGACGATTGATACCATCACCCACCGAACAGTCAATTGTTGACCTAGCGCCAACCGGTTGCTGCGAGTTTCAATGAGAGAGCCAAGTGAGGAAATAGCACCGGCAACCCAGGCATGCCAGCGTTTATGTTTTCCATCCATAATCCTAAGCGCGTGATGAATGAAACGCCACAACCAAACAAAACTGAAATGTCTCAGTTTGATAACGCAATAAGAGCGACAACATACACAGCAAATTGTGAGCCAAACCTGAGCGGTTCAGCGCTGAATAATGCACGTTTGAGTAACTTTCCAGTCAACTTGCGAGTTTTGAAAAGTGAGACCAATGCTAGGATAATATTGAGAGTCAAACGCATACCAAAAGTCAACACAAAGGTGCGCGCTGAGCCTCTAGTCGCATAAACCAAAAGTCGTTCAAAATCCTTCGGTTTCCTTGGCTAGTTGTTCTGTCAAGTGATCGTCCCAACCGTTGGGGAAGACTTACTTTCTGGTTTTTGGGTCTCCAAACACTGCTGAGAACTTCCCGTTGTAGCTTATCCCTATGTTTTGTGTCCCTGCTAAGTTTATAGAGCGTATCAAAGGAAAATGTTTTCTTGAGTTGCTGAGCTTGCTCAGTGATGTTAGGCGTCGATGGCTCAGTGATGGACAAAAGATCGTCATCTTCAATTCCAGTGAATCTGACGGAAGATTTATATTTTCGATTTTTTGACATGATGACGGTATGAGTATAACTTATCTCTGAGCTACTATGAGCTCAATATCTCTGGAGATAGATTACGACGAGGAGCCACCGTTTAAATATACTAAGATTGGCGCTGATGTTTCTACATCTACGCTCAAAGATTCAGCCTCTGTATTGCGTTGTTGTGATCAGTTTATCGTGAGTGAGAGATATAGGGAGATGACACGTTCATTGATATATATAGGCACTTGGTACACATGCAGGCTATTTACATTTATTCTCACATTCTGGACATCGTATTAAAGCCTTTAAACCGCATTCAGCCACGATAAGTGATATATCGCTAGATAGTGAGCAGAATTACATAGCAACAGCTTCAGTAGATGGTCAGGTCTTTATAAGCTCTATTTATGGTCAAGAGAGATATTATTTTGATATAAAACGTCCAATGCGTTGCGTAGCTTTAGATCCACACTTCAGCACAAAGTCATCCAGAGCGTTTATATGTGGCGGTTTGAATGGTAGACTGACACTCAATGAAAAGGGATGGTTGGGTCATCGTCAGATTGACTTGCAGCCCACTGATAGGGAAGAGGGACCGATTTACAACTGCATATGGAATAACCATCTGGTAGCCTGGTCGAATGATTCTGGTATACGATTATATGACGTCCAACTTATGAAATTGATAGCGTTCATCCCGAAATTGGACATCTCTCCTCGACCTGATCTCTTTAGAGTATCTCTCTCTTTCATTGATCATCACACACTCATTATTGGCTGGGGAAGCATAATAAGACTCGTTAAAATACGATACAGGCATTCAGCACCTTTGCATAACTACGAACATCCTCAATTACTCGCGGAGATAGAATCAACTTTCGAAATGGACGCTATGATTTCTTCTGTTTTGCCTTTCGAGAATTCGCTTTTAGTTCTAGCTTGGTTGGAACCAGATGGAGCGTTATTAAACGATGAGACTATCACTGACAAGAATGCACAACGCAAACGGGCCTCAAAGAGACCGGAATTGCGAGTGTTAACCCTCGATGGCGAGGAGAATGCCGAAGACAGATTACCAATTAGGAACTTCTACTTATATGGTTGCAACGATTACAAGCTCGTACCTTCTTTATTTCCCACCCGGAATGGTCTCAAGGCCGGCTTTTACTTCATGTCACCCCGTGATGTGGTCCGAGTTGAAGCCAGAGATGAGATTGATCACGTTGAGTGGCTCATAGAGGGCAAGCACTATGGCGAAGCGCTCGAATCTGCAAAGACTTTGACCGTAGAGCATGATTTCAACATAGACGAGCTCGGTCAGATGTACTTACGGTCGCTTATCACAGATGGTGAGCTTATATCTTTACAAAATAATCGAACCACTCAATTTCATAGGCGAATACGAAGCGGCTGCATCGCGTGCCACTGAAATATTGAAACTCAATACCAGCGCATGGGAAGACTTCTTCTATACATTTGCAAACTACGACAAACTTGATGTGAGTGATAGGTGCCAAACTTAAATTTTATCGCTTAGTTGTCCTAGGTAATTATACCCGTTATACCAAAAAAGCAGCCACAATTAGACGAACAAGTGTACGCGATAATACTTCACCATCTGTTACAGACAAATCATAGAGTAAGTGCGTTCAACTACGAATGGTTGTTTGCTAATGATACTAGGATTTTTATACTTCTATCATTGAATGGCCTTCAGATATCTACGATATCGGCAGCATTATATCAGCAGTTCAGAATGAGATTGAGAATGACGAAAAGGAAATACTACTAGAGTCCCTCGCAGAGTTGTAAGTTCGATTAGTACGCACTATGATGAGACATTAATTGTCTACGAAGGTATTTACGGAATAGACAACCTGGGAAAGTACTACCTATTTATCTCAAATTAGAGAAGTATGAAGTCTTTGATCTCATCAAGAAGTACAGTCTTTGGACAGATATTCAGTATCAGGCATTGGAACTTGTTAAGTTTGACGAGGGGTTGACAATGTCAGAATCACAATCCCAGTGGATTGAGGGAGGAAGGGGAACAGTGATAAAGATGCTGGTAGATCATACCTATTCGATACAGGTAGGTTATATAGATAGCTGAGATCAAGTCTAATAGTCAAAAAGGTCAGTCGAGTTGTTGATCAACTACAGCACGAAAGTCGATATCTTTATCTATATTTGGACACACTCAGGGAGCTAGATGGTATGATTGTCGAGCCATACGCTGACAATATGGTGGAATTATATGCAGAGTATGACTACAGCAAGCTGGAAGGATATTTGCGGACCAACACGCGTTACAATCTTGAAAAGGTTGGTGTAATACCATACGAAAACATTCACTGACAATGTCTATCCTAAGGCATATAAAGTTTGTGAGAAGAGGGATTATGTCCAAGAGATGGTGTTCATTCTCGGTCGTATGGGATCCAATAAGTTAGCGCTGAGTCTCATTATAGAAAGACTTGGTGATGTTAAGAGGGTACGCAAATGACAGCTTCACATATAAACAAAACTAACAACTATCAAGGCAATCGCGTTCGCAAAAGAGCAAAGTGATGATGATTTATGGGAAGACCTACTGAAATATTCCGAGAGTAGGCCTACGTTCATAAGAGGCCTGCTCGAGAATGTTGGTCCTGAGATTGACCCTGTGAGGCTGATAAAGAGGATCAAGAATGGTCTCGAGATACCAGGATTGAAGGATGCTTTGATAAAGATCCTACGGGACTTCCAAATACAAGTAAGTTGTTGTAGTTATTATCGCTATCCTAACAAGCAGAAGATATCACTGCTCGAGGGCTGTCAAACCGTAATGCATACGGATTGCCAAAGGATACTGGATGAATTACTGAAAGCGCACTCGAAAGGACAACTAGGTGGTCGTGAGTTTACTTCTGTAACGTCACACTGAAGCTAACGGGGTGTAGCTAACACTAGTTGCGCAAAGTCGCAAGAAAAGGCATATAAGAAGAATGAAACGACGTTGGTGTACAACGACGGGAGAACATATCTAGCCTCATCCTTATTAGGGGAAAGGACAGGCGAAGTCCGACTGAAGACAATTGACCAAAAGATAGCCTGGAAAGTTCGTATGAATAATCGAATAGATAGGAATTGATAATATAATAAATTTATTTGTAAATATAATTTTTTAAGATTTTCGAACTGAGCTGAGCGAAGAAGGGAAAGCTTGAGAGCTCGTTAGTTGACAACCAAATAGTGCAGGATGGTAAATAATAATAAATAGCTGCTATAAAAGATTTACTAACAAATATATTATAGGTCCAAGTCAGAGTGCGTTTTCTTATCGTTCTATAGCAAATTCTAACAAATTATCCCAGGCTCACGAGCTTCAAAGCAAGAACAAGGTGTGTAGACTAGGGCTTTTGTAGGATTTTCTAATAAAACACCAGACCGACCTCCTCAACCAACTCCACGAGTTGAAGGGTGAGCTCGTCCAACTCAGAGTTGCCAAGGTAGCTGGCGGCTCAGCTTCAAAGTTGACCAAGATGTAGGTATTAGAGAAGTAGCCCGTATCTTTTTAACACTCTATTAGCCACTCAGTCCGCAAGTCAATTGCTCGCGTTCTCACCGTCATCAACCAAAAGCAACGTCAACACGTCGCCGAAGCTTACAAGGGCAAGCGTATTCCTTTGGATATGCGCCACAAGAAGACTCGTGCCATCAGACGCCGTCTTACACCAAAGGAGCAAAACGCTAAGACTGTCCGTCAACACAAGCGTGAAATTCACTTTGGCCGTCGTAAATTCGCCATCAAGGCTTAAAAAGTTTATGAATGAATGGCTTTATTTGGTTGATCATGCATATTTGTTAAATTTCTGTTGATTTTATCAGTTTAATATCACATTTGAGAAGTTTTTCACGCCAATTTGATTCATCGCTAACTGCTTTAGTAGCATCCTCTATTACTGTAATAGAATGTCCATTAAGCTGGCCATCAATTGCTGTCGCTTTCACGCAAAAATCTGCTGCTAATCCCGTAACGTATATCGTTGATGATTCCTTGAGTAAATGTAATAAATTGTGAGAAGAGGCGTTAAAAGCTGAGTAAGCGTCTACATCAATGTTGGTACCCTTCTCCAAGTATACTACTTTATTAGACGTGCTATTCAGGGATGATTGTATGTCCTCATGTAATTCTGCACCTTTAGTGTTGGCTACGCAATGATCTGGCCAAAGCTCTTGTATCCTACCATCTGGGAGTGTTATGCTACTAAATGGCTCTTTGTTATGCCTTGATGCGAATGAAATGTGATTAGATGGATGAGCATCCTGATGATATATGAGATGGGCTAGGAGATACATATATGTAAGTATTACGCACTTTACTGACAAATATGGTTTCCCATGTGTAGTTATTTATTAAATGCTGTATCTCTAAGGGGTATTTAGCTAGTCTGTCTATTATATCGCCAACTAACTCGGTATAATCAATTCAGCGTCATTGACGGCGAGTGAACCATTTATAAAGTCATACTATAGTACATTAGATTCTGCGTTATTTAGTAATAGATTAGAAACCTGGAGATCAACTACGAAAAGATATGACATGATGAATGTCTATGTACAAGAATTTAGATGCTCTCTAAGGGCATCTAATGCGCGGAATCTATGACTTATTTTATTCTTATCCTCTTTTGCCATTTCTGCATATCTACAGTTTCTAGTTAGAAATGTCGAAAGAGAAGACAGTATACTGACGTCAAGCCATTACCCTCGTCTGGTTGGAAGATTGGATCCCAACCAAAGTTAGTTGGGCCGCGTGGCTGTACTATATTCCCGAATGTTCTACCCTCGAAAACGATAGGTTCAGTTGTTTGCTCATCTGCGTATGCAAAAGTACACAAAGCGTGAGCTCTAGTGTTGTTGAAGCCAACTAACATTTTGTTTAATCCGTCGTGTCCTATGGATTCTAAGAACCACTTAATGTATGGACCTGGGAGGTTATTGAGTGCTTCAAAACAGAGTGCGGTATCTTCAACCATGACAGGACCTTTGATAGTATCCCTGGCTATCTTGCACTTCTGCTTAGCGATCTCTTGTGTAGAGTTACCTTGTAATTCAGGTAAATCCAATGATTTGTTTAGTAAAGGTGCGTTCAAGATCTCTTTTACTTCTTTCAATTTGTTAGCATTGCCAGTAACAAAAGCTAGACGTCATCGTCAGTAGATATTCTATCAACATTTATTCACAGACTGATTGTTTTCATTTTGAACAACGACGATTGATAGCAATGGAGAGCACATACAAGGTGGGTGTTTGCTTAATTATAAAATAAAATTAATTTTCAGTTCAAACATATACAACCATATTTATCAAAATATCCAAAGTTATCTTTATCTTTATTTCAAACTTATCACGATTTGAGCTTATGTGGGTGTTTAGATGGGTAGATAAGCTAATATGAACTTTATATTTAGCTCAGAAGTGGTATTCTATTGATTTCATTGAGTTAGAAGAATTAAAGTATGTCATTTTAGTTGGGAAGAAGACAATGAAGGTGAGCCTGATTCCATCTATCTGGAGCGTATCTAACTATCTATAGCACAATGATACAGTTATAATACCAACCAACATTTACGACAATCTATCTCTAGATTTATTAAACAATATCATAAGTTCTACCGACTATTCAAGAGATGTACATTATATTAGCATAGTAGGACAAGATTCAAGTTGCGTCTATTATAGAATACAAGCAGGATTAATGAAACCAGACGATTTGAGAGTTTTGTAGACTCATACAATCTTGTAGCTCAACCACCATCAGCTCAACAATGAGCAACCACATTAGCGCATTTAAACCAGATAATTATAATAAATTATATAAATTTTTATTAGAAATATTCATAAACCAATCTAATATAAAAGATTTATACTTGGAATTGAACAAGTTCAATCTACAAAATCCATTAGATTTACCAAAACCCAACAATGCAGAGAAGTCTGAGTTAGAGAATGGTGAGCCAGCTCTTATAATACGTATTACACCCTAATATCCACAGGAAACGCTACCATCTCCGGTGTTCTGCACAAAGTAAACAAGGACTTCATCAACCAAGCATTGCAATTGTCTTCTACTCTCAATATCTCACACCATCTCGCGTCTTCTCTTCTTCAACACGGTATGCAGAGGTGCTCAAGATACCAGACCACCCCCTTGGAAACAGCCGTCATTCTCTTCCACTCAGAGAGACTCGAATTGGTTAGATGCTTACAGTTGATTATCAATGGTAGTACGGACCCTAATCTGCAACAGTCTGGCTTAATGGATGTTTTAAATAATTTCACCGTTCAACTTATACAGAACAACTTTATCAACACTCTGATTTCTTCCTTGAAGTCACTCAAAAATCCTCAAATCACGTCAACAGGTTTGAACGATGCTGTTACTGCAGAATCCATCAACTTCATAACCCTCCAGAGGCAAGAATTAGCTCATCTTCTCTACCTCTTCGCATTCAATCAACAAATGAGCCAATCTGACATTACATCTGTTATTAATTACGCCAGCACTCTGGACTTTGAGGATTCAATCACTCCATACATTTTGTCCACATTATTAGCCGCATTCAACTTCAACTGTCAAGATCTTAGCTTCATAACAAACACCTTGAGAACTTCATCGTCTAGTAATTGGTTGAATAAGTCTTTTAAGGCTGTTTTTTCACTCAGATTCGCTCTTTTTATTGTTTCATCATTCCAATTCAATCCAAATTTAGCTTCAAAGGCTACAGTAACGGAAGATGATGTTGAAAAGATTGTTCTCCAGTCGATAAATGATGACGCATTTTTACACCTTCAACAAGTTCTAATAAATGCTACGGAATCTGAGTCCCCAATTAATGTTGACTTTAAACCACATCTGTTGTTCCAGTTGGATATGTTTATCACTCAGTTAATTACTACGCTCTCGCCGGTACTTCGTAAACTTAAGCATCGTGAGGAGGACTTAATCTTGGCTTCATCTAGATCTAGATCTTTCAACATTGATGCTTCACCATCTACAAGACAAGACTTAGCTCAGTTGTACTTCTTGATCGCATTATTATATAGAAACACTGAACCTGAGTCGGCCTTAAAATTCTGGGTAACAGACAAGGACGATTACAGACTTTTCGCTTTCTTGAGATGGTCAGCTGAAGCTCGTACACCTTTAATGGTCCATTCTCTTTTCGAAATGATTGGATCTTTGGCTTCGGGTACTCAATGCGCTACTTACGTTTACGAATTCTTGAGTGGTAATACTGAAATGAATGATAACAGCCTTTGTTCATGGAATGCACTCTTTGGTGCTTTGGACTTTTACGCCAACAACCTCAATCAAAATCAACCAAATGGCGAAAGTCAAGCTAGAGCTAACGAAATTCCACCGGAAGAAGTAGATTTATTAAAAGCATTTTTATTTGTTTTGAAGCAAGTAGTTGGTCACTCATCGGTTGCTCGTGCTGCATTGATTGATAACCCAACATATAAACCAATTCAAACATTATTTTCACTTCTGGCTTGCTCGATCCCAGTAGATTTGAAGAGCTCATTGTTTGATACATTGGCTTCATTCGCTAGTGCAATCCCAGCAAATATAATCGGTCAGGGTTCATCTTCAATTGCTACTGAAAATGCTAAGAAGATTTGGGTTATGCTAGAATCATCTCAAATTTTACCTACAACAAGAAGAAAACAACCATCACCACTTACTGGTATATTAGCGGAATTAGAAGAAATTGAATCAGCTGCTGGTACATATCCAATTTCAGCATCTTTTATCAACTTCCTTAACAACTTGATACATACACCAGCTAAATCTCTTACTTTAAGAAAAGGTATTGAACTCGATAGTTTAACTATACCTAATGGTTTAGGCGCAAACCACCGTGTTCCTGGTATTCAACCATTTGTTAACTTTGTCGTTGATGACATATTCTTAAAATTACCCCACAGAGGATTTAAATACCTTACGGAACGTTGGAAACTCACTGAAACTAGTTTATGTTTCATTGAAAAGTGTTTGAGTACTTACGATTTATCACAATTGTTCGTTGAAGGCACAATTAACGTCGGTAGTGTTAACGAGGTTGTTGCTAATCCATCAGAAGTCAGCCTTTGTTCATTGATACTTCATCCCGGTTTCAATGTTCTCATTCAGTTCTTGTCTGGTGGTCCAATTTTGAAAGAAGTTTTCAATCTTATAGGAACAGGTGAGTTAGATTAGTTTTTCTTGCAGCTATTTCTAACAATTTATGAAGGTATTGATGCCATCCTTGATAACAGATTCAAGACACCATTCTACGCTAAATCAATTCAAAGATGTTTGCGTATAATATACAGAATAATGTCAATACAATCAATGTTCTTGGAGGTTCTTTTACCACTTCTTCGTCAACAAAACAACATCATCCCTGGAATTGGAAAAATTGATATCCCATCAGCGTTGAGCACGCTTGATCAACATCTATTGTTCGCTCATGATGCTGTTATACAAATCGCACTCTACGTTAATGCAATTGATGAGGAAACTTCATTGTTGGCCGTCAAGACTATTTCAGCAATTGCAAAATCAACTTACTTTAGCACTGCTGATGGTTTCGCCAACCACTACAAGAGGAAGATGAACAGATTGACCGGCATTATTGATTCAAGTGATGAGAGTCTCAGGATTTTGTCAGGATTTGTCAGATTACTCGAAGTGGATGCACCTGAGGACACTGATACAATTGATGATACTGGTATTGAAACGCTCTTGAATTCATCAACTGATATTGACAATGATAATATACATCTTACACAAGCCACAAGATCTGTCATTTTGGATTTATTAATTGAGAACACGAAATCTAGTGCGCCTTCACCGAACATCGCACATTTCTTGTTAGGTTTCAACCTACAATCATCTTCACCATCTGAGATTGAAATTGAGGATCCATTAAATCAATCATCTAAGGTTTCATGTTTACATATTATCTTCTCATTACTTGCGCAAGGTGTTGAAAATGATGATGATGATGTCCCACTATTCATTAATCACCCAATTCTTGCTGAGAAATGTTACAGATTGATCTATCAATTATGTACTTCAGAGCTCACGTCTAATGCAACATTGAGGTATTTGAGACTTCATGAAGATTTCTTCTACAAACAATTGGTAGCACTTCCAATCAAGCAAATCCCAATCTCATCTCAACCTCCACTTGGTGTTGCTAGATTTGGCGATGGTGGTATGATTCAAACTTCATCTTCATCACTCGCTTCATTCTTGAGATTTAGAGCTTGGTTACTTGACACAGTCGCACTTGAAATTCATGCTCTTACTAATTCAGGTCAAACTCAACGAGTAACAAAATTAGTTGATGTGTTATTCTCTGAGTCAAATCAGGTACTCGATATTGAAGCTAATGAATTTGGTGAAGTAGTTGAAACCCAAGATATTGATCAATCATTGGCGAAGATTCTCGACATATATCAATCACTTGATTTAGATTACATAGATGAAGGAGTAAATGCAGAAAATCTATCAGTTTCATTCTTTACAGGATTGGACTTATCAACTTGCTTGAAGACTGATGATAATGGCTCTGTCATTTATGATTTCAGGGCTTTACTTTCCTTACTTGGTGCGGCTAGGAGACACTTACAAAAATCTGGCGTTATAGCATCACCAACTCAATACGAGCAGGTTAAGGCTGAAACTCAACAAATTTTAGAATTTTTGGCCTCAGACAATCGTCGTAGACAAGTACATCATGCTAGACAATTTAATTTAGAAGCATGGAAGAGAATTCTTGATATCGTTTGCGCTAAGTGTTTCGATACCATTAATAAAGATAGAAGAGAAACAGTTTTATTGAATATCTTGCAAACTATTTTACCAAAATTGACAAGTATGGATATTGCACCTGCTACATCTGAGTTACTTTGTGGTGCTACCTTATCATTAATTACGAAATTACGTACAACCTTTAGTAACTTGTCAGAAGAGGATGACGTTGATCAAAGACTCTACGTAATGCCAAATGATAGATTATTGAGCATACTCAAGCAAGTTATTGAAGTTATAATCAAACCTGGTTCAACTGTCATTGTTAGGGGTAATTTATACTCAGTATTACACAATTACTTACAGATTGTTAACCTTCAATCGAGAGCTCAATCTGGTTTGGAAGTTGATAGTCAATTGGTTTTGGATATGGTTCATGATAAGTTGATCCCAATCATCTGTAGAGATGCAGTTGATGGCAGTGAAGTCTGGAAGACTGTTGCATTCTCAGTTCTTGATGGTCTCGCTGCACTTTCTTTGAAAAACAACTCGTCAGCATCGCTTGATATAATGGTTAAGCATGGTTTCTTGAGAAACTTTGTACAATCACTTAAGGATACCGAAGATGTTCTAATTAATATTGTTCAAAGTGATCCTGGTGAGTAATAGATCGTCGCTTGAATATCTACTTATTTGTTTAGAATCACTCAATCCACTCTACGTGTTTGAAGCAAAGACCGCAATGCTTTTGCGGATTGCTCAAGATCGTAAAGGTGCTGAGAGACTCCTCGATGCTCAAATCTTTACGGTTCTTGCGCAATGTGAATTTGTCTCTTGTAGACCATCTGGTGAAGAGAGTTTAATGGGTAGGTTGACTTACTTGAGTTCGGATCTAAGCTAACGAATATCTAGACTACGAAAGCTTCCTTCCGCCAGCTACTGAAAGATATCATCAACTTCTCCTTCCAACGCTGCAGCTTGCCTCGACAGTCTTATCATCCGTCGGTGTTACATCGGCTGTAGCAGCTAAAGAGGTTGGCGATATTATTCGAAACCGTTACGTTTTAACATTGTTATAGGCCCTTGGATTCGTATATGCACATCGTGAGGTATTCTTGGAAATCCTTCGCGATAATCCAACACTTACTTCACTTGCACTTGTCCAGGAGCATCACCTCATCGTATGCATCCTTCATCAAGTGAAATCCGTAGTATCAGATGATGAACTCGTAGGTATAAATACTTCGAGATTTCTAATCTAACGTTAGCAGATTTCTCCATCTGGATTTGGAGCCTTCCACACTGCAATCTTGAACTTATCAACGAAGTACATGACAAGAGCAAACTGGATCAACAGAGTTGTTCCATTTACAGACACAGAGAAGGAAGATTCACTGATATTATCAAAGGGAGGTGAATCATCTAAGTTTGCAATTATGGCATCAATAACAGTTGAGAATGTTAACGAGTGGTTATTGAATTACTTAACATTAACAAGGTCAACTTCATCATTTAGACCATTATTATTACCATTATTCCCACAAGTGAGGGATGGACAGGATTTACATCAAGCGTCTAGTTCTTCACCTACACTTGGACAAGCTATAACAGGTTTAAAAGAGCTGGTGTCATTATTCCACGGCACATTGTTCGATTTCAGGGAACATCAATTTAAGATTCAGCAAACACCTTCAATCCATATGGAAATTATGCTCAGTTCAACGATAAAGGTATTAAAATCTCGTTTAACGAAGATTGAGATGATGTTGTTATTGATTTGGCGTCATGCAGAATTTTACGTCAAGTTACAACAAAAACCACAAATGCAACAATCATTAAGTGCATCATTGAAGCCATACGGTAATGTTGATAGCAACGCTACAGCAAGAGAGATATCACAATTAATTTTACCTATATTATCAAAATTAGATGGAATTGAGTTGACAAGTGATATGATACAAGCTAATGACGTTAGATCAAGACAAGCATTCCTTCAAATAATTTCTAGACGTATAAGAGAAGCAATCTTATATAATCAAACTGATGAAGCTATGAAAATATAAATTATTATACTATTGTTACAAACATTCTTCCTTCTTTACTCAATCATTTGCTGTATTGAGGCATTATATATTTTTACATCCTCTATTGGTCTGTCTGCTTTGTCTACTACGACGTTACCCATTCTTTGTACGACTCTCATACCTCTTAGAACTCTTCCAAAGATTGTGTGTTTTCCGTCGAGATATGGTGTTGGTGATAGTGTTATAAAGAATTGAGAACCATTTGTGTTTGGACCTGAGTTTGCCATTGCTAGTATACCTGCACCTGTGAATCTTAATTCTGGGTTTATTTCATCTTCGCTGGTGGTTTTGTCAGTATAATGTCTCATTTGTGATATGACTGACAATTTTCCTCCGTAGACAGATGTACCACCTCTACCAGTTCCTGTTGGATCACCTCCCTGTTATTTGAGTTAAAAGATGCCCTGCATATCCATATAAGCGTACCTGTATCATAAAGTCTTGACTTGAACATTGTGAGAGGCTGGTAAAAAGCTAAGAGAAAAACTCACACTATTCTGTGGAATACTACACCATTGTAGTAACCCCTTTGTACTAACTGACTGAAATTGTTGCAAGTCTACTAATTAGATTGATAAAGTGGACAACTACGAACTCACTTTTGGTGCGTGATTAACGTATAGTTCAAGGTCGATATCACCCTGACTGGTTTTGAGTTGTACAACAGTCGCCATTATTTTCGTCGTGGTTGTAGCGCAATAAGTGACTTCTTCCTTTGATGCGACCAGGAGGGCTTTTCAAACCAGCGAGAATAGGGAATTGCAATCTCAGCCATAGAATCGCTTTGGCGCCATTGACGAGATTGAGAGTTGATGACTTTGGTGTACCATCAGATTATACGCCATTATACTACCAACAGAGGGCGTCTAAAGGCGGTTTACTAATAAGCGAAGCTACTCTGCCTGCGAAAGAAGCTGGTGGACTACCACGTCTTCCTGGTATTTACACAAATGAGCAAATCAATCGTTGGAGAGAAGTCGTAGAAAGTGTGCATCGTTTAGGTGCTTTCATATTCTGTCAACTGTATGCATTGGGGTGGGTGTGAGATTCTTTGTAAGCTTACCTAACGTATCACTTAGTCGGGTTGCTGATCCACGCCTCGTTGATAACCTTTTCGGCGTTTCAAATGACGTATATAACGGCAACAACGTCAAGCAGCTCTCAGAAGAGGATATACGGAGGTATATCGCACATTTCAGACAGGCGTCTATAAATGCAGTCGATAAAGCTGGCTTTGATGGTGTGGAAGTACATTCAGCGTGAGTGAATAATTGTGTTTTGGCCATTGTGACTAAAATCACTCAGAAATGGATACCTTCTCGATCAAGCTATACAGCAAGTATCTAACAAGCGATTAGATAGCTACGGCGGTCTCAACCGTCTCCGTTTCCCTTATGAAGTTGTAGAAACTACCACTCAAGCCATCGGTGAAGCCAAAACTGGTGTACGCATTTCTCCTTTTTCAAGGTATCAGGGTATGAGAGATGAGTGCCCTTATACTACATTCGAACCATGGGTTCGAACTCTCGTGAAGAACTTTCCAAATATCGCCTATGTTCATTTCGTAGAAGGATTCACGGAGGATGACATAAAAATAGGAGATGAACTCAAAAAACAAATCAAAATGTCTAATATACCTGTTATTTCCAACTTAGCATACTCACTTGAAGTAGCCAACAGTCGGGCAGAGGAACATGATGAGATTGTTGCTTTTGGTAAACAATTCATTAGTAATCCCGACTTACCGGAACGTATATATAATGAATGGCCTTTGAATGAGCCTGATACTAGCACATATTACACTCAAGGCAGAGAAGGTTACATAGAGTAGGTGATGATCTTCTTTAAATAAATTCTGATTTGACATACCATCAGTTATCCATTTTATAAACCCCAATAGACAACTAGAAGAACTGCATGTGTATTATTTAGACTTTATATCATTATTATACAATTTAATCTTGTCGATCGTCGACAAATAGAATTTTTGTTCCGTGATAACGCTAGAGAGAGATTAGAGCTGTATTTGGGAAAATTCATCACTCACATAACGAGAAGAACAGTCAATGCACAAACACCTCCAGTGATAATGTGTTGAACTAAAGACAGCGAGATTGAATAACTTGTTATGGCTCCTGTGACGCCACATGCAAGTAAGACAACCTTATTTGGTGTGATCTTAGGTACGTTCAATGAGCTACTGGTATACCTGTAAGCATAGAGAGATCTCAGCCCCAAATTAATGATATTTGCATAAACCACAATGATTGAGTGATAACAACTTGGCGTATACTTCAAAGAGAAGTATATAGATGGCATTAGAATTACTGATAGAATTATCAAAAACCTTGAATGATTGTTGATAACGCTAGATGTTGCTGTGCTATGTAAGAATGACTCAAGTATACCATTGAACGCCATGATCGGGATATAAATACTATAATGCGGTAATATAGATCCAGCATTTGAGTTCGCGTATTTAGGTAAAAGTATTTGTAACAATGTTCGCGCATAATTGGGTAAAAACGCCGGTAAAACAACCAAAAAAAGCATATAAGAGCGTAATATCAATCCTATTGCATTTGAGACCTGCTCTACTGAGTCATTTTTCGAGAAATACACCCGGGAATTCTCTTCTATGGGGAGGAAAACTATACGAGCAACCATGCTACCGTAATTGTCAGCCAATGCAAAAGCCCCTTGATCTGAATCTGATAAATGTGAAGAAATGATGTATTTGTCGCCTTGTGTTAGACCCAACTTGATAAGTGCTTGTGTTATAAGAGCTCGTAATGAAAGTAAAGAAGCCTTACTAAAGGGTGCCTCATTTGCTAGGATACGTGGATAGTGTATTGTTATGTCACCACAATAGCTTACAAACTGAATAAGTGAGTAACTCAATTGACCAAAAGCATAACAAGTGAGGGAGCTATGATTAGAATAACGCGTCAATAAAATAAATGATACCAGTGCTTTAGCTGCGAATGAGAAACTGTCAATAAAAGATTTCCTTTTTATTTCAACCCGTTTATTTGATTGATATTTGAGCGGTTCAACTAATGCTTCTAAAAGTATGGAAAGGGTATATAAAGTCAACGCTCTATTGTAATCAGCATCTCCTATATTGCTTCCAATAAAAAGCACTCTAGTGATAAGAAGAGTGATGACGTTTAGAGGAATCGCGAGAAATGCGAGGTTTATTGATTGTTGGTTAGATATACTAGCACTGAGAGACGCTAAACCAACAGAGTCCTTTGATAATTGCTGTATAGATGCATAAAATAACTCTAATTTGAATGAATGTCTACCTAAATTAGCTGGATCAACGTAACGAAGGCTAAGCTGATTGACTAGAAAGTTAGAGACCTTTATAAAACCAGCTAAAGTGGTAGATAAAGCTATAGATTTAGTGTAGGCGCTGATATCCATAATAAAAACTCTTAGTTACTAACATCGACGATGGAAGTCAACTTGCGAAATGAATTGAAGAATTGGGAGAAAGACTTCACTTTGAAACACCAAAGGAAGCCAGTAAAGGATGATATAAAGAAAGATCCTACGATTGGTTAGTTTAGTTTGCTTTGATAGTACGCGTTACTAAACTTGAGAAAAGCACAAAAGTACAAAACATACAGTAAAGTTAAGAAAGGCGCGAATGATAAAGATGACACAGCGACTACAAAGTCGATACCACCACCAGCTAGTACGCCAAAGAAGAAAGCAGCTGCTGTGTTTAAAACACCCACAAAACCAGCTACTAGCAGTGGATTTACGCCTAAGAAGGTCGAATATGCTGCAGCATCACCACAGAAGTTTAAGGATATGTTAAATACACTCAGTCCAGCGAAAAGTAACAACAATGCTAAATTCTGGACACCACGTACAAAAGCTAGAAAGAGACTGCGAGGTGAGAATGTACCAAACACACCAAAGAAACAGCGTATGGAAATGATAGGAATACAAGAGGAGCAGGATGTTGTTCAGGAGACGAAAGAAGAGGAGGAAGAAGAGGAAGACGATATGATGAACACACCTGCAAAAAATAAGGCGTTCAAACCATTATTTGAATCACCCAGACCATCCACTAACACCAGCAACAATAGTAGTGTAGTTGTATTACCTCCTCTACCGACAAACACGATATCAACCTATGTTGACAACCCTCAGTCACAAGAACTAACAAGCTCACAGGCTACTATACCACAATCGCAACCATCGCAGTCACAAAGAGGTTTGAAACGTGGACAGTCACCAGAGAATACCAGCAGAGCTGCAATTTCGAAGAAGAAATCCAGAACGACATTGAAATATCCGAACAAGGTTGAGCTACCGCAGAGTCAGACACTGGCAGGTAAGCAAGATATAAAGAATGAGCCAACGCAATTAGAATTAGAGGGTACTAGTCAACAAATAAGCATCATACCTCACCTTCAAAAACGTAAATTGAAAAAGCGAGACGAGGAGAGTGATGATACTGATATAGAGGACTATATACCAATGACTCATAAGCATACCGAGCGCTCGTTTATCCAAGAAGATGAAGAAGCGATTAATCAAGACAATAAAGTGAAATCTAGACTCGGAGAATTAAGCTTAGATTCGCCGGGAGCGGTCAAGCGTAGTAAAGAGTATAACAAGCATATCGATGAGAAAGTACGTTCACTCCTCAGTCGATCTGACGAACCGGGATATGGTAACTACCGTACTGAAATCATGCCATACGACGAGTTGAGCAGTGAAGAAGGTGACGACGACGACTGGGAAGAAGACTGTGATGGGTGGAAAGCTGACGGTGTCGGTTTCATTGAAGACTATGATTATGATTGTATATAAATAAGAGGAATAGAACGCATTCCATGGAATCTATTGATGACCGTGCCTTAATAAAGACGAGTGATAAATTTAAGAGATTAGGAGGACAGAAGATTGATATATGGGCTAAAATAGTTTCTATAAACTATTGTAGCTATAAAAATCTATGAAGTTTCGCGTGTTTTTTCTCAGTAGACGATAAGAAGCTAATTAAGCTTTCCTAATTGGGCAAACGCCGCTTGTGGTGTGGCTAGTAAAAAGCTGGTGGTACATTAAATCTAAGGTACTAGTCTTTTAGGCCGACTGAAATTGAAATATTTCATCAACGTGGGTGGATCTGTAACTGAATTGTGACTTCATCTCCTTTACTAGAACGTTGAAGACTGAATGAAGTTTGGTAGGCGTATAAAGTCTAACTTATATCCAGAATGGCAAGAATACTATCTAAACTATTCAGAACTCAAGAATTACTTGAAATCTAACTCAGATGGCTGGGATTCCTCAAAGGAAGCAGAATTCAAGGAACAACTAGCGAAGCAATTAGAGAAAATCTACAACTTCCAGAAATCTAAAGTGAGTCTCATAGTCTAGATGTCATATAGTCGCCGTTTACACCTAATAGGTTTCTGAACTTGCACAGAGAATATCGATTTATGAGAATATTATAAACGACTATATTCGTACAGCTAGCGCAGAGTCATCACCCGCACACTCAGCTAAAGACTCAGACGACGATGATGACGACGGCCATTCAATTAGCCAACATCCAGATGATGACAGCAGCGGATACGATCTGGGCAGATTTGAAGAACGTTTCAAGGAGTTAGAAGATGATCTAGCTGTTCTCGTAGCTGACGTTCACGATTTGGCAAACTACACAAAATTAAATTACACAGGTTTCATTAAAATCGTAAAGAAGCATGACAAGCAAACAGGATATAAACTTCGCAAGGATTTCGTAAAGACTTTCTTAGATGATAAGCCATTTTATAAGGAGAATTACGACGCTCTGATTATTCAGCTTTCCAAGTTGTTCGAAATGGTCAGAACAAGGGGCAAACCCATTCAAGGTGATAGTGCTGCCGGCGGTCAACAATCGGCTTTCGTTAGGCAAACTACAAAGTACTGGGTCCATGAAGAAAACATAATTCCTCTTAAATTATACATTCTTAAACATCTTCCTGTTTTGGTATATGATCCAGATAAGGAATATTCACCTGAAGACTCCGCAATTACTAGCATTTATTACGATAACGAAGACCTTGATTTCTATCTGGGAAGATTAGAAAAGACTGAAGGTGCTGAAGCTATTCGTTTAAGATGGTATGGTGGCATGGATGTCAAACAGATTTTCGTTGAACGTAAAACTCATAGAGAAGATTGGACAGGCGAAAAAAGTGTCAAAGCTAGATTTCCAATAAAGGAAGACCTTGTAAACGCTTACATGTCAGGTGACATGACGATGGATGACGTCTGGAAAGACATGAAAGCTAAAGGTAAAAAGAGCGATAAGGAGATTGAATCTATGAAACAACTTTCCGAAGAAGTCCAATATAGAGTATTGACGAAGCAAATGCACCCAGTCATGAGGAGTTTCTACAATCGTACAGCATTCCAACTTCCTGGAGATGCACGCGTACGTATATCGTTAGATACAGAGTTATCACTTGTTAGAGAAGATAACTGGGATGGTAGGCAACGTTCAGGTGATAATTGGAGAAGAATGGATATTGGTATAGATTATCCATTTAATCAACTGCCAAATGAAGATATTGATAGATTCCCGTATGGTATTTTAGAAGTAAAATTACAAACTCAGATGGGCCAAGAACCTCCAGAGTGGGTTAGACAGTTAGTTAGCAGCCATTTAGTTGAAGCAGTACCAAAATTCTCGAAATTTATACACGGATGTGCAACTTTACTAGACAATAGAGTTAACTTACTGCCGTTTTGGATGCCGCAAATGGAAATTGATATACGTAAACCAGCTACGAAAGAGTTGCTCATCGAAAGACCTCAAACAAGCAACGTAAATTCAGCTGACCACACTCCAATTCAAACACCACCTGAGAACAGCGAGGAAGAGAACGATAGTGATGAACAAACTAAAAATCTAGAACATCTTGAAATGGCTAGAAGAGAATCTAGGTTGAGAGGAACCGAAGATGATGATCACGATGGAGGAGATAGGATGACATTACCTGCTAGACATCACAGTGCATATAGATTACCACCAAACTATCGCGAAGAGTTAATAAAGAGTGAAAAAGCGAGAGCTGAGAATCTTCGTAAGGAGAAGAATAAGCTGAAAGCATCGAAGAAGAATACGAGGTCACAGTCTATTGAATATGTCAGTGAGCAAGATGAAGACGATGAAGACGGTTACCATCATCAGGAAGGTACTTCATTGTTGGGTGGTACTTCTTCTGGTCAATCATCAAAATATGGTGGTACAAGCGATAATCGTGTTAGTTGGAAAAATATACCAAATCAATTTAAGAAAGTTACACCAACAACAATTAAACAATACGCTCATTGGTTATTCAAGAATGATCACCTTGATTATCATTTCAATGATGATAGTGAAGATGAAGACAGTCCTAAAGCTTTGGATGAGGAAACGGCTGGGGACGATGAAACTGTTGAATATGTCAACAGCTTCAGGGCTGATAATGGTAAAAAGATCTGGGTGCCAGTTAGAGTTGAACCGAAAGTCTACTTCGCTAATGAGAGAACGTTCTTGAAATGGTTACAATTTTCTATCTTGCTCAGTTCAATCGCTGTCACATTGCTTAATTATACCAGTACAGCTGACAAAACTGGATTTATTAGTGCAGCATTGTTCACATTCGCTTCCTTAATCAGTATATCATACTCAGCATTTACGTTCGTATGGCGAGCAATGAAGATAAGGAAGAGAGAAGCAGTCAGTTATTACGACAGGATTGGACCAAGGTAAGTGTACGTCTATAAGTCTATTCAATGCTGACAATAATATAAAGTATTCTCTGTGGTGTTATGTTAATCGCAGTTTTCGTCAACTTCATTTTGAGACTTACTTCTATTTGAGTTATAAATACATTTGCATTCCTAATTTACTTTCTTGAGTGATGAAGAGTGATGGAAGTGATGTTGATAAGATGTGCTAGAGCCAGTTGACAATAATGGCTTAGTATCTTCATCATCTTCACCTTTGAGTGGTTTGTAATGCTTATAAGCATACTCTGTGTCAAGTTCTTTACTACTTATAACGCCAAAGAATATATCGGTATTTTGCTTAAAAATCTCTGCTTGCATGCGACGATATTCCGGATCTGGCTTGTTATAATTATGTTTACACATCTTGTTATGATTTGAAGGTTTTAAAATGACTTGTATTTAAAAAGTGACCGTTCATATTTCTCATTGTTCGCGAGTGAGTTACGATGGAGTTCTTTGTTCGCGTAACAGGAACGCGTGTTTTTGTAACAATGTGCACGATGCATATATAATACGATTGTGTTGTTTATAAATAGTGAAGGCTATATAATAGTTTCATAAATTGTCATAATTGATTACGTTTACGTGATATGTTTAGAAACGTGTTCAAGATTGCAAATTTGGCGTGTCGATGAACGCCTCGATTCGTTAGAGACGTGATATTAATATATTATGAATGTATTCTAAATATTTAAACCGCAGTATTTAATTTAAACGTATGACTCTAATTACGCAATAGTGGAATGTGATCATCTGGGCTCCATTTAAAACAGACAGTCACACGAGCATTTCCTGTACTAAAACAACGAAGAAGAATGTCAACAAAACTCGATCAAATGCAAGCAGTCCATTTACCAGCTGGTAAGTGTCTATACTGATTGTCTGAGAAAAAGCTTAGAACAATCTACAGTAAGAGCTGGTGGAAGAAGAGTCAGCATTACAAGAAAGCATAAGGCTGTAGCACCTAATGCATCTGAAGAAATGGAAGATACAGCCCAAACTCAAGATTACCCACGTCCGCTTAACCACGAACATCATGAGCATGATGATTCCAAAGAGGGATACAAGAATAGGAGAGAGCGTCGCAAGAGTAGTACAAGTCATCGTAACTTTTTCGAGCCACTCGTACATGGATATGAGACACCTGCAATGCATACACCAAATAAATCTACAATGCATATCAAACAACCTGCCGGACGTGGTTTAAATTAAATTATAATTTATGAATGAAATTATCTTGTAAACGAACACCATTGATGATTAAATTAGGATTAGAAGCGACTGGGAAATCTTTACTTAAAATATCTAATCAATCACAACCAATTGTACATATAGCGGGTACAAATGGAAAAGGCAGTACTTCTGCTTTTATAGACGGCTTATTGAGAAGTCTGGATTACAAAGTCGGTAGATTTAATTCACCACACTTGGTTGAGGAATTTGATAGTTTAATTATACAAGGGAAGCCTATTAGTAGTACAGTTTATTATAATCTAGTACATCAGTTGGAAACACAAGATGATAATTACAAGAAACTCACAAACTTTGAGAAGCTAACAGTCTCTGCCTTCAATCTTTTTAGTCAACAGGAAATAGATGTCGGAATAATTGAAGTTGGTATGGGTGGCTTGTTAGACGCAACAAACGCTTTTAGCAGGGAATACAGAGATAGTATCGCTGTTATCACACCAATCGCCTTGGATCATATTTCATGGTTAGGTGACAATATAATAGACATAACTAAACAAAAGATTGGTATTATTACCAGCAAAACTAAAGCTGCTATCGTCGCGCCACAAATACATCATCAAGTTATCGGTTTGATAAGGGAGAGGTGTGAGGAACTGAAAGTACCTGTATACTTCAATGATAGACCAGGTGAATTAGTCAACCCAATCAATGGCGACATCATCAACGCTCAGTTGAGAATGGCAGGTAAACATCAAATAGAGAATGCATCAACCGCTTTGCTAGCTGTACACGCATTACAAAAACATTGTGAACATTTCAAAGCTATAGATTTGAGCGCAAACAATGAAATTTCAAATACTCTCAACCAAGTGAGCTTTCATGGTAGATCCGATCGAGATGTTCTACCTGGTGTGATAGTTGATGGCGCACACAACCCCGCAGCTATGCAATTGTTAAGAGACACGCTATCAGAAGATCAAGCATACACCTTCATACTAGGATTCAGCCAAGATAAGGATGTGGATGATATGTTAAGAATTCTAATTAGAGCTAGAGATACAGTTATATTCGTACCATTTTCATCGATACCTTCGATGCCTTGGGTAAAAAATATGAATACAACAACACTGAAAGCGAAAACAGATGAATTGTTCGAGAACAGCGTCGACGTGAGTGTTTCAAACAATCTGCCTGAAGCACTTCAATTGGCGGGGAAGAGTGGAAAGAAAGTTGTTATAACTGGTAGCTTGTACTTGATAGCGGATGTATATAGATTGTAGACTATTCGCTCTGCTCTTGTAGAATGTCATCTAAGTTCTTGAGAAGACCATTCAATTTATTCTCCAAGTCGCTCGTAACTTTCTCGATGCTATTCAGATCCTCATTGAGCTTATGTTCATTATGCTCATTATGGGTATTCTCTATTCTTTTCTTAAGATTTTTAATTTCTGCTTCCATAAGATGACGGTCGCTTATCAACTACCTTACGAAAGCGATAATGGAAGTAAAATTAGCAATTTTTGTTTGTGATAGCTGCGTAAGTGTTAGTTTGTATACGAATTATCTCTAATAGCAGCCTAGATACCTTCAATCGAACAAGTCGAAGGAAACTACGAGAATATATTCCGAACATTCCTCACAAAGGCTAATAACGAGTTTGAGACTCCTCACAAGCTGATAATAGATGCATTTGACGTATACAAATATGAATACCCTGAGGATGTCACTGTTTATGACGGTATTATTATTTCAGGATCGAACAGCGACGCATTTAGCGAATTGGATTGGATAATAGACTTGGTAGACTTCATCAGAGGCTTGACATATTCATTCCCGAAGGTTTCTGTTATCGGTATATGTTTTGGTCATCAGATAATCGCTAGATCACTTGGTGGAGCTGTAGACAGGGGAAATATGAAGGAATTCGGAAGTACAGTTGTTGATGTAGTCAACAAAGACCTCGCGAAGAATTACTTTGGATTTGATAATCAGTTTAGGATATTTGAAGCACACCGTGATGTCGTAACCAAGAAACCAGCTAGTCTGACAAATGTGGCATCGACACCACAATGCCCTTACCAAGCATTTATCAAATTCAATGGAGAGAAAGTACATATTTGGTCTGTTCAGGTGTGTTAACATGATGCTTTTTTAGTTTTCTTACTTAGATATTCGCAGGGACACCCAGAATTCACGGAATCTATAATGACAAAAATAGCAGAGTGAGTCTTCCCAGTGCTTCCTATTGCATTCTAATAAACCCTGTCTAGATCAGATATCCTCGCTGAAGAACCATCAGATGAAGTTAAAAACGCCTGGCTTGACAAATCAAAAGAAGAACACGATGGTATAGCATTGGGTAAAGCTATTCTAAAGTTGTTTATATGACGTTAGAATAATTTATAATGCATAGTGTACACTGGTTGTCCTTGTCTATATATCCTTATCAGTCTAGCTGGTTTGTTGTTGTTGCTGCTTGAGTTTCTTATTCAACTTCTTGCGCTGCTTCTTGGAAAGTTGTATGTTGCTATCGACACCGACTACATTCTTCTTAACAGCATGTGGTTTATCGAGATACTTTTTGGCTGTATTTTTAGTCTTCTTCGTCGTCGTTCTGTACTTAGATTCCTCATCTTCTGATTGCTCGCTCTGCTCTTCAACTTTGTTACCAACTGAAGGGCCCTTCGAGGCTAACTTCCGCTGTAGTCTCACATCTATTTCGGATGCACTAGTCTGTGCTACTGACGCGCCTAATCCTAGTCTAGACGGTCTCGACATCCATTCTCTTAAATCGTCTTGTTTGGTGGAATTGTTGGCTTTAGAGCTGGTGTTATGCCAACTGGATGTCATATCCCTTATAGTACCTAATGATAGACTAATTTGGGCTTGTAATTCATTGAAATCAACTTCTTCTCCTTCAAGAGTCATTGTTGGTGAGTTGAAAGATGCATTAGTGTATAAAATGTATAAAATAAATTTTTACAGGCGAGATAGATGTAGAGCTGCTTGCCTATTGTATACAACGTCTATCGACTTGTAATATCCCAACCACTCTGACTCTAGTAGTGTGGTTCAAGAGAGTGAATATTCTATACTCTGAATAGAGTAACTATAATATAAAGATGCTGTTCTGTATCAGTTATCCGCTGAGATACCCCTATTCCCCCTATACTCTTATCAATTGCGTGCGTCATGTCACAGGCTGCAACATACCCTGAAGCTATTACAAGACAGAAGTACGCTTTTAGCTAATAGATTATAATAGTTATCATTCTCATTAAATGTATAGAATTAGGTAAAAATCTAAAAAATTCACCGAATTCGTCACAGTCACACTGTTGAGTTACTACAACGAGGGTATTTAGGAGGAATATTACGCTTTAAGTTAAATATACAATACAAAAAATTGTTATACATTCAAATTTGTCAACGTTGATTACTTGGCAAGGGAGCTGTCAACGACGTCAGAAAGTTTAATTAAAAGACAGTTTGATCTTCACAATCATGCCTGTCCTATATTCAGCAATAAGGGACTCAGTTGAGCTCACAAAAAGGGCCTCTGAGGGTGTTTTTCAAGGCGGGATGCCAAATGAAGTAAACGCCAGTGTGAGTTAACAATATCACGGAGTTTTTCTATCTGACACATTCATAGGACCCACTTGCATTATTGTACGTTAAATCTGTACTCATGTCTCAACACAATTCGATTGACAATTTTTCAGTGTTATACAAGCTTCCTTTATCATCATTTTCACAAGAGCGATAGGCTATCTTCTAGCAAAGCTAAAACAACCGAGAGTTATCGCAGAGATTATTGGTGGTATCATACTTGGTCCTAGTATACTCGGACAAATACCCAATTACATGGACGACATTTTCCCTGATGATTCCCTCCCATATCTCAATCTAATAGGAACCCTCGGTATTATTCTCTTTCTTTTCATTGTCGGCATGGAAGTCGATTTGAATGTCATGAAGCGATACGCTAGATCAAGTATTGCAATCGCAACAACGACACTCGTCATACCACTCGGTGCTGGGATAGCACTCGGTGTTGGTTTATGGAAGGAATTCAACGAGAATGATGATGTAATCTTCTCGCATTTCATTCTCTTCATTGGTGTAGCGATTGCTGTAAGTAACATATCAACTTGGTGAATGAAAACATTTACTTATTATCTCCACAGATTACCGCTTTCCCTGTTCTCTGTCGTATACTTGTAGAATATAAACTCACACAGACACCCGTCGGCACAATCGCTTTGTCTGCTGGAGTTATCAATGATGTCGTAGGATGGATCTTACTGGCAGTTATTGTCGCTTTAGTAAACTCAAATGGTGGAATCATCACTTTATACATTCTGCTAGTAATTCTGGGATGGATATTACTACTAGTTTTTGTGGTCAGACCATTATTTTACATGTTAGCAAGACGTACGGGTAGTTTAGACGGCGGTGGACCAACTCAATTCGTCACAACTCTCGCCTTACTATTGGTCTTTATTTCATCATTTATCACTGATATTATTGGTGTACATCCAATCTTTGGTGCTTTCTTAGTTGGATTGATAATGCCAAAGGATGGTAAATTCAACATTATCGTTACTGAGAAGATTGAAGATGTGGTAATGATTATATTCTTACCAATTTACTTCGGTTTAACTGGTATACAAACTGATCTCTCGTTGCTGAACACTGGAACTATCTGGGGATACACCGTTTTAGTTATAGTTGTTGCTTTCTTTTCAAAGCTCGCTAGTGGTGCTGTTACAGCTAAGGTTTGCAGGTTTACCTTCAGAGAGAGTCTCACAATCGGTACACTAATGTCATGTAAGGGATTGGTTGAGATTATCGTATTAAACGTTGGATTACAAACTGCGATCATTGACAAGAGAGTTTTCTCAATTATGATTTTCATGGCTATAGTTACCACATTTATCACTACACCATTAGCACTCTTCATCTATCCATCTAAACTTCGTCCACATACAGCTGAAGATGGAAAGGAAGGTGAAGATGAGAAACATAGAATTTCAACAGGTGACAAAGGACAGCTTCAAAATTACTTGATGGTTATGCAGAAAATGGAGCACGTACCAACGATGTTGTACTTTACTCATCTGTTACAATCTGAGAAGCATCAAAATCACATTGATGCTCTCAGATTGGTTGAATTGACAGAGAGAACGTCAGACTCTCTGAGATCAGAAACACAAGAAATAAAATCAGATCCATTATTGGGCATTTTCACAACATTCGCCCACCTTCGTAATATTGCAGTCAGACCACTTTTAAGTTTGACATTGCAAGATAATTTCGTAAATACAGTTTCCGAACAGGGTGTTGAAAACGACATGGTTATTGTACCTTGGAAGAGCAACAGGGAGGCTGTTGAGAAGGAATACCAAGCAGGACATCAGAATCCAATTGATACGATCCTGAATTCACAAAGCTCATCTCAAAAATACGTTCAGTTCGTGAGGAAGGCGTTATCACAAACAAAGTCTTCAATGGCGATATTCCTTGATCAAACTACGGGTGAAACTGATAGTTGGGATGGAACGACGTTATTTATGCCATTCTTCGGTGGAACTGACGACAGAGTTGCTTTGAAGTTAGTAGAAAGGTTATGCAATAGATCAGACGTCAATGCTGTTGTTGTTAGGATGAAGAGTGAATTAGAACATACGAAATCAAATGAAGCGATGAATAACTTGACAGAGTACTCGCCACATGGACTCCCAGATACGATATATCCTGAGCAGAATACAGAACAAGTGCTTGAATCTGAGACAGCTGATGATTTGGCTTTGATGGAATGTCAGAAAAAGGCTGGCACACTTGGAATTGAAATGAAAGAATGCGTATCTGCTAAGCCATTGTTTGAAATAACAGATATTGCGAATCGCATAAAGGAGACGTCGAGAAAGGAGATATTAGTAGTATGTGGTAGAAGTCGCAACAACGAGAACCACAGGAAGGAATTAATAGCAGTATTAGAATCAGAAGGTATACATACGCAAGCATCATCATTAGCAGCAAATAGATTTAATCACTTATTCCAAGTCTCTGCACCACCTTCACCCGCAATTCAACAAACAATGGGACAAGAAGAACGCAAGACTTTAGGAGAATTAGCAACAGCATTATCAATAAAATTAGTTAAAAATTCAATAATTATTGTACAATCAGGTAAATCTGAGTAAATAAATTTTATACACCTTGTTCATCTACATACAACAGCGAAATGCCAAAGATTAGAAAGAGTGCGTTTTACTAGTAGTATAACTATAGTCCTTCTAATAAACTTACTATAGAAACATCAAAGAGAACGGGATTGTTCGAGCGTGCTAAGATTAAGCAGAAAGCTAAGGAAACGAGAAGGAAGAGATCTAGAGACGAGAGAAGAGATCCAACCTGGAAGAACAAGAAGAAGAAGAAAGCTGATCCAGGTATACCGAATAGTCTGCCTTTCAAAGAGGAAGTTTTGGCTGAGATCGAGGAGAATAGACGGAGGGTATGTAGTTGACTTATCCTACAACGCAACTTAACTAATACTTTACTAAAGGTATTAGAAGCTAGAGAAGCCGCAAAAGCTGCAAAAGAGGCTGGCGAAGACGTCGATCTGAGCGGAAGTGATGATAACGAAGACGTCTCAGACGAGGAAGACGCAGAAGATGGCGATATTCCAGCACTTGTAGACGCTTCAATAGCTACAGATGCTCCTGAGAACTTCGGCGCAAGCGTCGAGGCAGCAGATGTCATTCTTGAAGTGCTCGACGCTAGGGATCCACAGGGATTCAGAATTGATGCGATTGAAAAATTACAAAAGAAGAAGAAAATTGTCGCTATTCTCAACAAAGCTGATCTCGTCCCAAGAGAAACTGTCAGCGGATGGTACAACACCCTCAGTAGCGTACTCCCAACAGTCGTATTCGCTTCAGCTGCTCATATTCCCCCAATTGAAGGATTTGCTGATGGTTTATCTTCTACAATCGGTGAGGAAGCTCTCAGAAACCTCCTCGGTGTTTATGCAAAGGAAAAGAAAGGAAAACACCCACTGAAAGTGCTTGTTAGTGGATTGCCAAACGTTGGTAAATCAGCTATTCTCAACACAATGATTAAGCAACCATACTTCAAAACAGCATCTATCTCAACAAATTCTCTAATTGGTGCTAAAAATCCAACTACTACCACTTTAGAAATATCAGCTGTTGATGTTGATAACGTTATTTATATTGATTCACCAGGTGTTTCATTCATCGGACAAGCTGTTTCTCCACCTGCAGAAATTTTGAGACGGAATCTTGGTAGACCAGATAAGGTTAAAGAACCTCAAGTGTTAGCAGAATGGATACTTAATAGAGCAAATGAAGAGGATTTAATGATGTTCTTTAAATTACCTGCATTTGCTTCAGGTGATCATGAAGCCTTCTTCAGGTCATTAGCTAATGTTATCGGCCGCATAAAGAAGCGTGGTATTCCTGATTCAAATGGTGCAATGAGAGATTTCATCTTGAAATATGTCAAGTATGATATTCCTTATTACACTGTTGCCCCGCCTTCAAATGATAAGAAAAAAGCAAAGCAGATTAAAGGTGTATCGGATGTTATCAATAAGGATATCGAGAAACTTGCTCAAAGAAAGCCACTTAGGAAAGCTAGAGGAGAGATTAGACTGGTTGCAGCACCAACTGATTCTGTTATTGAGAGTCGCGAATATATTCCAACCACTGGTGGTCCAGTTGAAGACGACGAAAGTGAGGAGGAAGATGAAGTTGATGAAGATGACGAGGAAGAGGATGATGAAGAAGTTATGGATGTTCTTGACGCAGAAGAAGACGTGGAAGATGATTTGACAGTGAGTGAATGTTAATTCTGATAAACCTGCTAACCCCATAATAGCCAGATCAAGAAGAGGAACTCGAATCACCACCTCCAACCAACTCAAAGAAGAGAAAGGAAAGAGCGCCAAAGGTTACATTTGCTAAAGAAGTAGAAGTTTCAGACGTCCCAAAGAAAACCTCAAAGAAGGATGCTAAGAAGGACAAAAAAGAAGCTAAGAAGGTAACTCCAGCTCCAACTAAGAAAGCTAAAGTAGATGAAGGCGTCTCCGCCAAGCAAGGCCTCAAAGGCAAGAAACTTGACAAAGTACAAGGAGAGGCATTTGACTTTAACGAATTCTTTTAGAAATATTTGTAATACAACATACAATATTATTAACTTATTATAAATAATACAAAGGGAAGATAAATTTACCAACTGAAGCTCTCCTCGAATGCTACAGTCTTCTTGTTAGATTTCGATACTAGATTTTTCATTGTACGGTTCAAGGCTTCTGGACCGCACGTAGCAACTAATAAGGCGTTATCATCTGCAATATCTGCTTCTTGGTTGAAAATGTGATCTAATTTTGGTCTACCATTCCTAGCGAATTCGGCAATTGAAAATAGATCACCCTCTTCTATAGCGTCTATAACTATATTATCAGGATCTGGCATTTTCAGAAGTGGAGTATTCGTCAAATGAGGTGTGCGGCCATTAATGTGGTTAGCATCTTGCTGTATTTTAGGTGTCTCGGCAAAGGTGATGTTAGGTGTGTGTTTTGGTTTTTCAAGATGTGATAAAGCGGTTTGAGCGTGTTGCATATTTGAGCTAGTAAGGCCCATACCGGATTTAGCTCTGGCAGCTTCACCCTCGACGCTAATCAATGTACTAAGTTCCTTCTCAACTGGAGGGGCTGGCCCGTCATCTTCGCCATCGAATTCAATAAATTGGTTAACACTTGAGCGTTTATTGATAGCTTCAATATCATCATCATCATCGTTATTATCATCATCTTGTTTAGATGTAGCAGTATCAAATTCAGAATCTTCATAGGATGGTTGTACTGGTAGGCTTTTGTCTACCTCTGGTTGAGTCTGTGCTGATTGGAACGAAGGCTGTATGCGACTGGATGTGGATGTCACCGCTAACGGAGGTGGTTGCAGTTGGGCTGTTTGCTCTGTTTGCTCTGTTTGCTCTGGCTGTGGTTCAGCTGCTGTAGCTGGTGTCATAGATGCCCTAGCAGTCTGCATGGTTAGGTTACTGTATGACAACACGAGATCATCGCCAAGACCGGTGGCAGGGGTGTAGAACCTCTGCACAGGCGAATGAGGTGGTGAATAAGTCCTTGTTGCTGGCGTAGGTGGAAATGGAGACCTTGGAGATGGGAAGAATGAGCTTATGGTTGGTGGATCATAATCTCCTGGTTTGACTTCAGAAGTGACGAATATTTCCAACTGGAAAGCATCGCTTGAGAGAAGTGTAACACACCTCCTAAGTGCGCTAGCAACCCATTGAACATGTGCAAATTCCTTGACGAGCCATACAAGTCTCACGCGTCGCAACGGTCCAGAACCTAAAGAAATAGTGTTACAAACATGTTGCAGAATTGACACACCGAACTATTCAGTCGTCAGCTAATGTAGTATACTTTATTTAAATACTTACGCTAATTCCACTACCACCACATACGAGCAGAATGGAAGAGTAATTTGACCATTTCACCCTCTCTGCACTTCCATATGGACCGTCGATCAGAGCGCGAATGTAAACTGGAGGAGCTGCGCAAGGGAGATAGTTACTACTATCTTGAGGATTAACCTCACTGCTGATGAACTTTGGCTGACGCATAAGGCGCACTTTCTCCCAGAGTCGCTTTGTCCATCCGCTTTTAGCCCTGATTATAAATACAACCTTACAAGGATCATCCTCGTCAACATTAGCTATAGTGAATGGATGAGCACCAAAACGTGAAATTTCTGGTATAATTAACGATGCGTGCTGACCAGGTTTCCAGTGCATGGGGGTTGACAAACGGAGCGTAAGACGGACACTCTTTCCTGGAAGCAATTGAGCGTGAACAAAACCAGTTGGATGTGATCTTCTTATTGGGAATGAACAGCTGCTACTTGGTGGATCCATCCATGGTGTTTCATGTTTGACAACCGGAGGGACATATTTGTCTGTTGATTCGTTCGAATTACTACCACTTGTTGTCTTGTTGAGCGTGGTGTTACTCTTGCCGTGCATTGATGTGTTATTGTTGCGCCCTTTTTCAAGCTCTTCCCATCCCATAAGGGTAAGATTGGCTGGTTTGTCCATTTGTGGTGATACCAAACTCTTTATCGTTGCAGCTGGACGGAGTACTGTTGCCCAGTGGTTTGGTTTCCTATCTGCAAGGTGGAATTTACCAGCACCAGCGTTTCTCCATAAGACTATTAAGCCACGCCATGTGCGCTCAGCTAACCAAAACGCGAGGGATACCCAAATAAATGGTGCTAGTGGCTTGTAGTGTACACCAGCAGCTACCAAGAACGCGAAAACTAAACAGATGTGGACGATATGAAAGAGTGCATAAAATTTTGTCCTTATTGGTGGGATTGAGAGAAGGAGAATGAGCGACAAGAATAGTAAGGCCTAAATATGTCTAAATTAGATAAATTAAATCATTATCTGGAAACCTACCATGAAACCAGAAGAATTCATCTTAGATGACCATATTTGATTCCAAACACCACTTTCATCACGGCGAGGCCAAGCATGTTGTATCCATAAAACAGTATGTGCAAAGCTAAATGCCCATACCGTAAATCCAGTAATGAAATGGAAGAAGAGTGCTTTGTCGAAGTGTAGATTGGTGAACCATTTGAAAGCGAAAATGGCAAATGGGGGAACTTTTAATCCCAAAATGACAAGCAATGGAGTAAGTACGAAAGCTATGACACCCGTCCTATCAAACGCATTCCTGTGTAACTCTTGGTTTATATCTGAGGTACTTCTGTTTGTAGATGGAGACTCCGGTCCCGTCAAGACTAACATTGTAGGAAAAATAACCAAGGTGAATATACCGACCATGTGTGCAATTGATGGTAACGTGAGGTACCTCCGGTGTGTTGAATTTTTTGTCAATTTGTATTGAAATGTAGGCGTGTGAAGTGACCATCTGGTGAACTTGTTATATATTCCGCTCTTGTGGGTTAATCCTGTGTGTGTAACTAACGCGATTCCGCAAGCGATGATACCAAAAATGATAATCAAAAGATAACCGTAAAATATTTGGGGACTGTGATGATGTCCACCATGTTCTCCACCGTGTTCTTCTCCATGTTGTTGAGCCTTAGCTAAAGCCGAATAAGCTAGTAAGGTAAGTAAAGTCCGCTTCATTTGACTTCCTAACGCTATTGAAAATTGTTACAACAAAGAAGATAAATTAAGATTAATTTAAAAGGAGTAGTTTGAATGATGATCGAAATAATTAGAATCTAGATTCAAATAACCCAAAGCGTAATAATTAAACTAGACTTCCGTAAAAGGAAAGTGAAACTAGCTAGTGACATCATCAATGTTTAAGAACACGGTGAAAACTTTTATTAATAAGAAATAAATTTATTTACATATAATTTTAAATTGGAGGTTGTGGTACAGACTGCATAGCAGCGTTCATCTCTTCAGGAGTCATTGTTGTTGATTCTAACATGATACCAACACCAAATTTGGATGCATTCTTTAAGTGGTCGATTTCACCTGCGACCAAGAAAGCAAAGGCAGGAGTGAATCTTTGTTCTAATAAAGCGGAAACCTTTCCGGTTGAATCAAGTTGACCTCTAAAGCTTGCCATTCTGAAATCGTACTTTGCGCCCAAAGAAGCACTAGCTTCCTTACCTTGAGGTCTATTTATGACTTGCAAGGTGGCAGCAGCATCAACCTTGTCTGAGAGTTTATGGTGGTATGTAGCTTCTAACATTCCAGATGGGTTTATTTGAGCGGTTGCCAACCAGTCTCTGTTTGAGCCGGATAATCTGACCAAGTAGGAAGTCAAAGATTCGGAAATGCCTGGTTGTGGTCTTTGAACGAGGGTTTCGAGACCAAGTGCAATGTTTGGAGTGATTGATTGTAAATAGCTACCAATATAGATACCTGTACCGTCGACCAAGCTTGGGTTCATTGCTTTACCGTTAATAGAGTAATCAAGACCTTGGTAGTCATGTTCTAATTGGATCATGGATTGACCTGGTACCTCTGACAATTGTGCTTGTATTTTGCCAGTTCCTAAGTTTGCGAATGATTGGTTTGCGCGACCGGTGAGTGTTCCTGTGTGATCAACTGCACCTTGTAAGAAGCTCTTTGCATCAGCGTATACAGCGCCGAAGGAGTAGTTTGGTGGTGCTTGCTGTGATCCCAGCGAGAAGGAGTGTGTTACTTGGAATGCAGGGTTGAGGGAAATGCCCTTGGTGAGGTCAGCTCTAGCGCCGTCGAAGATGAAGTTTGAGAGGAGAGTGGCTGTATGTCTAGTTAGATCTTGACTCAAGATTGCAAATGCTACACACTTTTGGCTTCTCTGCCCATAGCTTCTGCAGTACCCGGGCTGCCCAAATTGAGGGACTTTCTCCAGTCCATGAAGCGGTTGTAGGTGCTAGTTATAGGGCTTAATACGCTCTCAGAGGCTGACTTTGGCTGCTCTGGGTGCAACTTAGCGGCGACCTCATTCTGCTGCAAAACTGGGGCTGCTTCTCCTGGAGCGACTTGTTGATATCCCGACATACTAGTTTATTTAGTCTTTGCTATATTTCTTATGAGAAAAAACCCACTTGATCGTTCCAATAGGAGCAACTTCCGCTCATCAGCCATTCTATCGTCTTCGCAATTTTTAAAAAATACTGAATTTATATTAAATATAGATTTATCTATTATTTTAAAGTGTTATTTATAATACACATGCATTCTTCTTTCAATCACTTCGTCACCATGGCTGCCTGCACAAAGTTTGTTAGAAGCGTTTTAGACAATAGCTTGAAAAACAAAGGACACGATTGGTCTGTCTATGGTGCACTTAATGGCGCACACTCCGTCGTCAGCGCTACACCTGGATACGTGCATCTTAAATTCCACGTCGATAAGCACAACTTGAATCGACAGGGTACACTGAACGGCGGATGTATTTCCAGCTTGATAGATAGCGCTGGTAGTCTCGCAGTATCTAGCCACGGTTTGTTCTTTACCGGCGTTTCGACTGACATCACTACAACATTTGTTAAACCGATACCGTATAACGAGGTGGTCGATATATTCGCTAGGACGGCCAGTATGGGCAGAACAATGGCCTTTACTAGAGTTGACTTTTGCAGCCCAGAGAGTGGGAAATTGTTAGCTTACGGTAGTGAGTACAATGACTTTCATGTTACTAGCACATTTAACGAGTTTCAAGGCCACACAAAATATATAGCAAATAGTCAAGGCAAAGATGTATGTCAATTCCTAGTATTTCTAGAGTGTCTCACAATTCATGCAGGGAAATGTTACATTCAGCAACGACGGAGAGAATATTTTGTAGAAATTGATAATGATGTATTGAATGGTATAACACACCGCATAGCCCTCTAGTCTTTCCTCAACCTGTCTAATCTCGCTTGTAAGCTATCCTCATCTGTTTTATCAGCTGGAGCAGGGTTGTTGGAGCCACCAGAAGGACCACTTGGGAGTCCCTCAGCAAGCGGGAGCTTATCGGGTTGCTTTTGGCTCGTCTGTGCAAGGGTATCAGGCGTATCAGCGAGTTGCTGGTTTAGCGTCACACCAATCTCATCAAGCACTTGTCCAACAATCTTCTCTTCCTCTTCTTCGCCCTGGTCATCCTCCATCACATCGTCTACGGCATCTGACATCATTTCTTCTTTCATGTCCATCGAGGAGGATTCACGCTCGAATTCGTTCATTATACGCGTAATTTGGGGTAAATTAAGGCTTCTGTTCATCATAGCCATGCTCTATGGCGTGTTAGAAGGTGGTATCACCCGGCAAAGAACATACCTTGGTGGCTCCCCGCATTGCTTCTGACATCTGTTGATTCGATCTGAGTGTTTGTATGCGTAAGCTGACAGCTTGTAATTGCGTGCGCATTTGATAGAACTTTTGTATGTATTTCCGTGTCCTGACGAGGTCCTTAGCCATCAATTTCGTCGGTCCCTGGATCCGTCAGTTGAATGATTATCTATGCAAACTAAACATACCATCTGTCCATTCTTCGCGCTGCGTTTGATATCAGACACTAATTTACTCTCCTGGGATTCCAATTTCGTACGCTCCCTGTCAAGCTCTCGCTGGGCTTTCTGGAGTGCACGTTGATGTCGCCTGAGGCGTTCTTGTGGTGTAATCGCTCTACCAAATAGACTTTCCTGTGACTTCGTTAGAATATAGACCGTTTTGAGGCTAAACTGACGATGATATTCATGGTAGTGGGTGAAGGAGTGATATGCTTGATTACTATTATTCTGGACCTTCTATAGTCAGTTTATAAATAATCATATCTTATAACAACTCTCATGAGTCATAGCCACTCCTTAATCAATTACGATGACGGATAAGATCACAGCAAACGGTGTCTGTATTTACTCGGGAAGCTCTATTGGTACAAAAGATGTATACAGGGAGGTGGCAGAATCCATTGGCGTAGCTTTATCCTCACGCGATATCACTGTTGTATATGGCGGTGGTGATTTCGGGTTGATGGGCGTCGTAGCTCGATCTGCACTAAAGAACAATGGTAAAGTCACTGGAATAATCCCTCGTGCAATGGTAGGAGTTGGTGAAAAAGGGCGTGGTGAGAAGTCAACAGAGTCAGACATAGACACTTTCCCAAATCTCGACACTGTGGTCGTTGAAAGTATGCATGAGAGGAAGTTGGCAATGGCTGAGCGTTCTCGCGCCTTTATTGCTCTCCCAGGTGGTTTTGGCACGCTTGAGGAACTTCTAGAAGTGACGACATGGTCACAGCTTAATATACACTCTAAACGTGAGTATGTCATCTTCTTGAATACATCCCTAATCGTTATATAGCTGTGGTAGCGATCAATGTCGATGGATTTTACGAACCACTGAAAGCATTTATCACGACTGCCGTAGAAGCCGGATTCATTAGTAAAAAGAACGCAGATCTGCTGAAATTTATAGATACCCCTGTCGATGGAGATTGGGGGAAGGTTATCTTTGATGCCTTTGAGCAATACAGACCAACTGGTGAGGAGTACAACTTCAACTGGGCGCAAGCATAAAAAAAGATAAGAAATTTATACATACATATCGCGGAATATCATCTATAAGGGTGTATCTTGATGTTTCACTAAGTTGCAGTCGTCTTGAACACTCGACTGACCTTCGTAGACGTGATTGATGCACCGAGAGAGATGGCAGCGAGTAAGGTTGCATCTGTAGCAAGGAGCGCTAACCCATTAAGCATGAAGCGAGGTGCAAATACCTACTTATGTGTTAGAAAAGCTCACGTAGGGTGTTCTTCCTCACCTTCCAGACCATGAGATGTCTTCTAAAATGTGCAGCTGCGATGAGTGTCGCGAGTGTGATTAGTGTGTTGTAAAGAACAAATCCACTACCCGCTCGCAGAATATTTGTGTTTAGCGACTGACTTGCATTAACTTTAGGCGCAACCTTCCAATAAACGAGAAGTGGGACCGCCAGACTAACGAGAATGAAACCTGAGAGTGTGTTGATTGACACTAAAAGAGGAGCGTATGGATAGGTTAGCTTTGGGAATCCGACGAAAGCAGCCTTCCATTGGAGTGTACTGAGTACAGCTTGGTGACCAGTTGAGTAATAAAGCAAGTATCCCAATTGAGCAAGCCAAGCGGACCTCCAGAGTGCTGGACGTGGTTGTGGCGGTGCAACCATCTTACCGTCCTTCTTCGTATATTTCGATGGTCGTTTTAGCAACTTATTCAACGCCTTCTCATCATTTTGATAGTCCGTCAACTCCAAAAACACTAATATAACGATCAAGCAGCCAAACAAAGCGAGTTGTCCTGTTGGTAGATTTGTTAACCACATTAAAGCGAAAGCCGGGAGCATAAACAGAAGGTAATAGGCACCATAACTGTTACTAAATCCTAATACTTTAACTTCACGTTTACCATCCTGACGATTCTCCTCTTTGATATCGATACAGAGTGTCGATACATACCAGAAGGTGTATCCTACGACGCCTGCGAAGAGGATATTTGTACGTGCTAATGTGGTTTTGATAGTAATGAGCACATAACTTGGTGTCTTCATCTCGAGCAAATCGAGCAACCAGTAAGAAGACCCTAAGACAAGTGAAAGTGTGAATCCACCAACAAATATTCCCGCAAAACCAGCGAATGACGCACTCACGTTGAGCGAATACCTCAAAACAAAATAGGTAGCTATTGCAGAAGGAATTAAAGTCGCGTACACCCAAGCAGGAGAGAGACTGCTAGAGGATGTCTCGTAGAAGGTAACGGCACACCATCCTCCTAGTTCTTCTCTACATACTGTAGAGCCTGCCATCAAGCGTAGCGTGAATGCTATCAATGCGGATGCGATCGCTAATTGTTTCTTCATCCTCGCTTGGTTTGCGTATGGAGCTCTAACTAATGAAAACAGAATTGGAGTTTGTAGTATAACTAGCAGGACTCTATCTTCCCACAATACGTAGGAGTTGGAGAGGAAGATAGCGAGATGGGAGAGTATACCGAAGAGATCTAAGGCTTTTGGAGTTGATAATGGTGGTACTGCGTAAGATAGCGCCAATTCGACAGCGAAGCATATTATAAATATGATGCTTTCAATGTGCTTGCCTTTCAAGAGAGCGATGGAGAAGAAAGAAGCAACGACTAACGCCCAAGGTGCTGCTTTCTGGGCGTCCCGCACAGCGACCTTCATCCAATCACAGCTGGAGTTCCTACCTGCGCGGTTGAAAACACCGACAAGGATAGGTAAAGACATCAAGAGAAGTAATCCACCGGAGAGCATCAAAAGAGCATCAAATTGTGCCCAAATGGATCGACAGCTCTGCAAAGTGCTATTAAAGAAGTCGCTGTATAAGTAATATGATGTGTGGTCCTTATTGAAGTAGCTACCTTCCTCCAACGATTTAGCTTCTTTGGCAAGGTTGAGCTTTTGCTGTAACGATTGAAGGAACGGCTTGATTTCATGACCTGACTGTCCTTTAGCGTAGCTTTTAAGGTATTTCCAAATCTGGTTAGAGGTCACATCCTGCGCTTGTCTTAGGACTGATGGGATTGGGAACAACTCGGGAATAATTCCGCCTAGATTGTTGAAAGGAATAGCCAAACCGAGCAATAAACTGAGTGAAGGGAGGATGTCGATCTGTTGAATAGTCCTATGTCCCTGATGATGAGGCAGACTATTTGCGAAAGTACGCGCTTTGCTGTTCGTAAGCGGTTTCTGCTTGCTGTACATCCACAAAGCAGCTGAGGTTTCCAGCTCTGAGTCGCCTCCATGGTCTCCTCTGCTATCCATACCATGATCACCCATGACAACTAAAAGGGTGTCATCGTCAATTGCCTCAACAACTCTCGTTAAAACATCATTCATCTGTTTCAGTTTGGTTGACATTGTTTCGTGCGACGGTCCCACTCTGTGTCCTACATGGTCTACGCCCAAAAAATGACCGATAATGAAATCCGTGTTGTTTGCTATAAGTGGGAATATGTGCTTTGTGACACCATTGTCAACTGAGTGCAAATCCTCGACGTTGAAGCTATCATACGGGAACTGCTCGTCAAAACTGTCCGGAAATACAGACATCCAGGTATCGTCACCAACGAAAGCCGTCTTCTTGTGGGCATTCTTCAGTTGGCGAATTAAACTGTCTTCCTCGATGCTTGTACCGCTAAACGCATTGCCAATATCGATGAATGTAGGCAAACTACCCGTTGTGAGACCCTTTATGCGTTGTAGCGTCGTTGTAGGTGGATCGACATAAGTGTGGTATAACAAGCTGTTATCTGGTGACTCCCTTGTGAGTTTAGATGGTAAAGTAAGTGTATTATGATAGTGTTCGTTGTATAGTGGGTTACTAGGATTTTGAGGAAGAAGGAAGTCATGTCGTAATGCGTCTATAATAAGTATAACGGCTTTTGAGTGTGTAGAATCAGGTGCAGTGTTGTCTAAATTGCTTATATCATTTAATGTGACTCTATTTAATAAGAAACCACGGCTAAACAACCACAATCCGGCAAGGTGTAGCACGAAAAACAAGCTAAATGAAGCCGTAAGTAGTTTCATTAGCCTGTTGTAGGTGTATGAGATATTTGCTAATAGGGAAGCGGAAAACTGACTATAATGATGCAACCCCAGATCGAGGTAATGTGAAGAGAAGTTAAATGGGGTGTAGTTGTTTTATGTGTATATAAGCAATTATTACAAAACTATCTTCTCTTATGGTTGATTGACATCTGCTGTCTTGGTTTCTTGTAGTAACTTCTCTCCTTATATGGAATCCACCTTTCTGAATCGATGGGAATGTTCTTGTTAGCGTATTTGCTATGCATTTCCTGTCTTCGTTTTTGCTTTTGCTTTTCTATCTTCTGGGATTTATTGTCTACCAAAGTTGTCGATTTCAAGTCTACCGTGGTGTTTTGCGGGTTGTAATTCTCTGGGAAAGGAGCAGGATTACTCTCTAGAACATCTAAAGGTGGAACATTGAGTTCTTCTATTGCTGTGAGGTAGCCATGGCTGTGGAAATCCAAGGACTCTTTCGCTGCCTTGAGATTAGTTTCAATATCGTGGTATTCATCGTCATTCTGGGTACGTTAGATGGATATGTAAGCGATATAAAAGCTACACTCACTGGATCAAGGTCAGACAACAATGATTGATATAAATTGATAGCAGATTGATAATCAGCTTGCCTGTATGCCTGAGGTGGTTTAGACGGTTACAAAAGCAAACTGAATACTAACCAATTGCGCTTGTAATATTGACCATTTTCTATCGTTTCCTGATGAAGTTGATGTGTTCTTCTTCAATCTGTAATTTGTGTATGCCTCTTCGAAGTCAAAGGACGAGTTTTCGGTCAAACTAAGCGCTTGGTTGTACGAATCTAATTGAAGTAATAAGAACAATTTAGTTTTAATTAGTTCATCGTTATTTCCTTCTAAATTGAGCAACTTTGAAGTAGTTTGTAATGCGTTTTTATAATAACCGTTAGTAATTTGACTATATAATCTCTTATATAATTTAGGTATTCTAACTTCTTTGCTTTTCTCCTCCTTTGGTGGTAGCTTCTTATAGTTAACAGTTTTTGTAATCATGGTATAGACTCAACGATGACGTGGAATTTAAATGATTTATTTAATAATAATAATAAAACTTGTCTTATCTTACTAAACTGTCCAATAAATAATTGGGATCTCTTTAATAGATTATGGTCAACGGCTAGTTTAAAGATATGCTTAGACGGCGGTGCCAATAGATTGTTAGAGGCTAGCAGAAAACATTCAAATCCATCGAACTACCTCCCTGACTACATTATTGGTGATTTTGATAGTATCACAGAAGAAAGTAGAAGTTTTTATAACAATGACGTCACTCTCATCAAAGACGAAGATGAGTATTCAACAGACTATATGAAATCATTCAAACTGATCCCATTGGATCACTCGGTTGTTACCTTCGGTGGCCTGTCAGGCAGGATAGATCAGACCATTCACACACTCTACTACACCCGTAAGGAACAAGTCAAGCGTGATTTACCAATCTGTATCGTCTCAGAGAATAATGTTGCTATATCACTATCACCCGGCCATCATACCATTCAACTTAAGACAGATACCTTCGGTAAATGTTGCGGTGTTCTACCAATAGGAACTAAATCTGCCAAAATAACAACCAAAGGCTTGAAATGGGATCTTGGTGGACCTGGTTTAGAAGAGACAGGCTTTGATAGCATGATAAGCACATCCAACCATTTAGATAGTGAAACAATAGAAATTGAAACAGATGAGTATATCTACTTTAATGTTGAATTTAAAAACGATTTCCTGTAAATTAGTTTAACATACCCGACTTCTCTTTACTTCTAACGACCATGGTGGAATTAAATGCTGTGTTAGTAGAAATATAAATCGTAATATCCCACTAAATTATAGCAGTCAATGTCCTATAAACAACGTAATCCTTTATCAAGATAGAGCCCAGATAGATAGAAACTTACAAGTTGACGTCACTCACGGTCAAAACTCAGTCACCCTTAAGAACCTCACAAACGCTATTGATCGCGATAGCCTGAAAGTCACAACAACAACCTCAGATTTACTCCTATTTGACGTAATTTTCCACCCTTCCACCAGCAAGAGGAGAGAACCAGAGGAACTTGTAAAGGCTAGAAATGCCCATAGACTACTCGTCATCGAGAAAGATGTTCTTTTACATGAAATCGAAACTCTCAACAATTTTGGTACTACTATAAACACCTCACAGACTGCAGATCCAGCCAAGACCCTTGAGAACTATCTAAACATACTTCCTGGCAGATCTCTCAACGCACATACCAAGCTTCTCGATGTTGAAACACAAATGGAAGTTGTACAGGAACAAATCCACGATTTGGAACAGGAATACTACAGGTGCCAATCTGGGGCAGACTCCAGTGTCGAAATTATTTTTTCAGTCCAATCGACTGGTTTAGTCATGCTCAACTTATCTTATATGGTTAATGATGCAAGCTGGTCTCCTCTATACGACGTTAGAGCATCTACAGACGGTACGATGGAAATAGATTACCGCGCGCAAGTCTGGCAATCAACGGGAGAAGATTGGAATGCCGTTTCTTTGATTTTATCTACATCTACGCCAAGTGTTGGCTCAGAAATACCTACCTTGATACCCTCGAAGGTGCAAATCAAGCCACCTCCTCAACCACGAGGACCACAGATGCGCATGTTAAGCAAGGCTGCTATGAGCGACGCGAGTGCTGTGCCAGAAGCTGCTCTCTTCTGCGCAAATGTCAGTGTCCAGAACCACACGCTCAGCTCATCTTTCACCATTGATGGCCGCACAACTGTGGCATCCGACAACAAGGAGCACAAAGTCAGTATCAGGAAGCTTACTTTGGACAGCACGATGAAGTGGATTTGCGTGCCTACACAATCTGAAAGGGCCTACTTGCAATCTGTTGTGACAAATGACAGCGACGCACCCCTCCTACATGGTGATGCATTAGTTTTCCTGGATGGTAGCTTCGTATCCCGCAGTGTCGTCCCAGAAGCAGCCCCAGGCGCCTCGTTCGATCTTAGCTTGGGCGTCGACAAGCATATCAAGGTGTCGACGCACCACCAGAAGGATCATTACAATGGTATAGTCAGCAAGGGCATTCTCGAACGATTCAATACGGATGCTCGCACGCAGTCACGAACGAAGTCTGCCACCTTCACAGTACATAATACCAAGCAAAATAAGGCATCAAATATGAATGTCGTCGTTCGCTCGCAAATCCCTGTTAGCGTCGACGAGCGCGTCAAAGTGGTGATCAAGGAGCCCTCACAACTTGCAGACACTGACAGCCAACCTGATCCTTCCACTAAAGCCGAGTGGATTGACAAATTCGACGGTACATTTAGCTGGTCTTTTGAATTAGGCGCAAATCAATCCAAGGACCTCCAGATCGACTATGATCTTGAGTGGCCAGAAGATGCACAAATCTTGCTCTAGATGAGCATTAGGTTATTTATCATTTTTGTGATTATGTTTAAATTTCATGACATGTTTACATAATCTTACTCGATGGTCTTGCGTATCTTACTATCTTAATATATGTTAGGAGAGTTCTTCAACGCTGACAAATACTCAGTAAGCAATGTAAGATTTTTCATATGTATGTCAAGTGTCCCTAAATAATTTCTGCAGCGTTGTAAACTAGACTCAATCAAAATTCTTGTGGCATTATGAATATAATACACGCTATATATTGATCATTTCAGATGTTGGTTTTGTGCTAAATTTATTTTATTTTATAGTTTTGCCTGTCCCCATTTCTTGTATATATCTTCATATCTGACGACTAAATAGCGTTGTATGTTCATCACCTGTATCCGAATTTCAACAATTTGTCATAGATCCCCACAATCACTGAGAGCATCATCCGTGAATTTGTTGAAATATAATCTTTTTTTAAAGTGGTTATCTCCACTAGAGTATCGCAGTGTATGTCAAGTAGGAGTTGTGTATCTGTCCAGAGAAAAGTGAATTTAACGACTTGTATTATCGGTATTGTTACTCACAAAGCCTTTAAATTCCTTGCCAAACATTTCAATGATATGCTTTCCAATCGTGATAATGGAATTGCGAAATAAAGTTTAGACGTTGAAAGCACTTATTGCAATCGTAGATATATATACAGTGAAAAGATTCAAAACAACTACTAAGTTAGCCTGGAAGCGTATCTCGGACCAGTGTCGCAAATAATTATGATAATTCGCGTTTCTCCATTTATTCAGTACGACGCTGAGCCCAAAAACAAGAGAGTATCTAGAGTTACTTGCGTTATTGTGACTCAACACGATGATGATGATGATGATGATGAAATCTAAATATATTGTTAAGACGATACAAAGTTAAACTGCGTCCATCAATACTTCTTAAAGCATGAGGATTTGAATGGCATGTTGAATTGGTAGGAAGCGTTTCTTGACTAGTGTCGTAAAATGTCTTGATGATTTGCGTGTCCGGGAATTTTCTCGGTTACGCCGAACCACCGGAGTATCTTGGGTACGTAGTCAATTGTGGTTTGAAAAACTCGTAAAGGGCTTGAAGAGCTTGTGCGTTCCTGAGCATTGGACCTAATTCGAACCGAATGTTGATCTTGGTTATCTTTCTTCGCAAGGTAATTCTTGCCATTATGTGTCTTCTACATATAAATACTCTATGCGAGATGCTATCATCTACGCCGCACGTCCTGCATTTAGGTGAGTCGATTAGTTTGAATCTGTATCGGTATGACTTAGTCGTAGGGAAGTGACCTGTACGTAGCTGGGTTGCTAGGCACCGTGTCGCTCTGGGTAGCTCAT